TTAGATAATAAACAACAAGTCGATGTTATTTCCATGGATTTCAGCAAGGCTTTCGATAAGTTAAACCATCATCTTCTTGTCAATAGTCTTCATTACTTCGGCCTTAGTGACTCGTAAGTCGGTCTTCTAAGCTCATATTTGTCCAGTAGGACGCAGGTTTTATTCTTCATAAATAGCCTAGTCGCTTCACTAAAGTGTCACAGTCTACTATTTGCCGATGATCTGAAAACATACCTCAAAATTACAAGTTTGGTGAACTGTATTTACCTTCAGGATCTGGATACTATCACACTATTTCCCAATGTAAAGTATGTTCATACTGTCGCAAAATGAACTCGATTATCTTTGATTATCCCATAAATAATGCGGTTTTGTAGAGAACAACAAAGACTACAGATCTTGGTGTAACATTTTCCTGTAGATTGGACTTTTCTGTCGATGTAGCACGCGTCACTACCGGAAAAACATGGATTCTGGGTTTCATAATGCGTAACTATCGATCTTTTCCCAACGAAGCAGCCCTAAAAACTCTTTTTATTTTGCTGATGCGACCAAAACTTTAGTACGCTTCTTTGATATGGGACCTTTTCTATGCATATTATACAGGGTGATGTAAACGTTATGATACTCATTATTTAAATGGGTGATACAGGAGGTTAAAAGAAACAAAAAGTTTCATATAACATGGGGGTCAAAACGGCATTTTTTTAGAGAAAAGCGACTTTAAAGTGAAATAAAATCTGACAACGCCGCAATACTAGACGCAAATTACGACGGAACGCAGTATAAATAAAGATGGGGTTTGTTATTTTTGGCTCTTAGGTATTATTTCATTATTTGGTAATGTACTCGTAAAATGTCAACAATTAAAAAAAACGAACTTACTACTAACTGTCACAGCGCTTCACCTGGTGTGTGAAAGGTTATTGAACGTATTAAAAAAATCCACTTATAAATAGGGAGCACAATTTTGATACATACATTGCTCTTCTTTTTAAAACCCACACTGCACTTTTTTTGTATTTAAAGAAGGTGTTCAACATGTCGCCCTCCACTTTCCACACAAGCTTCATTACGGCGAACCCAATTTCTTCTTACTCTGGCTCCTCGAAGTTGTCCATTTATTATTTCCGCCGAAATTTTTTTTCGCGAGGTTGTGCTTAAGTTGTTTTTGGACCAGCCCCATAAATCAGCCTTTTAAGTTCTCCCCAATACCAGAAATCTATCGGATTGAGGTCAGGAGATCTTGCTGGCCATTTTCGAGGATCAGGAGCATTTCGACGGATCCAGCGATATCCCGTCTGGCGTAAAAGTACATTCGTCCGTCGCTAGAGTGTTTTTAAAAAACTCCGGATTTTCAATGTTTTTGTGCAAAAACCAGTGACAGAATGTTAGTCTGCGAGGATAGTCTTCTGGTAGCAAGGCCTGCACTCGTTGTACATGGTAGGGATAAAGGAAATTTTCCCGTAGGATTCTATGGACTGGTATGCGATAGTCCTACGCGGCGGCCTAATTCCCAAGTGCTGATATCTGCATTGATTTCCACGATATTTAAAATTTGTTCCTCCTGCTCTACAGTAACCTGTCTTTCACTACTGCGAATATTAGTGGGCTGAACACTTCCTGTATCTCGAAGTCTTCGGTACACTTGCACAAATGTCCTTCTGTCTGGGTGTACCCGTTGGCGAAATCTATCGCGATAAATTTGAGCTGCAAGATTTGAATTCTGACGAGCTTCACCGTAAACTAACAACATGTTGGCGAAATCTTGATTTGAGAACATTGTAAATAAACACGACGACGTACGCGAACAATAACTAACCACTGTTACCGTTTGCGATCGATTGCCGGTTCGATAAGAGTGATGAATGACCAACGCGCTGTTATCATGTGTTTTAGATATTTAATTTAATGAAACTTACTTACTGACTACAAATTTTGGCTTAACTTATAAAAACTTAATGCCATTTATTTGTTAATTACCCAATTTAAAAACGTTTTAGATTAGATTATAAAAATTAGTAAGAATGTGGTGATTGTGGTCGATATAAAGCACTTAAAGTTGTAAACTGTAAAGCCATTTAGACGAGAATCTATTGACTTTTGAACCATGGGTCATGTGAACTTTTTGGCTTGTTTTGAACCCCCTATTACCCATTTCAATAATGACTGCCATAACGTTTACACCTTGTATAAATATCTTAGAAAGGTACAAAGAAATTTTCTTAAATATTGTGCTTATAAGATTGATGACGCATATCCAGAAAGAGGGGTCTCTCAATATGTTCTGCTGCGCCGTTTAGAACTAGAGTTGCTACAATTAAGACGTTCCATTGCTGGCCTGTCATTCCTTCATAAGGTTTTGCACGACAGAGTGGATGCACCAGAACTTCTCCAGAGGTCGAATTTTTGTATACCGCGGTTAAATACGAGGAGGACTCTAACTTTTTACTGTAGTACGTCCCGTACCAACGTAGTATTTTATTCTCCATGCATTCTACTTCTATATCCAATAATTATAATTCCATTGCTGACAGTTCTGACATTAATTTTGATTGTATCAGTAAGATCTTGTCGAACTTCAGGGACTATTATAATAGCTAATTCTGTTTTCTTTTATGTTTGTTTTATGTACGCACACTCTAAGTAAAGTTACCATTATATTGCCCTGTAACTGGAGTAGTCTGTTGGGCAATTAGGAATAAATAAATAAATGCGGTCCTGTGTATGATGTTTCATTTTTGGTCACGGCTTGTGAATCACCCTGCATGTTTAACTTCAGCATAGCTTTCTATTAAGTTTTATTTGTCGTATATAACAGAACCAGCTATACCGTAATAAACATTCATACAAAAAGGTGGAATGGATTGATACAAATATATTTGATCTGGTGATGACATATCTTTTATATAGATGGCTATGCTGACAGCCCGTATATTTTTTCTTTTTTTTTAAATACTGTAGACCAGTAGTTTTGTCGTCTCTAGTTGTCTACATACCAACATAATCCATGCGGATTTTTTGTTTTATAAGTTAGTTATGTGTATCGTTACTTCTTCCAGGATAATTGATCATATGTTGGCTAGAAACTCTTTCGTATTAACAATAATAAATAATAATAAACGTCTGAGTTAAAAATGGACTAAGTCTATGAACGGATATTATTCCACTTAATCATGGGCGCCCGCAAGGGGGGCTAAGGTGAGCCGTGAGCCTTAGTATTTGCAAGCATGATTTTGTGTACAACTTTTAGGATCATTAGGATATGCCCCCCCCTAAAGAAATGTTTTACCCTCCGCTCTTCAAAAATTTTTTGCAGCAAGTACACTTTCACAAAGAGTTATTTCTTGCCAATGATCGGCACCTTTGAGAGAAATTCTTGCTAGCGCCCATGCATTAAACCCGAACAATGGCGCCTATCGATTTGTCATCGGTCATCTTTCAGCCGAATCATGTAGGAAGCAGCTTTTTTAAAATGCCATAGCTCAGTTTGTACGCAATACGATGTGTTTAGGCTGTCTGCCAACGATTTGACTTCCCAACGTTTTTATTTTGGATAATTTATACACTCTCGTTGACGTTAAATTATAGAACAAGCAACAATAATGTGGAAAAACTTCCACAGCGTCCTTGCGTCCATTTTGCTTATTTATAAGTCACCACAAAGGAGGTCACCTCTTCCAGTGAAATGTAAAATATGACGTATAACGTCTGTCTATGAAGTTCTTGAGAGTATTTCACGTGGTGGAGCACGTGCTATCCTATATACACAGGGTCCAAATTTAAGCGAAGCGCATAATGGAGGTAATTGAATAGATCGCCAGGCACGTGGTGGACAAACAAATGGGGTCAAGTAGGTTCACTCTGCACTTCCCACGCAACGCCATAATCAGCTCATGAAGGATTATGTTCAGCACAAGCTGGACTCTCTGAGAAAAAAGGTCAGTCACTTAGTCAACAGACATTCTTTCTCTGCCCTACCGGTAGTCCATCTGGCAACGTCGCCTCTTCCCGATACCTAACCCGGTCACGTCAGACGCGACAGTAATACCAGAACACTTATCAAGACCGGCACGCAGCTAGAAGCAGATGCAGACGCAGCCGGTAGGTACACGGTCTATCTGCTGAGAGTTTTAAGGGCTAATGTATGGAGAAACCGATGATGTGTGAAATATATCTAATAGGTACATATAATTACCAAGGTTAGGAGCATATAAATATACTGACACCAAAAAATCAGCCCCACTCCTCTACGACCCCCAACCACCAAATTTTTTACCTATAATTTTTTTTCAAAACTGGGTCCTCCGAATCGTCAAAAAACGAGATCTTGGCGATTTTTTCTTTTTTGGTTTTTGGACTTTTTCTCCCCTGTCACTGAATGGATTTTCAGAAACTACAAAGTTTTTTCGTCCTTAACGGAGCGGTAAAGTTGTGAGAAAATGTCATTCAAATCCAAGCAGTACTTTTCATGTTATAGGCGACAGACAGTCAGATAGTTCCAACGGAAATGACTGAAGGTTTTTCGTGGTGTACATGTCATTTTCGAAATGTTTCGCGATTACAATACATCCTCGCCAGTATGGCCTGGGAAGTAGAAAGAAAAATTATCGGACGGATAGTGGAGTATAGGCGTGATATCTACGGTGAAATTTGTGCCATGCGGAGGTAACTGGGGCCTGGCAAATATACAAAAATATTCGCTGAGTTCATTTTTCAGGTCAAGAGAGGTGAAATTCCAGTTTGAAATTCATATTCTTGATAATTCAAATTGACTGTCTATCATTTCCATTGACTTCCGTTTGTTCCTATATGTAACGTATCAAGCACAAATACTCCTGTCCACTATCTTCGAGCACATAGCGAACAGCATGCAATTGACTCGATGCTCGGTAGATCTGTTAAGCGTTTTCTTCACAAGTAACAAACAAAACACCCTGTCAATCAAAGCATCAACAATTTACTTGACGGTAGCGACTAGTGACACATGAAAATCCGACCTGAAACGACTTAAGTTTATAAGCACCTTTATAACTTGAAATGGTATTAATTACTGAACTGGTTCTTCTCACTGTCGCTATTCTAGTGTCTGCTACAGGAGCTTTGATGGCCCTCATAGTGAATTTCGTACTGCCAGATTACTTTTGGGACGAAGCGAAGGCTGGATATAATCCCTTTCCAACTGTGCAAGGGGAAAATTGGGATGAATTTGAAAAAAAGTGGATGGCTGTACGTATATGTTTCCTCCTTAAATAATATATATCAAAGATATATTATACATAGTATGTTTAATTTGTGAAGAAGGTTATATTGATCAGGCTTACTGGCCAATAATGGACCTTGTTCTAGAAAAAAATGTATAAACAAATTTTGTAACGTAATCGTAAACAAATTTTGTAACGTAATCGTATTCTCAAGAGTAACCGAAAACGTCTTTCGTCTAGAGACGCAATCGTACATTGTATATTGACTTTGAGAAGTGAGCCACTATTGGGCGAGCACTGATAAAACCTGAGGCTCATAATGCTGAAGGATATTATGTGAGAGACCAATAATGGATTTCTCAAATGAGGTATGAGGTATATAGAATCTTTTACTACTAACACTACATATCACAAAATATTCTGTTTTACGTCAGGATCATTACGTTTACAACTTATTTTACGAATACTTTAAAATATCTATTTACCTCTGGTGTCAAAATGACAAACCCAAAGTAATGCAACGGAAACACCGTTTTACTGTTCAAAGTCTAATATATTACGTCTATACTAATTTACACCACTTGTAACAGGTTCAAGTGTGCTTAATAAACTCGACCGTGACTAACTGCTTCCGCCATTTGGTTGGGTATTAATTCCACTATCGACGAGTCGATAAGCATTCCAGCGTTTTCGGAAACATCAATGGAAGTATTCTATTCATTTTCAGACTTGTAGAATACTCGCAATGGCGTCGCAAACGGTCCAGAACACAAGCACGCTCTATACATGGTCGCGTAACTCTGGTTGCCTACCGTCGACACCACGAGTCCGCTTTTTGCTTTTTTTAACATTTGCCGTTTTTAAACATTTTGTTCATTACTGTGGTATTCAAGAAGGACAACTGGGTTAGAAGATATACTCAAAATTAATTATTCCGTAATCGTTTTAAAATATTTCGAACGGATATGGTACAAAACATGTAGCAGTAGGGTGGCTGAATTTGTAGTATGTTGTACAATATGATGTCCTGATAAAAGGTCTCCATGAGCACAAACTTTTCTAATGGATTCAACATATCGAGGACCAAAGATGAAGAAAATAATTGACCAGTAATACATTTTCATCACAATCCTCTGTATATATAACTAGAGATGACTTCTTTGACCTTTCAGAAAACTCAAATGACATTATACATGTAATACGTACTAGCTGACGCGATTTTTATCAGGCGGTAGAACGCGTGGTTTGGTTATGGTAATACTCAACATTTGACTGTATTAGGAAGCAGTACACATGCCAATGCGGAAAAAATATTTTTTACACTAGTGCAGCTGCGTAAATACTCAGAAATCTCGACTGTTGTAAAGTTCGATGATTTGATTTTGGAACCTGCCCAAGATTAGTAGAACCAGGCAAAACCTTCTCATGCAGATGGTTCCACTATGTTGACATTCTATTTTTAATGGAATACTTCTTAACTTTGACGGTTAACAAAAAAGTTGCACTGGAAAATTAGTTTGTATCTCCGGAAAAAGAACCATATTTCTATTATAAAATTCGTTTGTATAATTTGACATTCTAGATAATCTCTGATAAACCAAATAAATGGTAATGCATGGAAAGTACTAAATTGATGTTGTACGGTGGATAAATTAATGAAAAATTCAGGTCTTCGTCGTCTTGAGGTGTTGAAACTCCTTTAGCCACCGAAATCCTGACGCGATGCTTTTGATCTTACTAGGTGGGAAGAAATCCAGGTGTCATCGAATCATACCCATTCTTGGTATCCATATCTTCATATTACTTGGACAGTAAGAAGCATTGTCTATTCCTTTGCACAGGAGCCCTTGTAGACAGCTCCAATGGAGGTAAGCTCGAGCATTATAAGAGGAGTGATCAAGACATATGGCGAATAATTTTATTACGAACAAGTAATTCAGCTTACAGCAAATTTGAATCAACCCCATCAAAATATTCTCCTACGAAAGAAAAAAAACAGGGAAAATTGTAATTTTTAACTTTGAACACAGCCGATGTGGATTTGTCGGGGTGTCAAGCGTAGGAATATAAGTATTTTTTACGTCTGACTAAGACGATTTTCAGTTGCCGTATACACTGGTTCCGGATGCCATTTAGGAAACCATAGGAATATAGTGGTTCGAGGATCCAGTAATTATTTTTGGAAAGGGGGAAACGTTTCAAAAATTACGTCGGTTCGAAGTCAGGGTGGCTGGCATGTTATGAAGATAAAAGACAAGGTTGGAGCGCCGGCAGCTTTAGATCTAACAATGGTTAGGAAAAAGATTATTCCAACCGATGCAACTCTGCATTCGCTAGGATGGGGAGCCGAAATAGTAAGTGAATTATTTTTAAATTTTGAGTAAGTATGCAACGAGAACTTCTTCATTTCTTTCCCATAGCTCCACTAAACTTCAAAAAACATAGAAGATTTCATGTTGTGGAAGATCATACTGTTTCTCTGGCATATCAATATCAATGCAGTGGTTACTAAAATTGTGCGCCGGCAAAAACGCCAACAATTATCCAGACAGATAAACATAGCTGCGTACAGATTATCAAGTAATCTATAATCTACATGAGTTCTGATTGATTTTCAGAATCCAAATGTTGATATAATAGGGGACGACACATTCTATGAGGAGATCTGGGGAATGAAAAGGGATGCAGTGTGCCGAAATGCAAAGTCTATGTGCAATTATTACTTTTCCTCCCATCACATTAGCAGTTTTTTCATTGAAGCTATGGATGACACTCTTACATGTTGCTATGAAGGTGCGAATAAGGAAATAAAATAGACTATACTAAATTTAACCATTGTTTAACCATATACTGCACTCCGGTTCCAGCGTCAGCCATGAGACAGCAGCAGAACATGAAAACGAATTTAAACCTACTAAATATTCTATCGCTATCTGTGGGACGGTAGTAGAACCAAACACTCTAACTTCCTTCAAAGTAGATTTCTAGATGCGTCTGCTACTGTCTCGTGGCATTAGCCTTCAGGTAAGATACGATAATCGATAGGCATGTTCTGGCAACGAATGATGGTTGTGGATAGTTGGAAAGAGATAACCAATTCAGTTTAACGAATATAGTTGAATGGCATTTTTACCTCCCACGCCATATTGGCGAGGAAGTATTGTAATCGCGAAAACTTTCGAAAATAAGATAAGTTTTTTGGATGTTATATGGTATGTACCAGTACATCATGAAAAACCATGTCACTTGTTTCTGTCTGTCTGTCTGTCGGTCTTACGGTGTATCCGCCTGCTCCTCTACCGGTCTGTCGGTCTGTCTGTCAGTCTGTTAATCCTCAAGCTTACTCCTATGCCACGGACGAGACAAAGTGTTTGGAAATCGGTTCAGTGTCGCCAGCCCTATAGTCAAAAAACAAAAAAATAAAGGTCGCCAAAACTTCAGGGCTAAAAGATAGGGGGTGAAGGCTATAGGAGGGTGGGGAAGGGTGTATCGCATTTTTTCATGTAAATATATTATACACTTCCAGCCCCTATAATTCTACGCACCTGTTAGACGTTTTTCACACACCACATATTTCTCCGTATTAAGGTAACTGACAAAATGCCGCTTAGAAAAGAAAATTTTCATTTAATTTCACCATACTTCTTTATTTCCTTATAATTTTCATTCGGACAACAAATTCATAGCAAATGAAGGAAATACAGCACTGAATTTAGGGCAGTTAAGTCGAATTTAATGTACAAAATTTCAACTTAGCGTGCATACAAAAAAACACAGATGGAAGTCGAAAGAACAATGGAGGAGAATAAGTCGCAATGGCGACATGCAATTTATTATGAAATCCCAACTCAAATTAAGTCAGGAAAAAATAAAGATGATTTTGGAACAAATCTGGTATGCAAACAAATGACTATCTGGTAATGTCAAAGACTACCTAGACAATTCTGGAAAAACCTATTTATTTTTTATGTCGTGCCACTAGGTACATGGAAAATTGTACCAGAAGTTGTTTGGAAGGCGAGAGAAGTATAGAGTCAATCTACTTGACGATATTTTTTGACAATTCGTCTGGTCAATTCAATTTGAGAATTTGAAAATCGCTGCTGGAGCATGTCTCATGATTTGACGTAGCGCACGCACATGGTCATAGCTCTCAGGCCATTGCGGAGAGCGTCATCGTAATTTTCTTTGCAGGTTACATTGTGCATACAGAAGAGCGTGATACAAAGCGAGCCCATAGTGAACTGACTGGAAAGCCGTTAGTTTACATAGACTCTAAGGGTAAACCTACTGTTATTGCTATGCAATATAAGACTGCTGTCAGCGTCAACGAAACTATTGGGTAAGCATAAAATCAATTGCCCATTATACTATTGAATACCCAAACTCCCCGAAAACTTGTCAACTATGCATTACGTGGAAAAAGATTCAGAATGATGTTTCAGGACATCAAAAAAGCAATTTTTCGATTACTTCAAGTATGATCTAGATAATGACCTCAGAGTTCTTTTGGAGGACAACTTTGTGAGTTCAAATGGCAACCACCATCTTTGGCACCTTCATGTGTTGAACTCAATACTTTACATCAAAATCCATTTTCATGTATGCAATTATTACAATCAGCCGGACCTACTGTAACGTCTGAAAAGTAGACGAACATCCTGAAAACTTGTAGCCTGAAATGGATGTAAAATCTCTAGCTCGACATGAATCTGTTTAGGTAATATATTCTTCGAACCTTTTTTCCAAAAAGTGTGTGGATGCCTCGTTTTCGGGGTGTTCCTACCTTTAATAGACGTCCTGTATAGTATCATACTATGATCACACTAGGATCGTATTTAACCCGACAACATTCTGCGCGCGTGATCATATGAGGAGATGTCCATTACACCGTAGTATGTTTTGAGCGTAGCATATTTTACTGGTGTCGATACGATTTGTATGAGGGTTTATCTGCTTGCTTTCCGCTCGATAAACAACCGCATACAACGGTGTTTCATCTTCCTCAGCAATCATCAGTACGGTCTAGGAGGCTGAAAGCAAACAGATCCTACTCAGCCTAGGCTTAGTTTCTGCAACCTTTGCATAGTACGCCAAACCTTGTAGCATGGTCAGTAGTTAGTGCTCCCTTGAGTGACGATGGTAGGCGCCACGTAGCGATTCATCAAGTCAAGTAGCCTGATATTTCCATAAGCTACTTGACTTGACTGAATTAAATTACTTGGAACATTAATGCTTGAGTCGGCCTGATTTTGATTCGAGGTCAGGCTTTTTTTAAACCACTTGATGGAACATTATATTTTTTGTTTTACTAAAGACCTTCAGGGAATTTATTTATTCAACCGATGAGCCCTATTTTGGCTTTTAATGCTAATAACCACGATTGGTGGAATAAGCATGAAAATATATTCCCAAATCTAGTTTTAATGGCAAGAGATTTTTTATCGACACCTGTAACATTAGTGCTCATTGAAAAGGAATCCCTAGCGCCACATGCCTGGTTTATCGAGACGGACTGTCATCCAGGGATGCCGGGGAGCATATTTATGTGGTTTCCTGCTACCGACGTAGGTCGGTAGTACCGCTTTTGACGGACTATTCATAGGTGTTACGGAGGAAAGGTCTAGTTGCGCAGTAAGAGTGTGGACGTTTTTTTTTTCAGCTATTACACAGTGTTTCGAGCAATCGGTCCTAACTTTAATGAAGCTGGCAACACTCCAGCCATTGATGATGAAATAGAAAAGACAGAAAGCGGAAAGATAGGAGACCAGTTAATCGTCACTAAAATATACAGGGTTCAGAATACTAAAAAATACTTTTTGCAGTGGTTCAGATATTCTGGCGCTAAATTCGGGTATGTATAACCATATGTTTCGAACGAACTTGATATCTAAGCTAGTAACGCCAAAATTCGGAAGGATAATCAGGCAAGACCACAGATTTTAGGCCCGATTTTACTGAGCCGGGGAGCAATGAAGCACTTGGGTCACAAATTCAACCGAGTAGGCGTCCTTGAAGTAATGGATCTAATTAATATGGTAGTTTTCTTGTAAAATGTCTCTCAAACTAGAGAAAAATTATACGATTTGTGTAAGATGGGCACCTAATTCCAATATTAAATGATAATCATAATTATATGGTTTGCACACGTCATAGAAGAAAATAATGGTTAAAACTCGTTAAAGTTACCACTGTAAGTATATAAAATAAAAGACAATCATGAGAACACGCCATAGATAACAAATAAAAGTGCAACACGCCAGCACAGAAAAATTAGAACAAAAGTAAATTCTAAACACACTTAATGTAAAAATAACAACACCATTATAACACGAATAGTTGAATAAAATTGATGTTAAGACATATTGAGAAAAATGTCAAAAAGCACAAAGGAGTATATAAACAAACTAGAGTAGATAGACACCTCAGGCAAATAAAATATAGAGCAGACATATTGAGTAAAATAAAGCATAGGAAAAATTAATGAGTACGTCATAAATTACTTAGTTTAACTATGCAAATTTATTTTTCATTTGCGACCAGACACTAAATTAGCTGCGATGATACAATATCTAGATTGATGTGACAGCAACTAAATTTGCACAAATAACAGTGTCACACTGTTGTTGTACAAAATTCTGCTTGATAGATTCTTTGAGAACATAAATAAAATCACAGAATGCTGGGCAGTGGGACAACTTCTTTTAGCTTTGTCACAGATACCGCGGTCCTCCAGTAGAGTGCGCTTTCTGGTAACAATAAGTAAGTAAATTGATTATTTACCCATGTTTGTTAAAGAATAAGCATTCTGCAATTCTATTCATGCCTTTAAAGAATTAAGCAGAACTTTGTATAGCAACAGTTAGGCACTGTTATTTTCAATGTCAATAGTCTGTATCAGGTTTAATCCATGCATCGAGAGGGCCACAAATCCTCTGATGATTCAGTGTCTTGTGGGAAATGATCTCTTCTGAGATCTTAAAAGAGCAGTTATGCTTCCTTGAGAAACATTCAAAGAAGGTTTTAACATTTGAATTTCACAATAGGCTGTAACACGTTTATGTCATGACAGACTTTCAAAATTTGAAGAACTTCCACAATGAATTTCGCAATTTGCAGGATTTCCGAAGTTTTCGAAAATTTCAAGGTATTTAAGGCGTTGAAATTTGTGCAGGTTTTAAATATTTGAAAATACTGAAAATTTTCAGAATATAGAAAATTTTAAATAATTTGATGGTTTTGACACTTTTGAATCTGCAAACATATTAAGAACCTTGAAATTTTTGAACGTTTGGGATATAATGCCTCAAACAGCACCCATTCCCCAAGAAACGTCTATCAATGTTGTGAACCTTAGGCCTTATTGTGTCATCCCAAATGGCTTTTCAGTCCTGGATCATTAGCCACTGCAGACAATAGGAGGTGGTGTTACGACACAGTGGAGTTTATCTTATATTAACCATATAAGGCCAAATCTACCGCGGAATGACAATATCTACCCTATATTTTTCTGCATTTTCAGAGAACAATTTCCACAACAATGGCAGAAGGTGGAAAATCCATGGACAAATGGCACAGCGGAAATGCACACCGGTCAGTATGAAGGAAACGCAGATTATGAAATTGCTGCCACAAAGGAGGCTTTCAAAGATTAAGGAGAATAAGTTTTGTAGTTATATTTTTAGAAGCAGGATCTGCATTTTTATTGAACAAGCTCTAAATGTAACGGTTAATGAAAACATTTTCTTTTTGAGTTACCACAATTCGCAGATATTTTTGGAAAGTTCTACTCCTAGAGAAGCTGAAGATGAGCTGCAGAAAAAAAGACTAGCACCGACTTCCTCTCTGACGTGACCAGGCGAGTATAACTACTTGGTGACGCAACAATCTAGTAGATTACTGTATCTTGACTAACAAGAAGCGCCCCAACGTTAATGCGGTTTCGATGGATGGCCAAGCTCTACCCAAGAACAGGTTATTTCGCCTGGTTGGAGTCCAGATCACCGAGGATTTGATCTTGTAAATCGCTGTAGCTGCTGGGAAAAAGGTAGGCTATTTGTTCAGGGCTAAGAAGTACTTTTCTTCGCACGACCTTCTCACCCTATACAATGCCCAGATAAGGCCCAGCCTCGAGCAATGCTCTCACTTTTGGGGTGCTGCCGCCCCGACAACATCATTTATCGGAACCCTTTCTCACCGGCGGGCCGTCTGCGATCTAGCTCTCTTCTACCGCTACACCAACGGGCTTTGTCAGAGCTCTCTTCCAAGATGGCGGCGCGCGATGTCCCTTCCAGTCAGACCCGCCTGACTTTGGCATCCCATCCTAACCGTGTCGAACTTCGTACATCCAGAACTGGCCGATACGACCGCTCCATTGTCTCGAGGGTGTCAAGATTATGTAACAATCTACAAGAGGAAGCTTTTCCCAGTTCTACTAACCTTAGGCAGTTCAAAAATCGGATTAACAAAATTTCTTTGGGATCCTCATAGCAACCGCGCTGGCCCGGCATTTAGGCTTCTGCCTGCGCGGCGTGGAGAGGTTATGCAATGAAAGCATAACCTCGCCACTCTGTACAAGGCTCAGATAAGACCTAGCCTCGAGTACTGTTGACATGTTTGAGGTGCTGCCGCCCAAACTATACTTTCCATGCTCGATGCTGTTCAGAGAGGAGCTGTCCGGCTGATCGATAACTCTTGTCTAGCAGACGGTCTCGGGAACCTTTTGCACCGACGGGCCGTCGGCGATATAGCTCTATTCTGCCACTGTCAACGGGCTCAGTCATGCCGTCGCGCGGTGAGTCTGCAAAACAAACCCGCCTCCCATTCTACAGTGTACATGTGTCATGTCAGCTATAGGCACTAAGCATGCTTTCAATTAAAAAACAACTGGTTAAAATAGATTTAAAATACAGCAGTACAGTGTTTACATAAAAACAATCTAAACACAAGTGACATAAAATCAAACAATAAGAAACATGATTAAAACAATTATGGCTTCATATTTAAAATTCATTAACGCTATAAAATGCGTGCCTCATGAGGAAGCTGTTAACTTCCGCTTTGAATTTGTTGTAGCTTTTGAGTGCCCTAATACACTGAGGTAAACAGTTAGATAAGACGACACAAATATAAAAAAGAGATTTTTTGAAGTATGAGGTAGAATGCCCCTAAATGAGTTTAATGTTGACGTTTCGGGTGTTATATGTGACAATAAGATAGTTGTATAAGTATAGTTGCTTGATTTTGCTCGATTTCAGTGAAGCTTTTGATACAATAGACCATTGAATCTTATGTTCGAAACTTAATTCTCTGGGACTTAGCAATATGGCTGTAGATTTCTGTCGGGCAGATCCCAGTGCACCCAATTTAATGGTATCTCAGTTTCGAAGTATAACCAGAGGTGTGCCAAAGGGTAGTATTTTAGGGCCTTTGTTGTTTTCATCTTATACGTCAGATTTAAAGTCAGTTGGAATTTTGCAGTACACATCAATATGCTGATGATACACAATTGTATTACCCTTTCAAACGAGATGATGCTTATGTTGCCTGCATGCGTATCAATTTTGCTCTTGAATATTTATCTAAATATGTAAGAGCCCACAGCCTTGCATTAAATGAATATAAAACTAAAATGCTTATTTTTGGGCAAAGACCGTGTGAGGTTACTGGCAACCAGAATTTTAGAATCTACATTAATAACACTGTATTACAAGCAATTAACCAATGTAAATTTGGGACTATATTTGGATAATACTCTTAAATTTGTTCCCCACGTTAAGCATCTCGTACAAAAAGCTTATACTAAGTTAAGGACTTTTTATCGTCACAAGAATGCTCTCTCTGCCGAAGTCAGTCTGAATCTATGCGATTCGTTGATATTGCCTTCCTTGTCGTATGCTGATATTGTACGGTTTGAAAAATATGACCACTTCAGTAGTTCAATATGCATGAGCGCTTTTTGATACATCTTGCTTGCTTAACTCACAATATTAACAAAACCCAGCTACCACATTACCTCTATACCAAACTTGTTAAGAGATCGGATTTTCATGATAGGCAAACTAGTACTTGTAATCTCTATGATGTTCCGTTCCATAGTACTGAACAGTTTAAAAAGTAATTTGCTTATGTCGTATCTACAATGTACAACTCATTGCCAGATACAGTAAAAAATTCGCTCTCACTTAGTAGCTTCTGAAATAGAGCCAAATCCCATGTGAAAAGACTAGAATAGTTTTATTTTTGCTGTTGTATCAATTACAATTATTATTAATCTTTAATTGTTAGGTTATCATTATTATTAGTAAAGTATTGTTTACAGGGGTTTCACGGAAGAGCACCGGTGTTGAATGCCACCTCCCTCATCAAATTAGTTTTTTGTTTGTTCTTTAAATCAAAAAATAAAGACACACTATTATTATTATAATTTGTGACAGGCTGAAAAACGAATATCATTTCGTCTTAAAAAAGCTACACATCAGACAATATACACAGAAGAAATTCTGAGGATGTTGCTCTGCTTAAACACCTCTCTTCACGATTCGGTAGGCTTTATTTTAAATATTAGTCTCAGCAATCGTGTCTGAAATACTCTCTTTCATGGAGTTCCATATCATGACGTTGTATGATATGTGACTATGTGCAAACCGGAAGTAGACACTGATCAAGCCCTTGTCATTAATCTACCAAAGAAGGCTTTTCCCAGTTCTACTAACCGTTGGTAGTTCAAATATCGGATTTACAAAGTTTTTTTAAGCTCCTCATAGCAGACTCGATTCCCCGGTATCCAGACTTCTGCTTAGGCGGCCACTTTCGTAGAGAAAAAAATGAAAGACAGCTTTTTTAGACAGGTATTCAGTCCTCGTATAACTCACTAAAGTCAAGTACCAAATTGCAGAAGAGTGGGCATAACTTAATGCGCTCCACTACTAAGGCGATATGTCTTTTCGTACGTGTGAGTGGATCTGGCCGTACTCAAAGACACACACCGCGTTAACAGTGATGGACCATATACGTAGGAATGACTCCTTAGTAACGTTTCGGCCACCTCAGTGGGCTTTTACTTCCTACGTCACTATGACTGGCAGTGAGAAACCATTACTAACTACGTCCAGAGACGGCGGAAAACATGCCAAAAACAAAAAAATTAAAATCGTGTATTGCAATTTTTTGATGTTAGCATATTTCAACGGGAATTCTATGCACCTATTAGAAAGATTTACTAAGCGTCTCTACCAACACCCACAGTTCAGTAATTCTGGAACTCCACCTTTCTTTGGCGCAAATAAGCTCATAGAACTTCAAGATTTTCTCATAGCGGAACTTTCGCAGTATTTGTTTTTTAATTCATTAATTTTGTATCAATCGTGGTTCTTTAAGGTTCCACGAACTCCCTCTGCAATCTTTAGCAGATCAGTCAGATCCCCCAACTCCTTGTACTTCCAGAAAATCATCACAAAGGCAGCCCATCTCCCCCCCCCAAATATCCTCAAGGGGGCCCAGACATGACGAATTGGCATAAGTGCAGGTTTTGTGAGAGGAAGTTCCAATCATATCTTGGCACAAGAAAGCCCATCCAATCGAGTACGACAAGGAGTTCGGAAGCAGAAGTTTTAATCAGGCCCGCCAATATCGAAACCAATCTGCAGAAGTTCTTCTTACAAGATGGTGGCAGCAACAGGGCTGACCAAACATCAAATCCGTCACCGTAGGGACAAGCCCATCAACAAAGAGCACCATGCTCTATCCAATGAAGAGACTCGCAGCCGACAAGGAGCTGGATTCGTCGCCATAGTGGAAGATAGCAGACTTCAACAAGCTAGTCTTCCAATCAAGAAGTTCAATCCCAAGCGAGCTATTGGCTGTGGGCTTAGGAAGTTTCGTGCAATTTGCCAAGGTTACTGAGGTGGCCGAAACGTCAGACTTCCGCCAGAAAAACATGGAGCTCTGCATTTTTTGTTGAAATTGTATTGTTTTGCGGTTTGGTAATTTGTTAAGTGCTAACAGTTTTGTTCCAACTACATAATTTTTTACCAATCCTTTTTCATGCGATATGCTAAAAACTCAATATAAATACAGTTTATAAGGAAATTAATATTAATTATTCCTCTTACCTTCGTTGAATGATATTTTGTTCTCACTAGCCGTACTGCTGCTTCTAGTGGACTTAGTACCATCATATTGGTATCTTCGACGAGGGGTGGACTGACTGGAGTATGGAAACCTGTTGAGCGAAGTCTGTTGGTACTGTTTGATGGATCTTTGGTTGGTGGTCACAGGGTTTGAGTCTTCACTGTCACTTTGTTCATCTAAAACAAAATTGCTTGGTTTATTTAACGATCGGAACTTTATTGACTAGAGGAAAAATTAAGATGTTTTACACTTTTATACACTTGAGGAAATACGACCGATGACATCATGCGTTGTCCTTATTGAGTCTCATCACAAATTTACAATAAGATGTATGTTGAATAGGTAAAATCTTCTATCACCACTTGTACATTCCATAGATATTTTCTCAACGTCTTCTTTATGCCTTACGCAAAATTATTAGCTTCATAAAAGGTCAATCCTTATCGAAATCAAAGTCTAGGCATGACTGGAATAGTCCCATGTATAAAAAACTATGTAACAGATAGAAATATTGATGACATTCATGACATTTGTATCTGTTCTTATCAGCCGCGCGCCGCGTTCCTTGAACTAGAAAGGCATCAATCTTACATTCTTGCTGGGAAGGTCTTGAACTGTAAAACGCGTCAACCTCTTTTACTAACGTCACTACTTCCTGCTGAATGATAACTATCGTACGATAACCAATATATTTAAACATTAATGTTGGAAAAACAAAAACAAAAAAACAGTTATCTCGCTATTTTTTTAGGCCAAAATGGGGCTGTTTTGATATCCCCTCAACCAAGGCGGGTTTAAGAATCTGATTGACTAGGAGGAGGGCGGTTATCGGGGAATAAAAATTTAAGAGCGGGGGGAGAAGTAATGGCTTCAATAAGTTCTTAAGCACCGCTTCTTGGAGCAAATGCCCTTGTGGTGGTTGAAATGCGAAGGATGGGATACGCCTGGGGGGCAAGGTATCTCTCCAATTAAGTTAATCAATCGGAGCTACTGGAATAATTATAAATAGGTGTGAACTGCAATTGGGCAGTAAATCGCAGTGGAGGAAAACCTAACCTACCTAGGAGGTGTGTCTTGGCCGAGATTGCAGATGTCCAAGAGTTTTTGAAAATACCCATTAACATACTTCATTTGATACTTATTTTAGTACTACCACTCATCTCATTTAATTGCAGTTTGAGGAAAATGTAGTGTCAGCCTCGAATAAAGGGTGCCCGCGTGACGAGATGTCTCAAAACAAAATCTGCAATTATTTTCACGTGAATTTGCCGGTACAATTCAACGTACTAAGCAAAACGCTTATCATTATTTCATGATATTCTGAGGTTATAATATTTAATCCAACTGATCATATGGCCAGAACGGCGTGTCTATCGTTATCAAACTATGAACAGCGGAACAGCATGCTGTGAACGTTTACAGAGGCTCAGAGTGAATAGAAGAGCCAACCCTATACGCTTTAAATTGGGAAAAATTAGTCTTAATATGAACCCAAGCGTCTGACGGTTTTTCGATTTTGGTTTGTGACTTAGACTGTGCAAGCTGTTCTGGCTGGCACAGATGTAACCTAGGAGCTAGACCAATGCTTCCATACTAACGAGCATATTTCCACTTCAGGCCAACAACAGTTCAACCGAAACGGCCTAACACACAATCCCTTAAACGTTACATGAAAGTTGCAAGGCTAATGAATCTATACCAGTTGGGATCTAGGGTACTCACTTAACAAATTTCGTAACTTATCAGCCAGATTTCCCGAGATTGCCATATTTTCGCTAACTTACAGATTAAACTGAAATTCAAAGCACGCGTTGAACCCAACCTTTGTCTATAGGAGCAGCGAGAAGTGATGTGGTTTAAACTAACAGTTTCAATAGCCTCAAAAAGGCTCCTCTCCATCATTGCATCTCAGACTACATTATTGATGTGCAGTGGACACAGGCAGAAATACTACCTTAATTAGTGCCTGCCATATCCTATTGACGACTCTATGTCGTCTAAGGGTCAATTTAGACTTCTAGAGTATAATATCCATGATTCGCATGAATTTTTGTCAGGGGGTCATATTATTGGCGAGAGAACTTTTTGTGAAAGTGTACCTACCCCCAAAAGGTTATGAACAGCTGGGGTTTTCAAATTTTCCAGGGGGAGGGGGCCATTGGGAAGATCCTAAGCATCCTCAAAATTGTACACAAAATGCCAAATATGCAAATTTTTAGGTCCAACTGGATTGCCAGGGGGACCACGGCCCAAACATTCAATTTTTTGGCAATTTACTGTTGTGATGCATTCATTCATTGTCTCATTTTTATCAAGTTTATGACCGTATTAGTATTCGCGACAAGAATGTCCAAGTTGTGAGAATGGATACGTTGCTTCAAAATAGTATTGAGCTTGTCAGATTCAGAATCATCAATTTTTATAAGTATCTTAATTTACCGAAACTTATTATGAGCTATTAAAAACTCTCAGCAAGCGCTCCGACTGGATCAGCTATTAAAGCGCCTTCCTATCTCGAGGTCCAATGTGACTTTTTTCTACTTTGTAATAATCAGAGATATGCCAGTTTTATTTATTTCGTTCAATTTCAGTTCAGCTCCAATGATTCTTGTACGTTACATTGGCCTGAAGATTACCTGGCTCAAAAACCTAGTATACTCCTAAAAACTATAGTAGACATCGCTAGGAACGTATATTGTATAAAAATGATTAATTTTTTGAAATTCAATTTAGGTGTTATTATTGAGTAGGCCACGAGCGCCAGTGGCTACCCCATACAGGTTTACCTTCTATTTTCGTTGCGTTCTATGCTGGTTCTGATAATGTTTCTGTCATCGGTCTTAAGGGAAAACATTCGGGAAAAGCTATATGCGAAGTATGTCTAATGGGTATGAGTATATACCAGGATTAGGAACGCGTAAATATTTTAACGACAATAATAATCAAGTTATAGACCGTCATAAAATTAACGAGCAGACCAACAGACGAGCAGACAGACAGACTGATAAGTGACATGGGGCATTCAAAAAGCATATCTTATTTTTAAATGTTTCCCAATGACAGTACTTCCTTGGCAGTTTAGGTGAGAAGTAAAAAAACTGTGTTAAATCTATTTATCTCTTCAAAAGACTCGAATGGGTTGAAACATAACTGGTTGTTTACTTAGGTAGAGATTATTTTCGAATGAATTTTTGCTCATACCTTCACACAAAAATAAATAATCATATAATAATAAGAATATATGCAACTTTACAAACCCTTACCCATACAATTCGCAACCCAAATTTTTCACTCCTCCATATATGTATATGAGCAGGAGGAAAAAACAGAAACCTACAAAGGTTTTTGGTCCTTAGCATGATAGTAACTTTGTGTCAGAGTTTAGTCAAAATCCGAGCGTTGCTTTATAAGTTCTTAGCTCTACCGTTCATTAAAAACTCAGCCGATCTTTGCAACAGGTGTATCTTTTTGTTATGGTGGGTATTCTTAGTGCTACAAAGGATAAATAAAGTTAAATCTACGTGTGAAATATGTAGATTTATCGGTGTGAAAAGAGTATGAATACACTAACTCCCAAAACAGTCTTTAAGTCAAATAATACCAAAAATTGAGATGAAGTCTTTGAAATAACAAAAAACAAAGTTTGAGCTATTTTTATTCTTTCATATTTTGGCCGAAGCTACGCCGGCGCTGAGTTCAGTTTCAATCACTACAAAACTTTTTCATCCTTGTAGAAATTTCATCAACATCTAATCCAAGTTATTGTTTGAATACAAAGTGTGAGCACACATTAACATGTGTACTAGGCTTAATATGTCATCTGTCATGTCCTCATGTATTTCATATTTATGTACACTCCCTAAATTTTAATAAATGATTTGTATAAATCTAAATGCATCTGGTCCTTTAATAAACAAATCAACTACACAAAACATTGCGCAGTAGTAAAAAAATTGTGCGGCTTCAGTTTAAAAGTGTGAAATCATGATGCTCGGGATGTAAGGTTTGTATCAATAGTTGATAGCATTCCGTACAAGTCTGAAGACCAAAGGATATGGCCGGTATCGGAGGTCCACTAGTACAACTTCCGCCTAATTTCGGCCGGAGACTGAATGAAATTTTGGTTGTCAAACTTCCCCGGCAATGGGGCAGGAACAAGCAGCTATAGTTATGTCCAATTTCACGTTGGCCGAAGATTCAGTCAGATGATCGAAGAGATAGGTAAATATGTGAATCCATAGAAGAACGAATGTTTAGAGAGATACCTATTCTTGAAAGCAACCCAGAAAGAGGAAGAGATATTCAGCTGGTAAAATCCTGCATTCACAGTGTGGTAGTCCGAAACCAGAGCCATGAGGATAAAGCTCTTAGGGATGAACTAGTAATGGACGTCAGAGACCCCACTACTCGAGAGGCACCGTAAAGAATCGATGACTCGAAGGCCATAAATATGAATAGGACTTCACACTTCACAGTTCCAAAGTCAAGATCCAGCAGCATAAGTATATCACAATAGGTGAATTCTTTAATTCACCGGTTGATTCCACCACTGCTGGATGCGGTGCTTATGGTTGACACTGTTGACAGCTTTGTATGGTGACGGCAGCAACCGGTTGAATTAAAAGGACGGATGTCTGGTCCACCGGTGGCACCGGTTGCTCAACCGGTGAATTAAAAAATACACCATATAGTCAGTTGGTACCTCTAGATATAATGATAGTAGTCCCATTGTAACAAGAAATGGTCGTGAAAGTAGACCAACCCCGCGGTTAGATCTTTGAGGAGAAAATGTTTGAACGCACCTTTAACGTGTGTTCTAGATTTAAGCTGTCATCTGTCATGTCATGTAAAGAAGAGTATTATCAAATCCAAGCGAATAACCAAAATTTCTGTGTTATGTACCGCGGTTATAATATGGTTCAAGATGACACACGGGTTGATGACGTCAGTTACACGAATCGCTTGAACGCGTTGGTTTTAACCGCGGTTTTGTTGCAAGTTGTTTATTTTAGAACAGCGCGTATATAATCTCTGATTATTTTTATTATCACTTAATAATCGGTGCTTTTTCGTCTACAACTGTATATGGAAAGTTTAAATAAGAAACCTTTCATAATATTCATGGGAGAAATGTCTTTTTCAGATTTTTTTTTAATGATGGAACCATGGCTTTGTAGCTATGATAACTTTCAATTCTCTAAATTTTTCCGCATGTCAAAGAAAACATTTATTGATTCAGCAGAAATGATGAAAAGAGAAATTAGCAAAACCGTATACAGGTGGATATCAACTAGTGAGTTTATATGGCCATATTTTAATATTCTTGTGGTATATGGCTACACAGGATACTTTGTTAAGCATAGTAACTACATTTAAAGTGTCCCCAACAACCGTAATGAGTATAACTAATAAGGTGCTCCACTTTATGGTAAAACTGAAGTCAGCCTGTAACATTTTTCTCAAAAATGAAGCTGAAGTACAATAACAATATCCAATACCCGGCAAAATTCTAACTTGTCACATTTCAAATAATAACCAGAAATATAAAACTACTCTTGAGTTGGGTAAATACCACAATTTTGCGGTGATAACTATGACATATAACAGCTGATTCGTGACGTCACGGATCTTATAACCAAACTGATAACTACACTCGCTTGAACGGATTGGTAAATACCAACTCAAAATGGTAAATACCATTTCCATTTGGTTATCCGCTTGAATTTGATTTATGTCACTCGATTTTATGTCACGTGTAAATGTACGCTACTTAAATTTTAAGGATTTGCACGATTACAAATTCATCCGGTGTTTCAATAAATAAAGCAACTGCATAAAGCAGTCATAGACGTGTCAAGGGTGAGCGGATATACAGACAGATAGAACGCAAGGCTGATAGACAAACAGGCAAAGGGACAGACATACAAACAAACCGATGTGAGTGTAACATTTAAAAAAGATATCTCAATTTCGCGACAATAATCCTTCCTAGTCAATTGATGTAAGAAGTAAAAGAGACCATCATTTCTGCAATTAAGATATTTCTGAACCCTGGAACGTTGAAGCAATTTTAGTCTGACACTAAATGCATATTTTCATGATAATGGGTCTCCTAGTAATAGTTAACATTCTCTAAGAGCCTACAAATCATTTTAAGTATTGTACCAGCCAGAAACGTAACCGAAATCAAAACTACTCATCAAACTAGTACGGCAGCTATATAAGCAGTGTATGTGATTTTTATGGGCCAATCATTTCACTTAATAGCGTCGTTAAAGCTTGTGGGACACTTTATGTAGTTTACAATATTGTGGCGGCGTAACCGTGGCAATGGAGATCATTATAAAACTGTTATGAAAACTCGGTGGTCCATTTTCGATTTTTTTAGTGCCCTACAAGGGGTACATCGGATTCCAAGTCAACAAGAAATTGTACAAGCGCATGTGAGATGATACTTGCGCAGACTCCAAACTCGTATCGCAAGCAGATGTGAAGCAGGAATTATGGTGTAACTTCTAATAATTGACTATCTGGCTGCTCTCTATGTTAGATTAGACGTTAAAAAAAAACAAATATGTGAAAAATAGCATCAGGCAGATTGACTGTGTAATTCCCACACAATCCTGGACAAATGAAGTTTATATATGCATCATATCTAGTATCTGAGTCAACTTCTGTATGCTTTTTGTTCTGGTATCTTTATCGTTTACCGGTTATGAAAAGCATTGCATCAACAACAACATTGTTCATTTGGCAAGTATTGAAATTATGGAGTTTGAATAGGCATGATGGTATACTATCTAAATCAACTTTCCTACGGTTTGGTAGATATGGAAACCATTACAGCTGGTTATGTAATACAATGAATGTGATTGAAAAATAGGTACTGTGAGTTTTTTTTTAAATAATCGAGGGCAGCTTTCATATGCCCTGGTATTAGACAGAAGAACATTAACGTTTTTGCCTTGTTTAAATGCGAATGTTTATAAGGCGCACAACTAACATCCGATAATATATGATGGTCATTGCATGGAGTGTGGGATTTCTTTGAAAACGGTCACCGAGTTGGTGATGAAACTTGTACCCCGTACCCATTCATCCAATTCGGTTGGTTTGTTTACAAGATTATGGATTTTCAATTTATGTATGCGCCATAGAGGCTAGCATTAATATCATTGATTAGCATATTCCACAATAAGATACACAACTCAATTGAAAACCACATCTGCGTGACACCGGGTATAGATATACGAGGGACGCTAGAAAAATCGATTGAAATTCACAAGCATATGTCAAATAGTGGCATGTTTTCTACATCTACAAATTTGAGGTAATTTTGATAATAAGTTCCCAAGTTATAAAGTGGATTGTGAGAAGAAATTAGTAACTTAAAATTAGAGTATCGCTGTCATAAAATTTTTGATAAAAGATGGCATAAGCCGAAAACAATTCTTGAGAGAATAATTGCCGTCTATAAAGATGATGTACCATCATATTACACAATAAAATTTTCGAGATAGTTTAGATGTGGGCGTGGATCCATAGAAGATCCCAAAAGTGGAAGGTCTCTACCATTAGTATGGCACTGAATATATCAGAACCCAGCGTAAAACCATCTTGAACGACAATTTGAACAACGGCTGTTGACACTTGAACAAAAATTGAGCAGATTGGAAATTTCAGAAAGTCATTTGGAAACTTTGACAATCGAATCTGACTTTTTGGCATACATTATGGCTTGGGTCCGTCACTCTATTTCTTTAGATTACTAAAACAAATCTTCTGGGACGCCGTTTTAACTGAGGAGGAAACATTTTTTCATAACGGTACATATAAGTTTAATGTACGAAAAACGGCGCAAGTAGATTGATGTTATACTTAAGAATAAAATTATAAAAAAAATCGTACGTCTTTTGAAACATGTAGATTTCTTTTCTAGTGCCCCTCGTACTGCAGCGCCACCAATCGCGTATGCATTCAATTATACCATGTGCTTCAAATTCGACTGTCACCAATAGGATCTCGGAAACGGGAAAAATACGAAGTCGTTTAAATGAAAGTACCTAGGGGAAGAGTAGGTAATACGCCCCACTTCTTTTCAAGGGCCTATTGAAAGAAAACATTTGAAGATATCGGCAAGATCTTAATCAGGGGCATAGCTTGGCTCTTTTACAACGTAAAGACAGATGTTACATTGATCTAAATCGTTTAGACAAATATTGATTGCATATTTTCCAGAACCTTGAGTGGGGCGTTTTGTCAACTAGGGTAATACGCCTCGCACGAGTTGCAAAATGCCCCACTACCTTCAATATTATATTAATTTGAAGATATAAGCAATAATTGAAAAAATGAACATTCAAATAACTTTAATGAATATCAGAGTAAGATACAGCACTTCTGATGAAATGATAATTCGACACTATTAGTGTTTGATGAAGTGATAAAATGAATCTTTGAAATATAATACATAGGTATATAATGTTTATACGCATGAATGGAACTCATTTCTGGATAGATGCCCTTTTAGCTTTTCGTCCACAACGATTACACATAGGAGCATACATTGTACAAAATTCATGAAGCCATGCTTAACAAGTGGGACATTGGATCCAATACTCTGTAGATTGTGTTTGGTAATAGTTTTCAGTACATTCGGCACATCTGTTTGGATCCTCATCAGATAGCTCTTCTTCCGACTCCTCAAACGTCTCCATATTTTCATCATTGCTATCTGAAGACGATGAATCCCACGCATTCTTCTTTGGCGTCTTCTTTAACACCTTTTTACCTTTTACTCTACTAAGGTCATCCCTTTTCTTCGTATTAGTCACTTTTGTTTTAGTCTTCTTGAGTTTATTACTCTCAGCTTCAGCTTTAATCTTTCTTTTATTTGCCAGTAATGTTCTTTTCTCAATATTTTCCGGCGAAGTGAGAATGATTGCTGTTTGTTTCCTTTTGGACAGATTTTTTGGTAGTTTGGGCACTGGATGTATTTCACTTAGAACTTTGGAAGGCGTTTCTTTGTCTTTTACATCAGAAGATGGAATGGCTTCTTCAGGCGTTTTATCACAAATGCCTACTTGTTGGGATGCATCATTTTGTGGGTGCTTTTGCGGCGTATTCACAGATTCGTCATCATGTAGGGCGACTGGAGTGCTGTGGAGACCTGACGTTCCTGGCTGTGACAGAATCTCAGTTGCTGGTGCAGTATTTCCTGTAAGACTCTCATCAGTACTTCTTGTACTTTGATTGTTGACTTCGTCAATGTCAACTAAATTTTGCTCTTATAGCGAATCTGATAATGAGAAATGATAGTCTGCAACAGCATGGGGATCAAATGGATAGATACCGCAGCACTTCAACGCTGAAACACCATTGGATACAGTGGCGGCCTTACCCCAAGCCTTGCCAATCAGTTTTGAGACATCATAGCGCGTCAACTTCTTTTCTCTATTTTGTACCATCCAAGATTTAGCTTCTTGTGCAAAAAACATTTTGAGTGGCCTAAAAAAGGCCTTGTCAAGAGGCTGAAGTACATGCGTTGTGTGGCTTGGTAGGCATAACAGTATCACATTATTTTCTTTGGCTACTTCTAGTACCCGAATATTGTTACTATGCGAACTGTGACCATCTAATATTAATAAAGTCGTTCGAGGACCTTTGTGTCGTAAAAATACTTCTTCAAACCACTGCATGAACAAGTCCAAGTTAATATAGGATGATTTTTTATTCATAAGGACCCGTGATCCTGGTGGAAGCCCTTCAGAAAACTGGGGCTTAGTGTAAGTTCCCTTATATATTAATGTAGGAGGCATGAAATTACCTCCAGCATTGCAACATGCTATAACTGTCACATTTTCACCTTTTTCACAACTTGTGAGAGTATATACATCTTTGACCCCTTTTGTTGCCACTACTTTTCCTGGCTTGTTATTAACCTGAATCCCTGTCTCATCCATGTTATATATATCTTCAGGATGAGATGCAAAGTCATTTTCTTCGTAAATTTTGGCCAAAAGGTCATAAAAATATTGAATGTCTTTTCTGTTTACTCCATATGCTCGTGCAAGTGATAAGCCTTCTGATTTTCTTTGAGTTAGTTCTGGATTTCTTTTCATAAATCCAGTAAACCACACCCTACCAGCTGATCCCGACCTTTCAGAAAATGTATGTTTGATGTCAAGTTTTTTTGCTAACTGGAAAGCCATTTCCCTCACATCATTTCTGTCTGGTGCAAAACCAACTTTTTCCAATTTTTGTATATGTGCTACAAGTTTTCTTTCATATTCAACTGAAAATACAGGGTTGCGGCCAAGGGGGACCTTTGATTTTCCCGTTATAAGGTGTCTTCTCAATGTTCTGGATGGTATTCCAAAACGTCTGGAAGCCTCATTAATGCCCATAATTTTTCCCCGGACTTGCTGCATCGCCTCTTCCAAATCTTCAGCTGCCCATGACGCTCGTAGTGACTTCCGTTCATATTTTCGTGACATATTCTGGAAAACATAAGAACCATGAATAATATTTGCGGTTTTAATGGTGGGGCGAATTATAAACCATACAATGGGGCATATTGTAAAATATGGTGTCTAAAACGCCCCACTCTGATGCAAGAAAGGAATTTTAGGTTATGTTGTTTGACACACACAGAGCATGAAGCCAATTTTATATGTTTTAACATGGTGCATATAAGTTTGGAATAAAACAAATAGTATTAACGATATATAAATTTGTTTGGAACTTACCACAAATTGTCCGACCACTGAAAACTATCCTTTGCAATATTTTTTTAACAAGCTACAGCACGCGTGTAGGAACATAAACCATGTTGCCGGCAGACTTTCTTCGATGCGCGGATGCCGCATTGTGCCGAAAGTGTGCTTGTTTCAGTGAAACGTTAGTGGGGCATTTTGTCAACTGGGGCATATTACCTACTTTTCCCCTATAGTTGAGCATTCAGGTAATCAAAAAAGTTTTTGTATTTCCTGAGATAAACGAATGAAACTGAATTTTCCCAAAATCGTTTTTATTTTACCCTGACCATATTTGAGGTGGAATTTCAAAATAAATATCACATCAATACTTTTTTTCCCATAGATAACATAAGTAATTGGAATTTCAATAAGACGTTTCGTCTCACCTATGAACTTTATTTTTTCTTAGGAGCGCAATTTTGGAGTTTTGCACAGATACATGAGTTTTTCAGTCTGATCCCAAGAAGATATATCTAGTTGTAGTCACCGTTCTTGGCGGTTACGTCATCAACGCCAGATGAAATAAGTGAACAAATCGAGTCTCCGTACCATAAATTAATTAAGCAATTTTATATTGAAGATTGATAACAGGACAACTTAAATTGCACGCCGATGTCAAGTAAGTTGTCACTCTGACAAATATGATTGAAGGGCACTCATACGTAACGACAAAGTTTTCGAGACGGAGACTGAAAATCGTATGTCTTTGAGCTTACCGAACAAACGTTCACACACACACACAGGCAGGTTGCATGTTTAATTTATGAGGGAGATGGGGATATACTATATAAAGATATACTGGTACGCGAAGATGGTGACTACAACTATATAACATTTAAAACTCATATTTTCATAGTTAGCCTTAAAAATTACAGCTTTTTCCCATTCTTGTTCGATTACATCAACGATTGAAGATTGCCTCAGTTTCTAAAAAGCTTGTTTAAAGGACTTCCAGATCACTTTCCGACTGATCGAGTGTAACAAAATTCGTCTTAAAACGACGGAGCTTAGGTATGTATGCATCGCTTTAGATATGACCTAATACAACAGTGTGGTTCGATCTCCATGTGAACCATACTCCAAGTAAAAGTACGTCGCAAATATAAGCGCAACCCAAGTAAAAATTAGCACAAATTATTGCATCCCTCTTCCCACAACTTCCCACCATTTCCGGCCAGGCATGTGACAACATTGCGTCTCTAAAAATAAAGAGCATCTTGCCAACTGATCAGCGTGCTCTGTAATAGTGGATCATTGCCGCATGTGTATAGCGCACCTCACGCGGATTTCCAGTCACGTTTTTTAATTTCGACATTGTTGTTGCGTGAGATTTATGACATATAGGTGGGAGTGTTCATTGATATAAATATGAGCGTTGATGTAGGTAGTACGATTCAGGGAATAGATTGGATGGGAGGAGTATTGGAGTGTAAGTAGCTTAGGGATGAAAACATGATCTGTCACTGCCACTTGGTTTGTTAACGTTTTGAGCTACCAATTTTTTTGCAGTTGAGGAAATGAGTTATGTTGCTATAATGGGAGATAAGAGAGGTATCTTTCATATTTTTTTCTTGGACCGTTTTACTGCCAAATAGGCTGGAATATTGACTGACGCCGTATACTAGTACAAAAAAATATCCTAGATAAAATGACACATGTCATCTATGAGAATTTTTACAGCTGTTTCTCTATTTACTATATATACCTTGATATTTACTTCTAGAAAAGATTTAAGTCTAGAGACAGATCTCACGTTAAATGCTTATTTTTTGTTGTATCTTAGATAAAATGAGATACTATAAGGTAATGTCATCTACGAGAATTTGTCACAGCTGATTTTCTTCTCACTATAAGTATTATATACTTTGAAAAAGTTAGTGTTTCATTCAAATCCGGAGATGCTAAACGGTTAGATCGCACGTTAAATGCTTATTTTTATATCTTTATAGTCACATTACATAACGCTTTGCTTCATTAAAATTTTGCTGAAAATTTAAAATTACGCTAACATGTAATTGAATACAGCTGCTAAGGTGGCTGACCATATAAGATAAGTGATTCAAGCAGGAGTCAAGTATCTTGCACGCCTGGAGAACCTGTAAATAGTCCAGGAAGTATCGGACTAAAAACCTTCAAAAAGGATAAAAGTTATATGGAGGATGGAATTCGGGTGTCTCCAAAACTTTGCTTCGAAAAGAAACGTTTTTAACGTGTATCCTCTATGTCTATGGACTACAAATTATAATGCTTTGAAAGAATGTGATTGCTATCTGCTAATTTCCTGGGAAGATATGTACGAGTAATTACTTCATAACCCTAGAATATAAAATTACTGTCTTTCAAAATTATGTGCTGGCAGACTATCAAAGTTGAATGGTTCTGTACATTGAATCGCCTATAACTCGACCACTAATCATCAATCTTCTCCTCTCAAACGGGTATATCTAAAATATGAACCACTCACTTCGAAAAAATTAATTTCTGTCAATTCTTATAAATTAATATCTCATATTTTATTACACGCTACAAAAGGAGAAGATTGATTTTCTTAATACTCTGTGATGTTATGGTGATTAGTTGTTGAGTTATTAGCAAGTCAATGTATAAAAAACTCAACCTTGACAGCCTGCCAGATCGTAATTTTCAAACTTAGTATTTTACATTCTCCGGTCATATATATATATATATAAGAAGTTGAAGATGAGCTGTCACATGACCCCTCGTTTCATTTAAAAAAATGCCCCTAAATGGCCCCCAGCCGCCATCTTGAAAAAAGTCTGGAGTCGAGCAAGCAGCGAATATTCAAGATTGATTCAACCCTTAAAACTTATTTCAAAAAAATCCATTTACTTCGATAACTCATTCTATTAGCAAAGTTATTAATCAGATACGAAAACACATGCCTCAGGTACCATTTGTATACTAAGATTACAAGCTAAAAATGATCTTGGAGGATCCTGTACCCGTATTTCCTGGACTATCATGGATCAATTTCACAAGCCATTAGAGCCGGCATGGCGACAGGCCTCGGCGACGTATGTATCTTCCTTGAAGGGGAATCTCATCCCATATTGATCGCCACTTAACGAAATTGGAGCGTTTATCGCGGCATGCTTTGAGGGAAAAATGCTACATACACACATCTTAAGCACCGCTAGAGTGAGCAAAATGGGGAATAGCTACCGTCCCCTTTAACGGATCATGTTCAACTCATTTTTTCAGTTCTGCCGGATAAGCCGATCGGCCTTCTACATCTCACTCTAACACTGTCAAATACAGTACTGGCTGGTATGACTATTTTCTTGGTCCTAGTATAGTGGAACAATCTGCCTGAAGAGATTTTATCAGTTCTGTTAACATTGCAGTTCAAAAAGTGGATGATCAAGATATGTTCCAACTTCTTACAGTAGAAGCGGTACATCAGTATTTAGATTTTCCCCTGCAATATCGAAATTATTTTGCATGGAGCTTTCATTCGTATTTACCGTATAAGTGTTAATATAAAATGTTTTCAACAAAAATAGTCAGAAGTGGTTTGTGGAATTTTTATTCATATCAGGTATCTCAATGTTTCATTCACATTAAGTAGCAATGGAGGATTTTGATCTGTGCGAATAATATACGTGTTTATTTTTATAAATGCTGAGTAATTCCTCAAGATGTATGAAAGAGGTTAATAACTTGTTTGTCATCAGGAAGCCATTCGGAAGGTTTATTGGATTACTGGAATTTTTTGTTCCAAATTATCTGCCAACTATGATTCGAATGTCACAAAATAACCTGAAAAACTCACGTACGAGTTTTTTCACCTTACAGTCTACGTCATCCGAATAAATTTGCGAGACTAAATTGATGTAGTTGACAGTAACTTGAGAAAGTAAATATTTGATTGTGCCAGCAATATAATATACAAAATATCTAATAACTAAGATACTAAAAATTTGATACAAAGAGAAGTTTAGATACTCCAATTACTGGCTACTCTGAAAAGGTGGGCAATTCGCAAAATGCACCAGTAATTTTTTTGGAGATATTGACATTCTTTATTGCTGAAGCTTACCAACTTGATTTACTAGCACGCGCCGTTTTTATGGATGATTTATATTTTTACGATAGATTTGATAACACATAAATCAAATAAAATTTACTGAGGGTACTGATAACTGCTCTAGTTTTTCGTAATGTATATCAATACTGATACAACAGCCTTGGTGATATTTTTTGGTATCATCTGGAAAAATTTGATGACTTCTTATTGGATAATACATATTTACACATTATTAGAAACAAATCATATGATTTACATATTTATTTCTTCACTCTTTATTAGATTGATAATCTGTTGCAACAATCGCAATTTTACTGAAAAGTATCGTTGGAAGGAGATCTGAGGCAATTTGAAAAGATCCAAGACAATCCAAGGAAATTCGGGGCAATTCAAGGAAGTCTCGAGTAATCAATAGAGGAAATCGATGTACATGTATGTACGTTTCTGTTAACTGTATCTAGGCATTCTGTGGATTTTTCAGTAGATGCGAGGGAATCCAAATAAATCCGAGAAGAACCAATTTTTTCCTAGTAATTTCAAATAAATTTGACAGATGGAGATACTTAGTAATATGTGGTAATACACTAGCAATGTAGCAGACGGTGCCACAAAGTGCCAACTATTACCAGAATCGACCACTACGAAAGTGAAAACAGCAAGCTGACTGCTGGAACTCCATACCAGTTAAACTGCCTGTTCAAAACTATATGGTTTCATATTGCAGCTACATACATCTTACAAAGGGTGGGGCATTCCAAAGCGAATTTAAACAACGTCTTTGATTTCCCAGTCGTAAAATATGCTTGATTTGGTTAAGGCCGAGGGCATACGAATGGAGAAAGCCAACATTCTTAGAAGGGCGAAACCATCAAAAAGCAACCTGACGAGGAGTGAAGGTCTGGCACTACGGAACTTGAATAATGACGAGGATATTATCATACTCCCAGCCGACGAAGGCAATGCAACCGCTCTTCTGAAGACCGAGGACTACAAAAGGAAGATTATTGAACTTCTAGACCCGGAAAGTTACAAACCCCTGAAGAAAGGTCCAACGCAAGCCCGACTACGCCTTACCAACCGGCTCATCAAGCTATCATCACTGCCAGAAGACACCAAGAAGAGCGTTACGAGGACGGAAGCGGTTCCACCAAGGCTCTACGACCTGCCCAAGATACACAAGGCAGATGTTCCGTTGAGACCAATAGTCAGTGCTCCCGGATCACCGACGTACTACTTAGCGAAACACTTGGCATCCCTGCTGCAACCATACGTGGGAACGAGTACCAACTACATCAATGATTCCACGAACTTTGTGCGCAAGATTCAGGACATCGTAGTTGAACCCGACGACATCCTTGTGAGCTTCGATTTCATCTCCCTTTTCACCAAGGTACCGCTGAGGGAATGCCGGGATCTGGTGAGCAGGATCTTCCCTTCTGACATCTGCAAGCTCTTTGAAATCTGTCTCACCGGAAGCTACTTTGTATGGGACGGGGGCTTTTATGAGCAGACAGACGGGGTTGCAATGGGAAGTCCACTTAGCCCAGTCATAGCCAACCTTTTTATGGAACACTTTGAGAAGAAGGCGGTTGAGACATCGGAGAACAAACCAGCAATTTGGTTCCGATACGTGGACTACACCTTCGTGATTTGAAAAAATGGCACGGTCAGGCTAAACGAGTTTCTGCAGCCCGAGCAGTGCCGATCGACATCCCGAAGTCAACCGAAGAGGAACAAGCCACGTCCCCTACCCTCCGGTATAAATACCACCTGCGCAAGAGCCAGTTTTTTTGTATCTCTTGAGATGGAGTCTTGTCGTTTGCCTTCAAAAATTCAATTGTGAAACCGTAATATTACATTTCCCTCTGAAACAGGGTCGATTTTTGGCTATTCAGCTTGGTCTATTATGGGAAAGCTGTGTACTCCGAGTACAAAAATTGATCCGGTAGAATAGAGAATAGGAAGAGCAATATTCATGATCTAGTAACATTTTCATTACCGTCGTTGAGTGCTGCACAATATACATGTTTGGTTTCAAAGCTGAAAGCTAATCCAGATAAAGCGAAATTGAGCAGCTTGAAAGCCTCTTAATAAATTACGGGCGATAATAGGATTAATTGCATATTCATGTCATTATCCGTCCTACCTAGCCCAGTTACATTGCACCCAGAATATACAGGATGTTACCAATTATGACAAAGTCAAAATGGTAAGAAGCCAGTAATTTCATCCTTTTTGCAGGAATTTAGAAGTATACTAATTGTAAGACAATATGGACAAGGTGAGTGAAAATTTTAGCTCTAACTCAAAACCTTTCCAGAATTTTTAGAATATTATAACCGAAAAGTCGATAAATCACTCACATTTCGTAAGTTAAAAAAACGAGCAAATTGAAAATAATAGCCATAACATACTGACTGGAAAATGTTATCAACATTTAACCTTTGTCCATACATGAACAATCAGAAATTTCACAGTATAATGTCCCAGTAAATCCTTCAGCATATTGCTTGTTTTGGACATAACTCTTCTATATATAAGACATAAAACTGTATGTATAACGTTCACACAGGTGTGTTACTGTAATCAAAATATAAACAAGAGAATTAAGATTACTGCTGACGACAAAAAGGTTCTCGTTTGATTTTCTACAAAATTAGACGCTATTTGAAAAATCAGTGTTTCTCTGAAGGCTAGCCCGACTATAATTTTTTATTGAACTTGTAACATTGTAATAATAATAATAAAACGTCTTTATTGGGCGAAATTTAGCATAAGCTATTCTACCACTTATCTGTTTATGTTATAATGATCACTTATTCTGTAACATCCTGTATAATGTTCTATAAAAAATTCTTCTATGTTCCCTCCAGAAATGCGTTAATGAGTAAGTAAAATTCCGTAAAGCAAATGCCTAACGGAAACACATCTGATAGTCATTTATCAAAATATGGCTTGACACATGACCTACGCAGAGAAAATAAGTCTCTGAAGACCCTTTTTCTGCCCCGGCTAATTTTAAAACAAACATCTGTGTATTAAAATATTTAAATGGAGTTAATGCCCTTGTCGAAAGTAGTTGTTCATTGGCTCTAAAGAAATATACGAGAAGACCTACCGTTTATATTTATTTCTACGGGCTCTGCGACTGGACACTATCAGCTAACTGGGCATTAAATTTTCACGTTGTAAAATGTTTGTCAAGTAGGTAGACTTTATGCTTCCCACACGAACGAAGAACCATTGAAAGATCAAATTTGCTCAGAAATGAATGAAGGTTTCAAAACCGTTTTTTTTAAAGAGAACATTTTTTCCAAAAATATTAAATGCAAAACCCATACGGATGCCAATAGTAGAAATAATAAAATTGTATCTGTAAACTGTATCGCAAAAGTTCACCACATATATTCATAAGATTTTTTTAAATAGGTTCAAGAATCATCTCCTAAAATCATAGCATTTCATTAAGGAACACCCTATATATAAATTAACATCACAAAAGTTGATATGTCAATACTAATAATATACAAAAAATTTCAATGAGAAATTCAATTTTAACTAATAAATATTTATGTTTGATGGTTTTTAAAATTCTGTATACAAAGACCTTTGTAATTACACATGTTTGAAATGTTATCGTAATTTTGATTTATACCTAATATAAAGAAATCGGGCATATTGTATTTTAACAGTACATGGCTATTCCGGTAGATAAAAACATACTTCATAGGGATTTGATGTTATAAGCCAATATTTATTCAAACATATGAATGTGGACAGGCTCTTAAGGTTCAATTGGAAAAATACATAGCATGCGTTCATATGAGTAATTATGGGATAGCTTCCATACTTTTGTATTTTGTTCAGATCATGAAACTCCATTAATATCACCCACATTTAGTTAGATTTATCTTCAAAAAGGAGGCTTACTTTTTTAAGGGTAGATTTTCTTCATTAAAGTAGCTTCCAAGCGAGGCATACGAGGGCAGGGGGTCCCAAAACGTGCTGAAGAGCAAAAAGTGCCCCCCACATCGGTAACACAAATATGTATTATACTCTCAAAACCGTTTGAAGAACAGGGAGATGCAACCTTTCCTAGGAAAGGTACAAATCAAGTTTATGAGGCGACCGAAATCTCACAGGTAAAACGGTCCCCCGTTTCCCCCTGAGGGCGCGCATTCTAGTATTGACTTGCAATGATCTGATCTATAGCTATTCTAAGTATGTATTTGTTGCCATTGAGAAATATACACATACTTTTCCGATGTTTTCAAATCTATTTACCGATGGACAGCTATGGACAGCTAAATATCCATCCAAGGACAGCTAAATACACCACCAAGAACAGCTACAGACAGGCACCGGCAGTCATGGACAGCCACGGCCAGTTACGAGATACCCATGGACAGCCAACTGCTTGTACACCGTACACGGACTCAAATCTTGTGACATGTGACATCTGAAGAGGAAGGTGAGACATTCGCCCAATGGGACCTAAATACTATAATCGTGGAGGATTACCTTTCACCCAATACACCATAGGTTCTCAAACATATTTTGTCTAGACCCACCCAATGTATAAGTGTAGGTAGGTAAGTTTCAGTTTTCGTTTTAAGTATTTTTAAGTATTTACCAAGACACAAGCTAGTCATTGTATTGCCCCCAAATCAATTCATCACCCCCCCCCCCCATATCACCTTCCACTAGGCTGCTTACCGCCCACTCTCAGAGAGACTGCAATACAGAATACACATAATATATGGTATTTTATTAAAGTAACTTTGACAAAATACTGCAAAATTTCTTTGTTCGTAGTTTGGTGCCAAAAAAGCGTTCCTAATAATGTATTTTTTTTCATCTTGAACAGTATGAAAAATTATCGAATACGAATCACTCGTACTTTTGCATTGAGTGCTTGAATAACTTTTAGAAAAAAACATCCACCACATGACTTGTCTCAAAAATAGGTCGGAGCATTTGGCAACCGGCTCAAATTATGCAATGTATTGAAAAAATACAGCTGTATTTTTTCAATTTATTTCTTCCTCCAATACGATACCCTATGTCCGTCATATGCTAATTTTTTCATTTCAAGGAAATAGTAACTTGACTGTTCAAACTCAGATTGTTCAAGTTTCTGGATATAAAGTACAGGGTGTTTGTCGATTTCGGCTATAAAGATATACTCGTATAGTCCATGTTATTGAATGATTAATATATAAACTTCAAACTTTGCGGTTAACACATATCCAATTTTAAATTTTTCTATTCTAACATTGAAAATAAAATATGTGTCCGATCTTCTGCTGTAATTTGCTTAAAAATGCAAAAAAAAGTTACTGTATTTGATATACGAGAATTAACTCCTTTCCAGCTTTTCAATGTTTATTCAAATTCCATGTATGTATTTTTGCTAAATGCTATCTTGCGAAGTTGTGAAGAAAACGAGGAAGAAACGAACAATTTTATTCTTTTATCAAATTTTGCTCCATACTTAGGGTTATAATGACTAATATCTAGACCTGTATCGGACAAACAAAATATATGCTGTAAATTGTATAAGGTCCAAGCTCCTAAAACACAGGATGACATATGCCTGAACGACTTATCTCTCTCTAATATTATTAAAATGTTTTTAGTTATTAGTTTTTAATCGCCATAATACGTCTGCGGCGGTTAAATTTAGCGATTTTGGGAGCCACATGTCGTCGCAACGTGTCATCGGAAACCACTAAATGTTCCTTTACGGGCGCGCGTTGCCGATTAATGTTTTATGACCATTTTCAGGGCACTTTATCTCAGGCGATGTCATCTGGCCCGCAAGATCGCCAGACTTAACGACCCTCGTAGGAACAATATTTTGGAGACTATTCAAAATATTTCTCTCGGAGCTCATAAAAAAGATATGGAAAACGTAATCAAGATGTCTCACGGTTGGCGCTGCTTGCAAACACTGGTATATGAATTATTTTTAATACATAACTTTTAACTTTCAATAGGAGATTGAGATAAGCAACTGGATCCATTTCGTTTCATTTTCAGTATATTGGAGAAATAAAATGCCGAGTGTATAACACTGTTAGGAATCATTTGAAGCCAAGAACAAATGCTTGTAAAAAACAGATTCACTGCATAACAGATGAATGCGCCACCAAGCTCACTTAAACTCGCTCTGCTACCCGCTACCAGGAGTCATCCGCTAAGCTCAAGCCAGACACTCAGGCCGTATGATACGCGGAGGTATTGAATCGTCGAGCTTTCCTAGAATAATTATTCGTATCCCATGGATCAATGGTAGAAGATAGTATACTCGTATGTTGACAGTTTAGCAATCACTTGGAAACACTTGTTACCCCACACTTTGTTAAAGTAGGTGTTCATTCAATGAATTGGTGATTATTTAAATATTTCATTGAACAGCCTTAAGGAAATGGATTATCTGATACTTCTTATCATTTTTTATGATTATTGCGCGAAGAGGTGTCATCCGCAGAAGTGATAGAAGGAAGCGCATAGATATTGTTACGCTTGCCGGTGAACCCAGGGAGCAGAAGCAGAGGCGCGCATCGAGACATTTATCTTTCAAGCTATAAAGGCAAATGTACGGGGAAATCAGTGGTATGTGAAGTATGTTCAATATTTCCTATAATTACCCCTACAATATTTTTTGAAAATGGTTAGGAGCTTCTCAGACGTTAAAAAACGAAGTTCTTCTGACATTGTGTGAAAGTTTCATCAAAATCCAAGTTAAAGACGGGCGAAGGATTAGCGAACAGACAGACATACATACCAAGAGACAGACAGGACGAAGGAAATGAGTGATATGGTTTTCGGTGATCTACATGGCATATACATCGCGATTGCAATACTTCCTCGCCAGTAGGCGTGAAAAGTAAAACGCCAAAAGAGGTTCTCCTTAATCGCATCAACCTTAATTAACCTCTTTAAAACAGCAGGATTGCGATACTCTGGTATCTAGGCTCCGAACCTGGCGGTATTTAGCGCTTGTATTCCATGCCTTTTTCAGTATAAAAAATTGTATAGCACAATTATATATTTTACCTATTTAATTTGAATCTTATATCCCAAAGATTCAAATTTGATTCAAGTGACCCCAATGTTTGGCGGCCGATGTAAATCTCTCGTTCTAGCAGGACTTTCGCATAAAATTAATGAAAAGATCGTCATTTGCCAAGTTCACTGAATTATTCAATTGCCTTGGAGTGATTAGTTTTAGGCTCCATTAAACATTCCGAACACACGTTATCTCACATTTTGTAGACATTTGTATTTCAACTATCCGCTTTTATTGCGTTTATTTGTTAGTATTCGAATGATAGACAATGCTTGATTCGCATACGGACGTTCTACAAGGCGACATAACAAGGTATCATGTTTCTTATTAAATCGATCTATAATTTTTTCTATTGGCTATACCTACTATTGATTAACGTATTCTACCTGAGCATAGGCAACGTAAATCCCGTATGTCACGATCAAGTTTTTCATCAAATTTATTGTACCAGAAATTGAATGAATGCGCTGTATCATTACTACGCACTTATACATCCAGTTTCTCTCAGCATTCACGAGGTGATATAATTTTTGCAAGAAATACGATGTAAAAGTGCGCAAAGGGTAACTGAGTTTGTTCTGTCAACGAAAAACATAACCATCATGGATATTTTTCTTGCAACATTTTTGCTGAAAAAACTTCCAAAAGATAGTTAGATTACACGCGGCTAATAGTTCGACGAGAAGGATTAAGGTTTAAGAACTTGATTAATAAATCAAACCTAATACAAAATCCGCCATAGAACGCTGTTATGCATGGAACGATATAACACTGCATAGAACAATGATTTCTAGACGGCATGACAACAGACTCATTACAGTCTTTAATTTATGATTGGTGGACATTTTCTGCCAACATTTGTAGTAAAATATTTCGCTATAAACAGAGAAAACAGCGAAATCCTTCCAATATTGTCTTGTCCAATTTATTGTCAATGGAGTAGAATTGTTGAATAAAAATAAAATAAAATGTTTAGCATATACCTAGATGGCTATAGCGTTATCTCTGGGAGCTTTTCAGAGTACCTATATAATATGTCACCGGTAATCTGTACAATTCAGGTATTCTATACAAAACCTAGGCAATGTATAGAATACCTAGCTTGCCCAGGTGATGTATGGAATATTATGAATATTATTATCCATTACATACTTTACCTAGGCAATGAATACAATTCCTAGGGATTGTATAGAGTACCTGCTGTTCCATCGGCAATGTGTAAAATAAATAGATCTTGGTCTAAATTTATCAATGTTAACAGGTACACCTATAAAATCCCGGGCAAAACAAGTTATATTATTTAAGATCAACTTAATTAAAATTAACAATTAGAGTGCTCCTTAAAAATAAGGTTTATGAAAAGGGAACAAAAATGCACCTTTCTATTACTACATTAAAATTAACCACAAATTATTCTGTCTATAATTAACATAATGTAATTTTCCTTGCTTACAAGTACGCAACTCGTTTATTGCCTGTCTGCCAGTTCGTACAACCTGTTCCTTGCTCTCGTCTTTTACATACATTACCGGCTGCGCATTCGGTATTGTATAGAATACCTAGGCAAAGTATAAAACAAATAATATTTCATACATTACCTACTCGTGTTAGGTATTCTACACATTACCTAGGTATTGTACAGAATACCGGATTATACAGATTGCCGGTAACATATATAGTAAATAGAGAAACAGCTATGACAAATTCTGATAGATGATATGATGATAGATGATATTTCAAATATGCATAGTTCTGAGTTATCTAAAATTTAATAGAAATGCTTTTTGAAAAATAATATTTGTAAACCTTCAAAGCGTTCTGTTCTGTGCTTTTCTCACACCTTTGAGCCTCATGCATCCAACTGAGCTGCTGGAAGCTAACTATAGCCTCTTTTCTGTTTGAGCACATGAGGGGTGATACATTCAAGATGCACCACCTTTTTTGGGCAAGCACGGTTATAGCAGCCACCGCTGGAAATCTATTAACATAGATTGTAAACATGTGTGAATGCTGCTGCAATTTGAAATTAAACTGTGTGACAAGAACAAAAAATATCTAGTTTCAGACAACGTTCCAAAGTCGCTTTGATATTAATGTGAACGGGTTGAAGAAGTAGGTAACCTTTGGACGTCTGTCCTCTTCCTTGATATCTTCAAGAATATACATCAATGTTCTGGAATTGTAAACATTATTAAATTTATTTCAATTTACATATTCCGCTTGAGCAATGCATAAACATGGCGCGAGATAACGTATTTTGAAGATCGTTGCCTATTTAGTCAGAGATCTTATACACTACCACAGGCGCTTATTATTTATCATTGTGTGTAAATCTCAAGCATCTTCGAGATCAACGGATGGTGGATAGACTTTCTCTTTTCTACCGATATGCTAACGGAATTTCTCACTCCAAGATCTTTTACTGTTTAGTCCAAGATCTCATGCACTACCGCAGACGCCTGTCATAGGATAAGACCAAAAACCGAGATCCAGGTAATACCTAGCAAGGTTAAGGTTTCAGGTATTATCACATATAAGGGACTGTTTAAAAAATCAAGGCTGGATACAGTGCGTATTGGTCGCAGTGGCGGTTACGGCTTGCAAGCTAACCCCTTTTCTATAACATGTAATCTGCAATCTCCTTTTCATGAGACAGCTGCGTTTTTCGTTTGTTAGACAAACTTTGCTTCCCATTCTGCCGCAGTTGAGCTGTGTGATTTCGGAACATTGTATATAATACCACTGTGTATGTTTTTATTGAGAAACATGGACTAACAGTTTTGTGCATATACTTGTATTTTTTATGGTATCCAGATATTTTGAAAATGTTTCAAATTAAACTGTGAATTATGGAGTGTGACTTAAATGTTTGGTTGGCGTCAAACTGAATTACTGTCTAACTGTACGCATTAAAGCGCGCAGCTGTGTTTAAGAGCAAGGAGGTAGTGACCATTTCCTGAGTATTGTCATAAAAAGACAGTAATAAATAAATAATAACAAAAATACCGACTTGTGTTTTCATTCAATAATTATGAGTCGACAACAAGCGTTTCGAATCTATTTTACTGTAGCTTGTAAACATGCGTAAGTAGCTACAAACAGTAAGTAGATCGATTATTCGCTATACTAATCTACATCTGAACCTCGATGGTTGTGTTCACTACCAGTGAATATCTAGAGTATCCTTCAGAATGGCATTTCAATAAACTGATCACAAAGGACATAACCTATCAATAATCTGTGCAACTTAGATATCTATCTTAAACATCCATTCTTGAATATAGACGACCCCTACTAATTTTCATTGGTCTCTATCTTGAGCCACTTGTATACATCTTTCCTCTGACATTCTCTTTACGTCGGCCATCCATCTCATCTATATTTTTCCATTTTTTTCTGATCACAGTGCAAAATCCCTTGGATCCGTCTTTCATCCGTCCGCACTGAAGTATCACCGGCGAAGCTCCATTTGAGTTTCGCCTTCACAGCGTTCACTTTTGTTTTCTTCCTCATTTATATTTATGCCCGCTACCTACCTAGCATTTCCATTGCTCCTTGTGTTTTAGATATCCTCCTAATATTTTCCATTGAGAATTTGCAAATTTGCGAGCCAAATGCAAGAACTGGTAATATGACAATCTACCAAAGGATAATCCAGACAGCAAAGGTTCGGCTGCTGATTGATACGAGTAGCAAATGCAGTAATTCACTGTTACGTTTTCCTATCATCCTTATGTCTCATATGGATATTTATAATTTAGCAAATTTTTCTGAGTGTCTCTTATACTAACGCTAGCTTTTCCATCAAAATGTCAAATGTGCAATCTATTTCCCACGTCTGGCCGTCCTGCCAAATAGTTATCCAGGGTCTGAATGTTGTATACTTTATAGTAATGTTCATATTATTCTTCACTCAGCAAGCAGCAAAACTGATATTACATATATGTTATCACATGCATTCTTATAAGCAGAGCTGTGCTTAACAGATGCGAGACCTTTTTTTAAAGAAGTGGTCCACTCGTCCATTCTCGTGTAAAAAAGTGTTTTTAGCATTTTTGAAAGCATTTCTTCTCATTATTTACGTAATCTTTTTCATTTGCTAGCGTTGAGTCTATTTTTATTTTTGATGTAAGTATTTCAATGGGTAAAAGATTGAGATAAGAAGAAATATGATTTATGACTATGGTCTAAACTCTTCCACTTTACTTTTTTAAGCAACGAACCATTAGGAAAATTATAATAAAATTAGGTCTGCCAGGAAATAAATAATATCGTATAAGAAATCTTTTTTTTAGTGAATAATCAATCACAAATAAGCTCATTTATTATTACAAAATATTCATATTATTTGCACATACTATTATTATTTGTTTGGTATTCTTAAGTGGAAATCTTAAATATTGTTTAAACTTTTGCTCGGTAGATTCTGACATAGGCTCATCTTCTCTCTCGAACTCAAACATTCTTCTTTTCTTGATCTGTCTGATTTCTTTGAACTTTGGCTCTACACCCAAGTTCTGTTGCTACCAATGTGGCCACCACAAAACCTTCAACTCTAAATTTCACGAAAAAAAAACTGAAAAACTAGTAGTAACTGCGACGCAACTCCAAGGCAGCGCGCCGGCAAGCATGAGTCACCCGCCGGCATGCGCGGGGTTCGGGGAGCTGTCAGCCCGTTTTGCATTCTTTTGGTCATGATTATCTCGTTCGTAGGTTTTGTAGTTAGTCAATAATTTAACGTATTGCAAGGTGTAATTAGACATATTTTAGGCACGTATTCTTGTACATTATTATATTATTTTCATTCAACCAAAACTTTTTACTTATTTGTTACAGCGAGTCCTGGAGCGGCCGCTCCACTTGCTCCACCCTGCTTATAAAAAACTTTTACAAAGAATTGGAAATATAGTATTTTACATATAAAACTTTTCGTCTACAAAATCTGTTTTTTTTTGGGCAAAGTCGGGTGCGTAGATCACTAATTTGATAGGATTCCACGATTCTTTTATTTCTTGGTGGCCTTATTCGAAATTAGCATTGCACTCACCCCAGAACAGCGTACCAAATTTCGTTCACTTGTTGAAACGAAAAACAAAATGAAAACTTTGTACTGTGAAACTTAAAGGCAAAATTTTCAAAAGCTGTTGCGATATTGACAAAAGTTTATTTTTTTAATAAATCGTTAGATTAGATCATGAATTTTCAGATTTCGCTACATTGTAAGATTTTTCGATAAATGTATTCGCCAAGTAGAAAATGTGAATAGCTCTATCAGTACACTGAGGTTTAACAAGCCTCTCTCAAAGCGACTGGCTTCCAACACCATTTCGTTTCTCTCCAGACACAAAATTTACGACTTTTCCGAAAAATTGTGAAACGCATTGCAACCAATATACGTTTTCTATTTTTCCGGTCTGTATGCAAAATATGACAGTTTCGGTGTTTATTTTTAGTAAACACAATAAAGCAATATTATTACCCAATGCTTGGCTCTGAAAATTAGTTCGAATGTTAACTGATATGCTGAAATAGTCCGCCAGCATCCCGAGTCACGAGTTCGTAATTTGTTACGTTCAAGTGACGTTGACTCGAACGTAGAGTCAGCCTCCTAAGGATCACAGTCCAGAGTTATTTTTATGAAATCAAAAGGTTAGTCACGTTTTCTATTTATTTTAATACAATTTTCGTATATATATATTGAATCAACACGTGATAGAAATGATTCTTTTACTTATCTTATCCGAGAGTATTTTTTTCTTAGCTGTGGATGTTGTGTTTATCCATATAGGTGGCAGACGATCTCAGAATGTCTAAGGTGGATGTACCTTGTCCCCCTTTTGCAAGGTTCCCCCTATAGCCCCACGGTATAGGCCTTCGTGGTAGTTCAAGTATAAAAAAAATCAGAATTCCGCAACCAGTAAGCAGTATTTTAGTTCCATTTTTACTGAACATGCATACAGGATGGCAGGCTATTAAGAACTATTTTTAGCTATAATGAAGTTCCTATATCCGGTAAGGTTTCTTTGATGCAGCGATGAAGGAACATAGAAAGCAGACTTTAACTGTTCAGCTATCCCATTGTTTGCAGATGAGGTCAAAGCTTAGGTGATCTCTCATTTTCTCCTGGTAGATGTTTATTTACTATATGAAACTGAATCCCGTTTTTTAGGCGCTCTTAGGTAAGATCACAAGATACATCTAGCTCACAGTGCCAGGATCTTTGATTATTTTTTTTTCATATGTATGTTATTGAAGGCGGTGTAACGAATAAGTCCATGTATTTTTTCACGACAGCCAATTCAAGGCTTAGATGTGAGAAAAAACTCCAAGGCGTTCGCCTAGCTTTCCCCTATGTACCTCAAAGCTATTAAAACATGTGACATGCTAGTAAGTGAATATTTAAATGTAATTTTTAATAATAAGCATTAAAAGTAATTGAATCATACGATTATTTTGCCAATAACTCTGTCTTGCTAAAACAAGATAGGTCCGGAACAGTTTTCCGAGCTTCTTCCATTATTATTAATAATGCAGTTGCAAAATGCAATGCAGCAATTCAATGACTTAAAACTCATAATATATTGAACCCAAAAAGTTCTTTAAAATTGGTTTATTTGTTAAAGGCAGTTTTTATTGCCACCTGAAGGGTTCAAATAATGTGAGTTATGATGTTTTCGAAATGGTCGATTTATTCTTTCTCTAAATTCCAATATTTGTTCTGCTGTTTTCTTTAATGTGGTCTCCAATTTCGATCTACTACCGGTGCTTGGACGGAAGCCTTTATAGGTATAGCCCATACGACTTGTGTGAGCCCTGTGGTGCATGAAGTGCCCTACTTGGTCATTGAGATCCAACACATCATAATAATATGGCTTCGCTCTTCCATTTTAGATCACGTGGTCCTTATTGTACTTTTGGATACCTCCAGGTAAGGTTCTAACAAAGTAATCCCTTCACCTATAATAGCTCTTGACTTCTGGAGAATCTGGTAATCCCTAAAGGCTACATTTTTATATTCCACCAGTCTGGTTAGTTCTGGTTAGCGTTTTTGAAGAGGTGGTAACGTAACTCTAGGACTTCCTTGAGGTACGTTTCCAATGGAACAAGTTGCAAGCATAGGTACCAGGCGCATGTTGCAACACACCTGGATGGACACATTTACCGAAACAAATTGTAGAGTACCAAAGCGCATCATGTTTACTTCGATATCCGCAACATTTTGTTAGTACACAATTGACGGGTACATATTGCAAACTGAAGTATCCTCCTAGCAAGTTGCGGCACATGAGCCAGCAATTTCTTATAATGGAATGTCACTTTTATAACTCCCGCTGTCTGAGTATGGAGGACCTACTACTTCTGTGCGGGTTCTCTGTCCGTTCTTGCGCATTTCTGCTTGAAATACAGTCCTTTGCTAACTAAGCAGAATACTATAGCCAGATTTTTTTCTGATTTTGACGATGTAGGCTTGCGGGGAATAATATTTCCATGCGAAATTGTGCACGAGGGTTGAAAACTGCAGGTCATCCAAGTGATGGATCATATTTCACTCTTCAAGATCGATAATGCTATAGAAGCTAGTTTGAAAAATACAAGATTTCTCGTCATTTTAGTGAGTTTCATTGAAAATCAGGCTTTTATTCTCACACAGATTATAATTAGGATTTTTACGTTCACTATAAGTTTTACAGTGAATTCTCAACCATCATAATGTACCGCCCTACCCAATCTTATCAATGGTGATATCAGAATATTTTGTGATTTACCCCAGAGTTGACGTTAACAAACGGTTCTTACTTGACGATTTTGAGCCTATTATTAACCCGACAGTGGTCGCTATGTGAGATTTTCTCTCACATTTTTATAGATATATAGATAAATTCACCCCAGAAAATTCCACGACGCTGTCGCTTCATCATATCCAAAACGTGACCTTGGGTGATCATCTAGCGGGAATATATATATATATTAATAGACCTACACCAGTCTGTTGACAACGCCCTTTGAATGAGTACGTGAACGCTACGTGAGACTTTCTCTCATCACCCGACCAATTGGCTTTGACATCAGCTGCGGTAAAAAAAATGTTAATTTGGCCCTTTTGCAGTTAGAACAAGAGCAAAATAAAGGTGACACTCTTTGGATGTCCTCTAAATATGAATGAAAACCTTTAGATTATCTTTTTCATAGATCTGCAAGATCCTGCGCCTCCATTTATCACTACGTACGACAATAATTGTTGTGTCATAATTATTATGAAAATAGCAGGGATTAGAGCAGGAAAAAATGCTCCGCAACTAGAAGAAGACACAGCTCGATTTTGTTACTTTTGTCCTCGTAGAAAAAATAGAAAAGTGAAAAAAGGGGCAATACATGCCAGCTGCCGATTTGCCCCGCACACACAAGTAAATATATTTTTTCTAGCTGCCCAAATGAGCCTAGTGATTCGGACTGATTTTATTTAAACAAAACATAATTTAGCTTATTTCTTTGTTTATGAGAACTTTTGTTAATCATCTTTTCAATTATTAGCGTTTTTGTGTTTTATGTTAGTAGTTAATGAATAAAATACTTATTAGGTATACTCATACTCATCTGTAATAAATCATATCAAGTCAAATATTGCCGCCTAAGACTTCTTAAACAGACTCAATTTTGTGCACAACCAAAGGTGAGAGAAAATTTCACGCGCGACCGATGGCAAAAAAAGCGTCTAGCGACCCATCCCGGGTTAAGGAGAAATCAGTATAAGTGTTTTCAAATGGTTTATTGTTTTACACAAAAATTATTATCTTATATTACTGGGGTACTATTTTTATACCACTTTTCGTCAAATAATCTGTTTTAAAAAACTTTAAAACAAAGATACATATATTCATCTAAAGAAATAACTTTTGTTAATAGAACTCAATTTTTATGCAATAAACTCATCCTGCAACCGTTGTGTATAAGATATTTTATAAAGGAAAAATAGCAGATGATATCACAGCTTTTTCGTATTTACATTCCGCGTACTCTAATCTAAAGGTCCTTGCCCACGAGGGCAATAGTGATTATAACTTATGCTACACATCGATAACAGTCAGTAATTATGCTTATTACTACCAATTGAAACAGCAAAAACACGGAGCTGCCTAAAAAGTGTGAAGTCCTATATTTATAGATAATTAGTACAGTAAAGCATAAAAACACCATTGGATCGACTGTAAGGCGACGATCACGGTAGTACTGACGTGAAACAATGAAAACGCATGTTTCAATGGCTCACTCAGATATGGACACACCCTGCTACGGTACCATTTATCTATGTTGTTGGCAATGAGATATTAGTAGTAACGGAGCAAAAAACTTGTAAGGAACAACCATGACGTTAAGTTCTTTACTTGCCTAATCTCAGCAATACAGTTGTTTACAAGGTTGATACAGGTTTGAATACTAAAATTGACTTAACTATTGGTGCATCTGTGAGTAATACAAAAAGTATAACCACAAATTGTGTATAACACAACTTCACATTCCACTATACGATTATTCTCCATTGCTTGACGGGCATTAACATTTTCCTGACAATGTTGTGTTAGTCAACAACATTGTCCCACTTGGTTGAACATTCGTGTAGTTGTCCGGCCATCAACGTTATTGTCCGTAACGACTCTTTAGAATTTCTCACTTTTTTTGCGGCTCCGAGTTTCTACGCTGTTTCAATTAGTATTAGATCAACAATACAAAGTAGCTACTCGATATTTAACGGTAGGTTTGGAGATGTACAAACAAAGACAAAAGAGGTAGACCAGAACTGTTAGCGGCCAGTACACCTTATTGTCACTATTGTCCCAGTGTGTAATGACCCTAAGACGTATGATTGATCTTGTTAAAAATACCTCGAGAACAGAACAGAAGCAAAACGGCAATCAAATATTGACTGTCCCGGATATTGCATGTGAGAAGATGGTGTCTCGTACTCACGCTCAAATAGAGAAAGGTTAAAGCAAAGATCGATACTTCCTATATTCATGTTCTACCCTTGCAATCAAATTATTATTGTTAGGTTGAAGCAGTGGTAGACAAGCAGGAGTATCCACAAACTTGAGATTCTAGGTATTGAATACAATAAAAAAAATAGTATGGAGCTGGCGAAAACGATGGTACTGAAAAGGTAGAAATATACAGGGTGGCGCATCGAAAACTAGACAGACGCATTTACTTTCAGCTCAGTTTTTTTTTTGAAAAACGCTCAGACCCATCGATTTTGTTTTCGAGGGGGACACAAGTTTGGCAAAAAATCACGTTAACACGTGCAGCCCCCTGGGCGGGGGTGACACCGACCCTAAAATCTTAAATGGAAAGGGGGGTCGAGTGATACCTTTTCAATTCCATTTATAATGATATAAAATTAATGTACTTCAGTTCAGCAGTTTTGAAGATTTATTGATTTAAAGCTTAAAGTAGACTTTAATAGATACATCAGATTAGTTTGTACTACTTTCAGAAGAAATTTAACTAAAAGAATTTACTTAATAAGTAAATGCTTTTCTTCACTACGCCCATGGTTTGTTTATCATTTTGTTGTTGAAAATAGCTATTGGAGCGTTTTTTTGTGGCAAAACAGTTGTTTCTTGAAGAAAGATAAGGAAATATCGCGTACTTATTTTAAATAGGAATTTAGTACATAGTTTGCGATTGATTTGACATAACTTTGTTGCTAAAATAACTTGTAACGCTTTATTAAGTACATAAATTAACCATGGTATATTCCACAGCAGAATGAGTTGAAATTATCGAAATATTTTTCGGAAATATTCAGTGCGCTAATAGAACAGCAGAAATATTACAAGAACTTAATGAAGACGATTTTGAACGGCGATTACAATTTTTTGGAGATATGAGTGAACGAATTATAAACGATGAACATTTTCTATTCAACACTTGCTTTTCCGACGAATGTTCCTTTTTCTTAAATGGCATAGTAAATCGTCATAACTGCCGATATTGGTCTGATTCTATTCCCGGAATTTATCATGAGGTTCATGCACAGCAGCCACAAAAATTAAATGTTTGGGCTGGTATTTTTGGCGATCATTTAGTTGGTCCTTTTTTCTTACCTGGAAATTTGACCGGTGAAATGTATTTGGAATTACTGGAAGACGCCATAGATCCTGCAGCCATAATTGAAAATCAGAATGATCGGCGGTACATTGCGAATAGGTTGATGTTCCAACAGGATGGTACCCCACCACATTACGCATTACGTGTTCGACAATATTTAGATCAGACGTTTCCAGATCGATCTATTGGTAGAAGAGGTGCCATTGAATGGCCCCCAAGATCGCCAAATTTATCACCTTTGGATTTCTTTATGTGGGGTCATTTAAAAATCATAATCTATGCTACTCAGCCAACATTATTAGAAGACCTGCGATAAAGAATTGTGAATGAGTGCCTTCAAATTACTCCTCAAATATTGCAAAATGTGCGGCAACGTTTTGAGCAAAATCTTTATTATTGCATGGAGAGTAATGGTGGCCATTTTCAACATTTACTTGCCTAACGGGTCAGTTCATTCTTCATTTTTAAATTACTTTGCTGCCAAATGTATTGATCTCCACTAATGATGATGAATTAGTTTTATTTAAGCTTTAAATCAATAAATCTTCAAAACTACTGAACTGAAGTACATTAATTTAATATCATTATAAAGGGAATTGAAAGACCTTTAAAATAAGGTATCACTGGACCCCCCTTTCCATTTAAGATTTTGGGGGTGGTGTCATCCCCGCTTAGGGGGCTGCACGTGCTAACGTGATTTTTTGCCAAACTTGTGTCCCCATCGAAAACAAAATCGACGGGTCTGAGCGTTTTTCCAAAAAAAAACTGAGCTGCCAGTAAATGCGTCTGTTTCGTTTTCGATGCGCCACCCTGTATAAAGATACAGTGCTCTTCAAAAAGGACCCTTACACCTACTTATTTTTTGAACGAGTCAAGTTATCAAGCTGAAATTTGCGAAATTGATGCATGAGTTCTATATTCTAGCATAAAAGTAGATCCCAGTCATTAATAAGATCAAGGCTTGCTGGAAAAAGAGCAAGGCACATCGGAGATTAAGGCAGTCATTGCTTCAACCTTAGATAACGTACAAGAGAAACAGAGACTATTTTTATGTCATGTTAGTACTGGATCACAAAAGACCTCATGAGAGGCCCAGATTAGAACCTGTAAAGCCTTACTGTACTATGTTTAGGACATGTTTGCGTGCCAACGGAAACTTGCGCTCTTCTGAAAACAATATACCTTACACTACGATTATCATTTTTAAAGTAAGAACCAACTGAGGTTTGTACCCGCGCATCCTGTCCGCATCCGTTCAACCTCAGACACTCTTGGCCATTCTTTCACTACGCCGCCATTAGTTTCACGTAAGTATCGGTATTGGTTGCATAGTTATACTGCTTTCTTTGTCGAAATGTCACTGAGTTCTTAGAGTTATCTTTTATATGCACAATGGTTTTGTTAATTTAGAATCAATCTTTCTGATCTTTCTGAGCCAGCCAGCGGAAAGTAAAATAATTATCTCATTCCATCCCTGATCGACGTTCAGTGAAAGCAACTCAAAGTTATCTGAAATGACAAATTACGTCCAGCAAGTTACGATTTATTGACGTCTGCTTTATGACGTCATCGGTATGTGACATTAGGAGCTCATTTTCACTTTACTTTTACGTCATTCAACTCGTGATTTCTCTTCATTTCATGACGAGTTTGAAGCGTCATTTTCACGTGCTCGTGCTACCTGGGTCATTGGGAAATACTGAATCGCTGAGTTTGCACCAATTAGACTTTTCATCTTTTTCCATTTTTCCAACCCTCAAGGAATTTTTAGGTGGAAAGCACTTGAAAAATGATGACATGTTGAAAGAAATAGTAAGTAACTGGTTTAACGGTCAGATGGCAGCGTTCTTTGACAACGGGATCCTAAAGCTGGTGTCATGACTTAACAAATGTTTAAATGCTTATGATGCTACTTAAAAATAAAAAAAAATTACCATATTTTAGTTTGTGATACAATTTACGTTCATAAATGTTCCTCCATCTCCAATACAAAACGACTCTTACTAAAACAAACCCTTGTATAACCTTCAATAAATTTAATAATGTTAATTCATAGTACAATGAATTTTTCATATTCTGTAAAACCTAAAACGATAACAGCATTAGAATTGCACGTCTGTGATACTAAAGCATTCGGTTATGTGGAAATTGCACTCACACAAATCTATGTACGTAACATTGTGCAATAGTGTCTGTAAGCTATTAAGTATATCCTCCGTGTTAAACCTTTGAACTTGCCTGTTTCAATATCAGCTGTATAATGGAAGTATTCAATGTTAATTCATTAACTAGACACTTACTGCTTGAGTTTACACCGAAAACACTTCGTTATTAAAAAATGATTCAAATCAGTAGATTGCATCTTAGGTTAATTTGTTATTGTTTGAGGTCGAAGCAATTACCATTTACTAGATGATACTACTAGTATCTCTATTTTCATCTCAGAAATTTATTCGCTTTCTGGAAAGTGAGCTTATGGTATCATATACCATTGTACTTACTGGGAGAACAATTCAGTGCATCTGATATAGCGTTCTTGACTAGTGGATTTCAGCACTCAAAACATTTTCAATAGTATGGGTGTAGGACATCAAGAAGTCCTAAGCAATCGTGTAGGGCTGATTGTTTGTCAATTTCTTCCACTACTGGCTCCTAGTGACTAATATCCACGGCTATTTTCAACTGTCAGGCCGACGATGTTTACTTTTTTGTCCACCGAATGCGCGGCCATCGATTCTGTTTACCCTAATATGTGTAGGTCCCTATTTTCCATCAAAGAGTTTTATGTAATAAGAAAGCTTTGAGGTCGATGTACTGTAAGGCAGGACGGAACCCTTAGGTCGAATAAGGCCGCTTTCTTAGATAATTGCCATACCACAGTAAAAAAGGAGCTTACCGTTTCCAAGAAATATCGGAAATGAGCGCGAACAAAGTTTTAATCTGGAGTCTCCGATAGATTAATATATATGTGAATGGGCGCTGTAACAATAGACATAAGTGTTGGGAGAATTGCCAGAAATATTTTTATTTGTGTCTCTAACCTATTATCCGCCTAGACAAAGTCATAATTTAATCGCTGAACAATTACATTTTGTAACTCCAGAAAACAGACTGCGTGTTGAATGTAAATTAATCGATACTGAGAACTCAATGATAAATATCATGTTTTGGTTTTTGTGTAAAACCCAGAGAAAGTTTTATAAAACTGATACGTATTGTGAACGTTTCACAAATGAAATACGTTTCTGCAATAACTAGACATATACCGCACTGATGTGTGCTAAAAAGCATGAAACAACGTATACGATTGATTATGGTCAGCCTCCCAATATACTTACTAAGGTATAAGCTACATGATACTATTTAGTTTATACTTCAGCCTTCTATTGTGATATTTCTGAATGAAAATCCAAATATGTATGTCCTAAGATCCTCAAACAGAGCTTTTATATCTCCAAACAAAATTTATGTTTTAAAATAACTTATATGTTTAGATTTCTGTGTATTGTATGACGTTTCGACTACCACTGTGGTCTTTTTCAAGTACAATTGTAGTATGTATAGATAATCAATGTAGTACCTTATTGTTACGCCTCTCACCACGTGTATGAGAAAAGCATTGTGGTCGCATTTTAGATTTTGAGAGCTGAGAAATCTTTGTGATTTATACATATATTAGATCATGAGAATTCATAGTCAATTTCGTCTGCCGTCTGACTATCGACGTATTCAGGACAATTTGGCTAGTAATATGGTGAAACGTCATATTTAAAAATGGCGAATTAACGGGTTGATTAGCAGGAATACAAAATTGTTGTAACCAACCCCAACTTTGGTTTTGCACATAGTGAGATGTTTTTGAAATTATTGAATTTCTTAAATTACGAACCTTAACAATACTCATTTTTTTATTGTATTTTGTTTTCCAAATGTAAGGCTCAAGTGGTTCTCAAGCATCATTGAATAAGATGTTTTTATTAAGCCATTAAGTCATCTAAGGAAAGTAACATACAGTTATAGTTATACCGGATATAATAACATGAGTCACGATCAAGGAAAGTATAAAATGTCTTCATAAGAGGGTTACTATCCTGTAGCACCCCTTTTTATCTATGCTATAAAATAACGTTGGGGTCATTTATTTTAATATTCCTATAAAGAAGTTGAGAATAAAATAAACTATTTATATACTTCTAACTCGTAAAGCTGCGATCGTACTAGGACAATATGGTTTTACTTACATACGATTAGAAAGTATGATATTACGTTTGTTTAATGTAGAATATCTTCATTGTAATTTAAACAAATTTTTAAGCTCTTCAAGGCGAAAATTATCTTTTCTTAATCCTAGACTCTGATATTTATTAAATGGGAGCAGTGTATATAGACAAACGTTTAGAAAATGCCTTCGTTCAAGAAATATTCGACACATCTAATTCTCAACATTCTTTCTCAAATAAGTTTAATTATATTAATCTACTTATCGTCTGATACGTAAGTGTAGATCGTATGTTTTCTTAAGATTTTACAATAAGTCTCTCCCTAAAGACTCGTCCGAAAACGCCCAGCTACTTTTTTTCGGAAAATCTCCAAGAAAGTTTTCAGATTGCCCTCGATAATTCATTTCAGGAATTGCTACCTTTCTAATGGATCCCCAACCGCTAAATCTGTTGAAGGTATAAACGAAATTGGTGATTTGTGGGACATTTGTAAAGAACCAATGAAGGACGTTTCTACCAATTTCTTGTCACGTTGAGTAAAGAGTGAGTTATCCGGCCAACACAGATTTAGGTACCACCGACATTTAAAGTGAGCATCGAAGAGTCCCACGCATACAAGCTACGGGGATGAAGGGTTGTCTCTTAAGGTCCAGTATTTTTATTTCTCAAGGCGTTGCATTGCTTGAATCCAAAACCATATTTGCAATTGGCTGACTACTATCGATAGAGACGGTCAATGACCTTATATGCATCGGCACCTCTAGGTTTTACCTCACGAGGTAATCTTCAAACATGGTGGAGGAAACTTATTTTCGGTTGTAATTCCAATACCCTAAAAAAGTGAAAGCGTCAACGTAAATGAAGATTTTACGACTTCGAAGCTGCCTCTAGAAATATAGCCGCAACATGAAACATACCACACGTGACTGTTAGTTGCATCACGTCTGCCATCTAGACATCTGTCTAGACTTCCGTACCTTCCCAAGAGCTTTTTCCCAAAGGAAAAGAAAAAGTATCTGTTTCATTTTACTTGAAACTCAAAATCGATACCGAGACTATTTGGGTTATTAGAAAGAGGTCAATCATGCGGGTACGAATGTTTTTAATCTGCACTTAGATTCACACAATCTAAAGTTTTTCGGAAGCTGTGTGAATATTTATTTGATGCTGTCCTTGACACGCCCTTTAAGGACGCCGGAAATGCGCGTATGAAAAAAAGTGACTATACACAAAATTTCATATTTGTACTAGTTTATTAGAAATATGATGTGTCCATGTAATGAGTTTCATCGTAGTTATTGTTAATAAGCTTAGGTATGTATTAAATTATAGAAAAAGGTGTCATTCAAAACGATGAAATACCTATATACAAATTAAAATCAGTTTCGTTAATGCATCTATGAAAAATAAGCACTTTCAAAATCTTTCATATTATACAGACTTACCAGCAATAGACAAGGTCCTCCATCTGGTCTTCCTTGTCTTCTTTCCCATTTTTCTTTCCCGACCTCTTTATAAAGCCTTCTACCTTCCCGCCCGGAATTTTATCATGCACCGTCAAAGCTTTAGTCTTTCCAAGCAACCGTGAATGAAACTTATAACGTTCAATAAAAAGCTCTAAAACGGCGAAATATCAAAATTAGTTTTTAAGGGTTGACCTAATCTACCACCGACCGCACGTTTTGATACTCTCCAGTGTCCAACCCAGAACCGACCTCAAGCTTGGCCACACAACAGATCACACGTCAAGCATGCCGACTAGCGATAGAGATGGTATCGAAAAGCACATGATGTCGGGTGCGCTCAGTCTGTGTTACATAACCGGCATATCTCGTGAGTGGGGCATTATCGACTAAACTGAAAGCGATTTCCTAGTGTCAGTGCGGCGCGCAACTGCCGGCAGCGGCAACTCGGCAACAGTGGGAGATCTCCCATGGACGGCTGGGAGGAAGTTTTCCAGCGAATCCCTGCACTAGGTTGCCAGATCTTGGGAAATTTCTTAGACGTAAAGCTGCTGTAGCTTACTGACGCGACGCAAGAACATGCTTTCTGGCTACACTGCCGCTAGCTGCGAGGTGTTGACGTCATTCTGGTAGGGCGGTTGCTATGGGCACGTTTAGATAATGAACACAATGATGCTGTACCTCGATATCACGGCCGCCGGACAAACCAGTCTTTTCTTAGGTGCTTTCTTCGAGCGCCTGTATCGGCAACCCGGTCACCGTGGGAGATCTCCTACGAACGGCCGGCAGAAGGTTTTCCAGCGGAGTTGCCAAATTCAGAGAAATTTCCCTAGCTTAGACAATACCTACCTGAAGGGTTTCCTCCTCCACGGTTGGAGATCTTCCATGGACGACTAAGATGAAGCTATCCAATGAACTCCTGGGTGGGAGGTCTTTCGTAGATGGCTGGGAGGGAATTTTCAGTGAACTGCTGCTCGAAGTTGCCATGCTTAGAGAAATTTCGTTAGTTTAGGCAATAAACCTCACCGAAAGGATACCTTCCAGGTCCTTGTCTCGAGTGACAGTAGCAGTAACTCGACAACGGTGGAAGCTGTCCTATGGATGGCTGAGAAAAAGTCTTCCAACGAATTCCTGCTCTGGGTTGACAGGTCCTGGGAAATTTCTCCAGCTTAGTCGCAAAGTCGTATGTTAGCTTAGTGACGCGACGCTAGAATTGCGAACATGCTAATTGCGTATTGTTGGCGTCATGCTGGTAGGGCGGTTGCTATGAACACGATGTTTAGATAACGAATACGACACTGCTGAAGCTCGACACAACGGTCGCTAGTCAAAGAAGGTGCTTTCTTCGAGCGCCTGTAGCGGCAACCTGGCCACAGTGGGAAATCTTCCATGAGCGGTTGGCAGAAGGTTTTCCAGCGGCGTTGCCAAGCTCAGATAAATTTCACTAGCCTAGGCAAAAAATGCCTAAAGGGTTTCCTTCTAGGTCCTTTCCCTCTAGTGCCTGTAGCAGAAGCGGTTCGAGATAATCTATAGACGGCTAAGAGAAAACTTTCCAGTAAGCCCCTAGGTGGGAGGTCTCCCCCGTGGACAGCTGGGAGGGAATTTTCAGTGAACTCCTGACGAAGATGCCACGCTTAGAGAAATTTCCCTAGCTTAGGTAATAAACTTCTCCGAAAGGTTTTCTTCTAGGCATTTCCCTCAAGTATCAGTAGCGCTAACTTAACAACGGTAGACGGTCTCACATGGATGGCTCAGATGAAGTTTTCCAGAAAATTCTTGCAGTAAATTGCCAGATGCTGGGAAATTTATCCAGCTTTGACGCCAAGCTGATGTAGTTTAGTGACGTGACGCTAGAGTCGCAAACAGGTCATCGTGGTTATATAGACGCTAATTGCGTGGCGTTGACCTCATGCTATTAGGGTTGTTGCTGTGGACATGATGTTTACATAACGAATACTAATGACGATGTAGCTCGATCTCACGGCGGCCTCTCAAGCCAGTTTTCTCTTAGATGATCTGTTCGAGCGCCTGTAGCGGCAACCTAGTCGCAATGGGAGATCTCCCATAAACCTATTGTAGAAAGTTTTCCAGCGAACTTCTGTGCGGAGCTACCAAATTCAGAAAAATTCCCCTAGCTTAGGAAAAAATACCTGAAGAGTTCTAGGTCATTTTCTGCGAGTGTCCGTAGCAGCAGCGGTTGGATATCTTCCATGGACGGCTATATGAGGCAACTTTCCAGTGGTTTTCGGTGAAAAGCTGGAAGGGCCATTTTCAGAGTGAACTCATGTCCGAAGTTACTTGCCACATATAGAGAAATTTTGGTTGTTCAGGCAATAAACCTTCTCTCGAGAGTTAGTAGTGGTAACTCGACAACGACAGGGGATCTCCGTGGACGATTGAGAGGAAATTCCCAGTGATCTTCTGCTCGTAGTAGCAATTTATGAAAACTTCCCGACTTTGGCAAAAAAGTTATTCATCAGGTACCCTCCTAGGTCCTTCCCCCTAGTGCCCGTAGCGGCGACAGTGGAAAATCTCCCGTGGATGGCTGCGAGAAAATTTCTTAACGAGCTTCTGTGCCAGGTTGTCATGCTTAGGAAAAGTTCTCTACTTCTACAACCTATTATACAATAGCTAAAAGTGCAATGCTAGAATCACGGGAGATATGGAATATTTTTAAGTTATACAAACGCAAGATTGGAGACACGCTGATGGAGCGGTTGCGCAATGTTCACGACGCTCGGATGACAAATACGATATGGCGTTGTGCAGAGATAAACCCTTCTAGGCGTTGTGGCTCGGCAACTCGGCATCATGGTCAGCGTTTTAAGATTCCAGCTGTGCTAGGTTGTCAGATCTTGGGAAATTTCTCCAACTTAGTGGCAAAGTTTACCTATCGGAAAAGCTCCGCTGAAATCAATTTTCTCCAATAGGTATTTTCCTCGTGGATAGGAGCAGAAAATGTTCTTCTATGGAGTTCATTGTTTTCCAGTGAAGTCCTGCCTGAAGTTGCCAAACTTACGGAAATTTCCCTAGCTCCTGGCTGCTTCTCCAAGTGACAGCGTCTATTTGGTAAGAACTGGTAAGAACTTTTGCAGCCAACTCCTGTGGAGTCCTGCGACAGGTTGCCAAATCGAGGAAAATGTATCTAGCCTAGACGTCAGGATCACACCGAATATTCGATAAATACCTAGATTTTCTTACACAACATGGGTTGTAAAAGCGGCTCATATTTTATAGCTAGATAGTAGAGTATATTAAAGAAGAAATATAGGGTGACGACAAACGGTATGACCTAGATAATTTTTTTGAAAAATTTAATTAAAAAAATTGCGACACTGTATAAGGAGGAAAGTAAGAGATTCAATAAAAAAGATTCGAACTGTACATCTCTATCAAAAAATATAGTAGGCGAATGAGACGGTTCAGCTACTTATCAATAGATGGCTCAACATATCGATCTTAACCTTTGACATTTAAATTGTAGTTGAAGAAAATAATCAAAATCAGCTGATTTTAAAAAAAATTGATTCCAGAATTAATTCATTATTCTACTACTATTTACTTATTTTTTATTTATAGTCAATCGGTGGCTTTATGTGATTTTTAGTACGTGAATCAGTATGTGAAGAGAAGAGGGAGTAAAATACTTGCATTCTACAACGAATTTTTGGAAAGAGGAAAAACAAAATGAACCTCCCAGAATCTGATAGTGAAGACGAGTTACCCCCAGGCTGGGAGGAAAGGGTAACAGTAGATGGTAGTGTTTTTTACGCAAACCATCTGACAAAGAATACTCAGTGGACACACCCCAGGACTGGGAAAAAGAAGAGGGTAAGTTCAAATTAATTCACTGAATGTGAAAAATAATACCCAGCAACATATCGATTAATGAACTAAACGTGTCTTGCCAGATATTTTCTCATAGTTTTTATAATAACAATAATGATTTACAAATAGCAAATACATTGTAGGTTTCTGGAGAATTACCATTTGGCTGGGAACGTTGCATAGACAAAAATACAGGCAAGGTGATTTATGTTGATCATGAAAACCGTAGAACAACATATACTGATCCTAGGTTAGCATTTGCAGTGGAAGAAAAAGAACATGTTAATGATTATAGACAGAGATTTGATGCTTCAAGCACGGCACTTCAGGTAAAAGACTGTTGATAAGACTGGTATACTAAAAGTAGATGATCATCAAATGCCTAAAAAAATCAAGAACATTTTTGTTATTTATTGTGTTACATTGTATGTTATATCTTTGTGTGAGATAGGTATAGTCAAGCATATTTACAGCATAAAATGTTTTAGGTTCTACATGGTAGAGATCTAAGTGGCAAAGTTGCCATTGTAACAGGGGCTAATGGTGGTATTGGGTATGAGATAACAAGGTCTCTAGCAAGACATGGTTGCACCGTAGTCTTGGCATGTAGGAATTTGGCTTCTGCTGAAGAAGCTATTAGCCAGATTAGAGAAGATAAACCTGCTGCTGGAGATAACTGTATTGCAATCTACTTGGACCTAACATCTTTGTCTTCAGTTGTAAGTCTTTGGCAGCTATTTAAAATATAAAGGACAGCCAGCTTAAGTCTAGCACATATCAGTGGGTGGTAAGGGAGATCATTGACAAGGATACTGTACAGTGGAGAAAAAGAGAGATATCATGTCCTCTGCCAACCAGCCACCACTTCTGTAGCTATAGGCATGTTTAAAAGCACATAGGGGCATGATGGTGAATGCCAATAACTGTAGCCTGAATTAAATGTATCACTTCAAATTTTTTTCATCATTGGGTGCTGGCAAAGGGTAAAATCCTCATTGATGCTCTCCCTTGCTTCTTCAGCATGCTGCTACCATATTTGTTGTAGAAAACATTAGAAATTCTTCGTTGACTTCTCCTATCAACTTTTTAGGTGCAATTTGCTAACACAGTAAAAAGTAAATATGACAGGATTGACATGTTGATACTTAATGCTGGCGTTTTTGGGCTTCCATTTAGTAAAACCTTGGATGGCTTTGAGACTACTTTTCAAGTGAACCATTTATCCCATTTTTACTTAACCATTTTGCTCCGTCCTTTACTGTTCAGCGGATCTAGAATGGTTGTGGTCTCTTCAGAATCACACAGGTATTTAAGTACATTTTTCAGCCAGAGTTGGTTAAAACACTTCTGAAAAATGCTTCATCATCAATGACAAATGAAGTACCTTTGAGCTGATTTAATACACTTCAAATACACTGAAAACCAAATTTTTGTGATGACTTGAGTTCAATGTGTACAAGGGAGAGGTGTTTATAGACACATATGTTGGAAAGAGAGTGAAGCTGCCTGGATAGAGAAGCTCACCGCCGCGCTACTGAGCAACGCTGACGCGGCAATCTGCGGTGATGCCAATATGTTACACCAGCTCCTTGAATTCAGATGCGTATTGAAAATATGCGTCAGTTTATTCTTTAGGATTGATTCCCAATCGGTCCTAATGGTGCTCCATTTTGGGTCGAAATGAAAGGTCAGGATTGTCACAAATTCTGCAACATTGCATCATTTGATAACACCACATCTTGTACATTCCAAAGCAAGATTTCCACCTCCATGATCATAGTTGAGCGATTTTTGTCAGTCCATTCTAGCGCTGGAAGGGGAGTACCGTCCTGCTTTGAAATGGTTTTTTGTTGCATTTTCCGACAGCAGCGCTGTCGCAAAATGTAACAGTAACTCAGGATATGTTGATTTTGTCACCATCGGTGGGCATCAAAGATGAATCAAAAGAAAAAATTGAAATAACTAATTCTAATGAAAATGAAAACAAAATTTAAAATTAAGTGTTCGAACAGACCTCCTTCTTAGGTTTGACAGTAACCTAACCTATTGTAGTAAGCCTATGCGAACATTTTCTGGTGTAACATATTGGCTACGCGCCATATTGCACGACCTCTGCGTCACCGTCGCTAGGCATTGTGGTGATGACCTTTGCTCTTCAGCCGGTTTCATCTCTTTCTAACAATGTGTTGATACACACTTCACGCGCTTCTCTTTCGTACATATTGAAGTCAAGCTCAGTCAAATTTGGTATTCCCTGTTTGTGGTACCATCCCAAATTTTTTTTTGGCTAAAAGATGTCATTCAAGCAAATTCGTTAGATATTATTGATCATGATCACATTATTTGTGAAGTTTTCTGTAGCATATGTTGAAATCTAGTCGCATTTTGTTGTAGATTTGCCAACTTGACGCTTGAAAATCTAACACCACTCACTCTTTCTCCTGATGCGCCATCAAAGTATTGGGACATGATGGCATACAACAATTCAAAGTTGTGTAATGTATTATTCGCACGAAAATTTTCGAAAAACCTACAAACTAGTGGCATATCAGTGTTTAGTTGTCATCCAGGGAATATGGTTTCCAGCAAACTGGCACGAAACTGGTGGCTGTACAGGTAGGGGCATGATGTTATTGGATTCAGATCTACACCATCTATGTAAGACAGTAGCAGAACCAATTATTCTAGCTTTTCTCATAGTAGATTATTTCTAAATTCATTTTTGTGTCCTGCAGCTGTCTCATAGATGGTGCTAGGATCCTTTAGAGATCTTCTTGGGTACCGGAGTACAATATATCTACCTCTAGATAGGATATAAAAATGGTACATAAGATTTCATTTTTCGTTTTTTTTTTTCAAAGGTTGCTGTTTGCATTGGTGAGGCCATTCACAAAGTCTTTACAGCAGGCTGCAAGCACACCTGTATACTGTGCAACTGCATTGGAGTTGACAGGTGTGACTGGTAAGTCATTCCTAATGGTTAAGAAATAATGAACCACATTTAAAATGAAATAATAACCATTGACAATATATTTACCATCATATTATACTACTGTTTGTAAGTAATTGTCAGACTAATTTTCACGATAGTTAGATGTGAAGCATATAGGTTTACTTTTAAGAGCCATAATCTGCTAACACTACCGGCAGTCTACATCTTTAACACCCCATTTGCATTACGCAACAAGAGTAGGATCGTTAATAATAACCATATATATATATATATATATATATATATATATATATATAACACTTCAGCTTTGTTGGAAATTCGCCATATTTTAAACAGTAATTTATCAAAATTAATATTCTTGCTCCAATGATATAAAAACATTCAATAAGCACACTTTTAGACAAAATCTCACTCTTATTTTGATTTAATTTTTGATATAATCCTCTTGAGACGATTAGTGTTTATTGTTCTAAACTCACTGAAGGATGCATTATAATCTAATCTAATGAGACATTGGTTGGGATCCCCGTCAATAATTAATCTTACAATGTCGATGACACTTTCTGTGAAATAGGTATTCAGTCGATCTGCTATTATTTCTTCATTTGTCATTATCCCATCGTCGAAATTCATTGTAGATAATGTATTTCTTCTAATAAGAACAATGTTTTTAAACGTTTTCCACATCTGTTTGCTACTATTTTTACTCTCATTCAATCTGCTTTGCAATTAGACCTACCTTACAGGTTATTGGTATTCTTTGCAGGGGTGTACTTCAACAACTGTTATCAGTGTCAAGAAAGTCCAGCGGCCCGTGATGATAACCTGGCTAATGCTTTGTGGGAAATGAGCATAGACATGATCAAAACTGTGCTAGGCAACAACGCGCCTGGTCTGGAACATGACAATAAAAGGATGTTGGAAGAATGAGGTAGGCAATGAAGTAACATTTTGTCGAAAATGCTATTTATTCTTACTTTTTTGGTGCAAGTAGACAGTGAAATATTGTGGAGTTGAATTTTCGTGCCAACAAACCTTATCAAACTATTTCTGAACCGATGCTGAACTGGTTATACCCTTTATTATCTCAAATATTAACCTTATTGTGCCGTTTGTTACACATTTCTTAATCATTTGAATCTTATGTTTAGTGGCAATTTGTTGAAAAATTTAATTGCCCAGCACCTTCTCAGTCAACAGTATATAGGGAGCAAATTTATCTTATTTCTGGTATTATATAAATGAACGTCTTTGAAGCTTGGGTATAGATCTCCTTTTGTCTCGGAAAACATCAAGCACTCATACACATACAGACATGGCACAGTCAACAGCTACCATTCAATAAACACATCGTTGTAGCCATTTCTGTGTCCAATAATTGCATATACTATAACTGGAATAGTGCGAAGTAACAAATGGCGACACTTCTCGCAATAAGTTGAGGAGGACATGAATATTTTGAGAAAGTTCTTTAGATAGAGCATCAATGTGGCTTTTTAATTGGAGCTTAGGGTTAACTGTCACATCTAAAAATTTAACTTGATTTTCATCTTGGATGTTTATTTTCTCGTACACAACTTGCTTAGTCTTTTCACCATTTAGCAACAACTTGTTGGAATAAAACTAGATTCTGACTTTTTCCAATCCAGCGTCTGTTTGCTATTGCGTCTCCATCAGAGAGTTAGCTGCAAGAGATATTGATGTGGCATCTGCAAAGAGGGTAACTTCTATACCATTGTTTGGGAGATCATTAACATAGATTTGCAGACGTTACCACCACTAATCATGTTATAAGTAATAACAATCTCATATATTCCTTTCATTTTAAGTCATCAGAACATTTGATTTCTTCCAGCTCTAAAAAAGACAAAGCTTCGTATAATTTCTTAAGAAATATTTCAGCAAGCTATTCATCTCTTGTTAAATCTGCCATCTTGTTTCCTGAATTTTTAATGACCTTTACTATACGTCAAAAAACAATAAATCATCTCAAAATCTACATCTAGTATGCGGATACAGGATAATTTTAAATGTTACTTCAATAAAAGATCATGCTTACGTCATAAAGCCTTGTAATCTACATTATATCCATTGAATACGAGAGGCAATGTAAGGGATCTCAAGCTCCACATTTGAAGTAAGATCGTGATGACGGCAAGGTTGGTATCAAAGTAATACTCAGCTATATTGTGCATTTTATATTACTGTACATTTACAAAATTATTTGTTGATAAATAATACAAACGAAAGGTTGAAATGCATTTGTCGGAAATTTTGTATATTAAATCCTGTATCAAAGGCAATGTATTTTACCATCTCCTAAATAAAAAAATAATAAAACTCGCTAGCTCTGCATACTATTAAATAAAAAATAAATACAAATTATATACAACACTGGCAGTAATAGCTCCAATAAATAACATTTAAACACCTTGTTCAAAATTTGCCGAGACTCATTTTTCTAATGTGCGTTGAATAACATTTCTACTACACATTTCAGATTTTTTTCAACTAATATTCGAGTTTTAACCATGCAAATGCTTAATAAATTGTTTTGTCATATCAGGATATCATTTTTTACCGAATATAGCAAAAGCTCCGTTAAAATAAGGCCATTTAAAATCTTGAAGAGGGTATTAAATATAAAAATCTGAGCAGAAATGTCGAAACACATTATCCGTCCGACATCTTTCGTGGATCAGTGGCAGTAAACAACTGTCTTTTAAAGCTATAAAGCATTCCTTTTTTACAATATACACATAAATACACGTAGCTTATGGCAAAGAGAATCATAAAAGATTATAAAAGTCACGCCTCAATGTGAGGCAAAGGCTTGTATTAAAATAGGTTCATCAAGTTTCTTTTATTAGAATTAACTTCATATCAGTCGTTGGTTCTTGCAAATTTCAACGCCTGATTTGTGTTAATTCCAAACCTATAAGTGCCAATTTTGTTACAATTTTCTTGGTTGTCATGTTGACAAACTTACACTGACACATGTTTGAAATTACATTTCACTCTTCTTAATGAGTCTCCTACTCTGAATTATAAACATGTATCGGGATACCTTGAGGAACCTAATTTTTATAGAGTATTCGTCAAAATTTGTTATAGAAAAATTTGATATGGCAGTGTTAATATAAAAATTTTAGCAGCTGTTGTTGTTAAGTTAGGACTGTACACCGACTTTCTTGTATACGGGTTGTTCCTAAAGTTTGGCCTTTCTTTCACACGGCTATAGTTCTTGCAGAAATAGTAAATTTTCCTGGTAATGCAAATACTAAAATTCCAATATTGAACCCGTTGTGTAGGTAAACTGTTTATAAATCGCATTTGAAAAAGCTGAAAATGACACGCCACTATAGGAATAATGGGTTTGTCGATATCATGTTAGGTTACAGTGTCTTCAAGATTTGTTGAGGTTGAATTCAGATCATTTCCATGCACGTGTCTTAAACAAGTAAAAGGTGAGCACTGTCTTCAATATTTTCTGTTAAGTTTTTAACTGTTTCATCGCATATTTGCTTGATTACTTCAAGCGTAGGCAGAGCCGCTGGGCACATTACAAGCTTGGGGCCTGCAGCTGAAGGGGCCTCAGTATAGAGCGTAATACGTCAGTCATTTTTTAAGTTTCGTTTGATTTTTGAGCATTTGAGGTCCTAAGAACGGACCCGGTGTGCCGATACGGTCAAGATGAAGTAGGGCCTAGTAATTTCTATAACTCTGTCGTCGAACCAGTTTGGCGAAATCTTACCTACACTTTAGAATGTGATAAAACAACGGAAGACACAGACTAGAGAAGTTACCAGATTTTTGGAAAACGTGCAATAGTTTACCTGCCATCATTTTTAAAAATGTACAGCTCTCAATGAGTGATCCATGACAACAGTACTCTGCCGCAATTTTTACCATTTACACACACGCTAGAAAATTAATACTAAAATACTGGGCAGTTATTCCTTAAAAAATAAACGCGAAAAGAGAGAAAATCTGTAAGAAGATCCGACATCTGATTCTTGTTACGTAAAGCGACATAGACGTATTCTGTTCGCACGCCTCCATGCGTGGTCCTATTGAAGCTGCGCCTGCAGCTGATTTGGTCTCTTTCTTCCTCGGAACATGTGCCCGTGTTCCCAAGTTCGAAATCGATTTAGGTTATCTCCACCGCTAGGCCTATGTTGGCATCGGGCAGACAGTTACCACAGTAACCGCCACATTTCGCACTGACCTTGGTTGCCTGTGAACAAAAAATGGCGTCAAGTAGATTGACTATAGCACTTCTCATGCAACGCTGTCACTAGTTTATAGATGATTATTTTCGTTCGAAGTAAGCCCCTTTTAGAAAAGATTAACTACTGACATGTATAACAGAAGCATTAAATATATCAAGTCAGTCAAATACGCACACTTTAATTTACATTTTTATTATAGTTTTGAGTACCACATTTAAGATTTGCAAGGTTTGCCTCCCGCTTGATACATATCATAATATATAAAAAGTTCCCCCTTCCTGATAACTAACCGCCCCAGCTAAAAAAAAATCCGTCACCCGTATCTGATGTCGGGATATTCAAATCCGCGAGCTTTAGAGCTAATGCGTTAACACACCGAGCTACCCAGGTCCAACCGCTCTCGCAACACCATCATCTTCTCTTTTAGTTGCACTAGACGCGGGTCGGAAGGTGATCTTGGTCTTACGTTTCATCTAATACATGAAGAAACAAATTTTAGAAACTTACCGTCCTCCTGCTGAAGTCCATGGATGGATTATGCCCGATCTTCTGCCACCGAACATTCTTCCCCAGCTTGAATGATGTCCGTGAAAGATCCACACTGAACTTGCCTTGCGCGCACCCTTCGATGGCGCTGTAGCAGTCTCCGGCCGTTCCGTAGGGCACTGCTGTGCCCTTCAGCTGTTGCGAGAATGTGTAGTCATCGCCTACAATGCGCATGGTCGTGATGTTCAGCCGCACCTTCCAGAAACGCGTCATTCCAGAGCGATCGGGACCGACCTTGTCGCATGCGCAGTCGTCCTTACGGGTTCCACCGTACGGGCAGGAATGGATATTTAGCAATCTGGAATTATTAGGAATTGAGATAAAACGCAGTTTGATGGAAGCATTAAGGCTACCCAGTGCCCAGCGGAGCGCGACCTTGAGAATAGGCTGTTGGACACATTTTATTAAATAGTTAATATTTGTTCTATTAGACCAAAAAAATACCATATTTTTTCGGACCTAAAAGACCTAAAAACTTTATTTTAAAAATATACTTTTCTTAGACATGTATGGTCTGACGTCATACCATTTGTAAACAGCAGCTGACAGCAGCATAACCTAACAAACTTTTATACATGTAAACGTGACTTCTCGTTTACTTTTTTTTTATTTTATCGCCCGAGAATATATAAACAAATCTATAAAGTCCCCAGGGAAGCTTTGGATTAGAGTGCACAGAGAAATAAACAAACGCAACATTGTGTATTGCTTGGAGCATAGACTATGTTAAGAAATATGGTATTAGATAAAATTATTCTGAGGTTACAAGGCATGAGCTTAGTTCCGAATGACTTCCAGAGAGGAAGATTATGTGTACATACTTATTTTTGAATCCAACGTCCATGATTGTTTTTTTTTTTCAATAAAACGAGAAAGCCATAACTTTTTACGTTGATTAAGAGTTTCTTAGAAATATATAAAGAAGACAACGTTAGTCCACGAGTGACATACGGATGACGTTTATTTGTTTACAATTTGTACGACGTCACATCATGGCCGATAGAGTTTTCACCGTTTCACGCAGTTATTAAGTTAGCCTACAATGTTGTATCAGACACTGCATTAGCATAAGATAACAACTTCTCGCTAATCAGTTGTTTACTTAGTATCTCTATTTATCGATAGTCTATTGTTTGTCCATTGTTTACTGTTATTGTCTATTTTCTGATGATGGTTAGTCAGAATTTCAAATTGTATAAATAGTCTCCCTGGAATTTGAAGTGTATTCAATACCTGGCGCGACACCGTAATGTATGCTAAGTCGTAGGTTCAGTACCCGGCGCGACACCGTAATGTACCCTAGGTGGAGGAGGAATAGGCTACACAGCCGATATCAATTTGAGTGTTTCGTTAGAAGAAGACATAACATGATTTTTGCTTTTACGAGATTTTCAGGTTATCTTTTAAGATACAGCAGTGAGATAAACAGCAGATTCTAGAAACTGGTTACACTAGAGCAGGGTTTCCCAAAGTGTGGGTCGCGACCCCCTGAGGGATCGCAATGATGCACTATAGAGCCGCCAGGAATTCCAGAATAAGACAAAAACAGCACTTAGTTAAAGCGTGTATTTTTATTTTAATAGGGCCTTGAATAAAAATTAGCTAATGAAACACAGATCTAAATATTAATAAGTCTAGTGAGACAGATCACAACTGTTAAAACAATTGTTGAAATTGTATGTATTTAGTTTAAACTTAATAAGTAAAGTATTATTTGTAAAACCATCGGCTACTCGTAAATTAGGCGCGTTATTTTTGTTACTATTTTTGCTTGGATGATGAGTAGGGGGGAAATAGGGGGTCGTGAACAATGTTTTTTTAAAAACGTTAGACAAGTTTGTGAAACACTGCTCTAGATAATGTTTTTTTCCTGTTAGCGATCATGCTTGGTTCTTTAACTAACGCAGTGACAATAAAATATTTTATGATTGATATTAGATATATAACATATGTGTACTGGGGAGACTTAAAGTAGACGGAAAAACTTTTTTTTTTGGTCGCCATTCTTTTAGATGCCACTAGCTTTGTATGCGCGTTACACTAGGCGTGTTTGATTATTTTTCATACCTTTTATCATAGATTTCAGCGAAGTTCTGTGCATCCTGATGTAAACTGATATATTCTTGAGGTTCCGTGGTATCCATCCTATAACAATGTATTTGTACTGGTCTCCCCTTGAGGGATATGATATAGTCTTTGTTCTCGTTGGTCCTCATGTATTGCTTCATTTCTTTGCAACTTCTAGGGAGACCTGTAATCACAAATTATTCGTGCTTATTCCAATGTTTGATTATTTTTTTTTTGCTGATATTGCTCCATTAGCTTCACTATGAATCCGGGTAAGTTAGGAGATTTATTTATTCTGGTTTAACTATAACTACATGTCTCTGACACTATTGCTTAAAGCATCAGATATTAACCTATCGAAGAAAACCGTGGAAAATCCGCCTGTAAAAAATGTTTGCATACAAAATCAAGTAAAAACTGTAAAATGTGACACTCTTGGCAGCTGACAAGGCTACTCCTTCCAGTCGAGGTATATTTTTGGACTGAGTACAAAACTATTACAAAATAAGTAAGAACATGAATATATACACTGGTTCTGTCAAAAGAACATAAAATATGCAGTAGTACAAAACTAATTTTATGGAAATAAAATGTTATGACGTTGTTGGTTTGACATGTAATGTATTCTACTAAAATTTATCCGGTGGGAAATCCAGAAGAGTTAAATGAGTGTTCCTTTAATTTAGAAACTACGAATACATTTATTTCCAATATCACAACAAAAAAAAACGAAAGTGAATTATATCGTCTTAAAAAATAATGTAAATAATGCATTAAAACCTATTTTATTAAAAATGCGATTTTTTGTGCCTAATTACCATGTACTCACATCTAAACTGATTGCATTTCCGTTTCCTTGGTGGTTTCAGGTTCCTTCTGCAAAATCTCCTTTGTACCTTTTGCTTCGTCCTTACGTCTACGCAGTGTACCCTTCTAGTTTGCCTGCCCCTCTTTCCGCATTTGTGAGAACACTACGAAATAAGTAACAATCAATAAAATTTCTCATGATGTTACCAAAAATGGAGGTTTTAATAAGAAATTCGAATTTGAGTGATAAAAAAGCAGGTGAATAAAGTTGCATTATGTTAAATTGCTAATCCAGGAAGTACGAGGGTTGTTTCAAAAATAAGGTTCCCACATTTTTTTCGGGTACAAGGAACTTTTTATTTGAAAAATGAATTCACCATTCGAAACGTCGATCCTCAAGTTATTTTTCTCTATAGTCGCATTATTTTAGACGTGAAATCCACTTTTGCACTTCCGTTTGCAGCCCGTTTAGAAACTTGGTAACTGCTCCTTGCGACTCCTCGTCCGTCTCGAACCGTTGACCGCCTAGGTGCTCCGTCAATTTGGGAGACGCTATGCCAGTGCTGTAAGAGTAAGGGGCAACGACTTCCCAACCAAATCGCTCGATTAAGTCCTTGGTTTCTTGTACGACATGAGGATGCGTATTGTTCCAGTACAGTCTTACGCTTTGGTGAGTTTTAATTTTGCTCAATCTTCGCCACAACTTCCTCGGAAATCGACGTTCTCCTGCTTCGTTGTTCATGATAGTCCGTGTGGCCGTCAGAGCACTCATTTCACCGTTTGAGAACATGTTGAATGTTTATACACATTTCCCCATATTCTCCACTCAAGTGGCGATGAATTTCTATGGATGGTAACGTTTTTGCCTGCCAAAATCGGATGACCGCACGAGCATTGCAAATAGGCGCTTCTTGTTGGGATCGGTGGAGTGGGAGCCGACCAACACGACGGTGTTGCCAGATTTCGCCTACCATCACGCGCCGAAAAGATGCTCATTTTTGAGATCACCCTCGTATCTTCGTATCCGTTCTGAAAAGTATTCTGATTCGTTTTTTTTTTGCATATCTTAATTTGATATTTGAAAAAGTGCGAAATATGTCATTTTCGACCCCGAAAAACAACAAAGTAAAACGGAAATTTTAACGTTGTCAAGTTTACCAGATATTCTTCAAAAGTGTATAAACACAATCCTAAAGCATTTTACTATACAGGGAAAACCAATATTGTCTGACGGCTTCAGTTCAATGTGTACGAGAGAGAAGCGCGAGAAGTGTGTATCAACACATGTTAAAAAGAGATAGAAGCCGGCTGAAGAGCAAAGCTGATCACCACATTGCCGAGTAGCGGTGACGCAGAAGGTCGTGCAATCGGCCGCGTTGCAAATATGTTACACCAGAAAATGTTTGCTTCTACAGTAGGTTAGGTTACTCTTAAACCCAAGAAGGAAGTCTGTTACATGAACATTTAATTTAATATTTAGTTTTCATTTTGATTAGAATTATTAATTTCAGTTTCAGCGATCGGTCGGGAAATGTAACAAATTTCATTAAGCTATACAACTAAATCACTGTCTGCGTGTACGCAGGTGAAAACCAGATGGATACTCACCAAAATCGCTCACATCTACGATCATGGAGGTGTAAACCTTGCATTGGAATGTACGAGATGCGGTGTTGCAAAGCGGACCAACGATGCAATGTTGCAGAATTTGAGGCGAACCTGACCTTTTATTCCGACCAAAAATGGAACGCCGTCAGGACCGATCCAGAATCGATCGTAAACAGATTGAACATATTTCACCATTAAAAAATGTGTACGCTCAAAATAAAACCATTATTTGGTCGAAGAGAATAAACTAACGCATTTTTTTGACTTGCATCTTAAATCAAGGAACTGGTGTAACATATTGGCAACGCGGCGGATTGCCTCATCAGCGTTGCTAGGTAACGCGGTGATGAGCATGTTTATCCAGCCGGATGCTATCTCTTTCTAACATATGTGTCTATACCACTTCTCTCTCGTACACATTGAACTTAAGCCGTCAGACAAATTTGGTTCTCAGTGTATATTGAACACGCGCTTGATTAACAATTAAAAATCAAAGGTTGATGTTTAAACAATATTTAGAAACCATTTTTCATATTGTTTTCGAAGTCGAAAATAGCATATTCTGCACTTTTTCAAGAATTTAATCGCTTGTATCTAGAAAACTTTAGAGAGAACTTCATCCTTGTTCAGAATGACCCAAAAAAACCTGAAAAATTTTGTTCGGAGCAAAAAAGCATTGGATTCCATCAAGATTTGTTTATACATTTTTTGAAGCAGTTTTGGACCAGTCAATATGCAGATTCTCTGAATGGTGTACTTTTTAAATAGGATTCTGCAAAAAAACGAATCGGATGTTTCCCTTTAACCGACTACGTAGCCGTTTCATAATTATTGGCAATCGTCAGCTCGGTCCAGATGGAACAACATACGAAAACTGAGCAAAGTAACCCTTGCCTGTCTGTAAAGTTTTAATATATGCTTTGTGGGTTTATTGTGCTAAAAGACATTTGCGAATCTTTTCATTGACTTCGTAACTGTGTGATTGTTGGAAACTTTGAATATACCTACCTCTCTCCAAGGTTCCGGTTGCCATATGAATTCATCTCCGCATTTGCTGAGAATACATTTTGCCGTAGTGGGAGGCTTGTCCCGGAAGGAGCAGTAATTGTTTTCCGAAATTACGTTTTGGTAAACTTCCGGTAGCGAGACAGGATCTATAAAACCGCCATGTTGGACTTTGTGACAAGTGACGTTGCGAGTCTTGGTACCCATTCCACATGTAGCGGAACACTAAAAATTAGACTTTCTTATTAGGAATAATGTTTTTATGCAAAAATTGGACTAGATTTTCAAATATAAATAAGAATTGATCTTGATAGGTTTCCATTTTTTGTTTGTGGTTGAACTTATAAGAGCAAACGTTCGATTTCTTGTAATTTTGAAGTATAGGTAACGTAACAATGGTATTTTTATTTTAGTTTTGATACGCTATATTTTAATCTTTCATTACAAAATATATAATAATATATTCAAAAGCTATAAATTAAAAATATTGATGTGCATGCGTAATGGAATAGGGAGACTAGAAGTCAAATGCCTACAAACTACTTATAAGGGTTGTTAGTAAAGCTTATAACGTTACAGTTTGACGAGAATCGCTAGTGACGTTTAGTTTTGAACACTTCAATGCTTTGGGGTTATACCCTCAATGTTTTGAACACTAGTACAACATCAACAGAAGCGTACATTTAGATACCATAGTGTGCCATGAAGTATCATGGTAAATAGTGTATGGAGATTGACAAATTGAAAGTACACGATGTACCATGTTTGTTCATACTTAACCAAGTCTTTTTTAGCAGACTTTCTTTTCCTGAATTTCGAAAATGATATTTAGCCTAATCATATTAGCCAATTTCCCCGAAATAATTGTAAAGTCTGGTTTTAGTGATGCAAGTTGTTCAAGGGGATATTTAAAACATAGACGTTAAAAATGGGTACACCATTTTTTTGTGGGAAACTTTTTATTTGGCAACAAAGAATGAGAAAACGTATTTTTTGGGATTCAATCGAAAGCGTTGAGAGGAACGAAAAAACTTTTCATATAAGATTCGTAGGTATTTATGAGACCTACAAAATGAGATCACACGTAAAAAGATCCGTCTAATAGCAAACATGATATGGCCGAAAAACAAGGCAAAATGCAGGTTTTGGCACTTGTTGGTAATGCGACGATAATTTCACGCAATTACTTGAAATTCTTCAAATCCGTAGGATTAATAATTTTAAATAACAGCAACAAAATTGGAGTATATTGGTCAAGTAGTTTTTTGAGAATTTTTAATTGTTTATCCCAAAACACCTGTTTTCCGACAATCATTACTAGTTTATTGAGCAATATACAGGGTTCGTTGAAAGAGCATTTAATAGCAAAATACACGTGTTTACTTTGCCGATATGAATCACAAACCATTAAGAAAGATAAATGTATTTTTGTGCGAAAAACAAAGGTTACGTTTTTTTTCTTCTAAACAAACTCAAAAATTTCGTATTTGTGAGTAACTGAACAAATGCGCTAAGATATACGAAAAAAATACATTACTATATATAGTTTAAAACAAAGCGGATGTATGTATCATATTTTGTTGCGAATCACTCTCAAATTCGAAATGTTTGAGTTTGTTTAGAAGAGAAAAACGTAACCCTTCATTTTTTGTATAAAAATAACATTTATCTTCCTGAATGGTTGCGCTTCATATCAGCAAGGTAAGCTAGTGCACCTTGCTATAAAATGCCCTTTGAACTAACCCTGTATATTGCTCAATAAACTAGTAGTGATGGCAGGAAAACAGGTGTTTTGAGATAAACAATTAAAAATTCTCAAAAACTACTTGACCAATCTACTTCAATTTTGTTGTGGTTATTTAGAAGGACGAATCCTACGAATTTGAAGAATTTCAAGTATCTGCGAGGAACCATCGTCGCATTACCAACAAGTGCCAAAACCTGCAGTTTGCCTCGGTTTTTGGCCATAACTTTTTTGCTATTAGTCGGATCTTTTTACGTGTGGTCTCATTTTGTATGTCTCATAAGTACCTAAAAATCTTATATGAAAATTGTTTTCGTACCTGTCAACACTTTCGATTGAATCCCAAAAACACGTTTTCTCATTCTTTGTTGTCGAATAAAAAGTTTTCTAACAAAAATTGGTGTACCCATTTTATGTGTCCGTGCTTTGAATCCTCCCTTGAACAGCTTTCAATAAAACCAGACTTTACAATTATTTTGCCGTTGAAATTGATTTCGATGGCGCCTTGTGACGATATACTTGATTAGCTATGATAATTTTGACACTGCCATGATAATTTGAATATAAAACATCAATATAATCAGATGTCAAAATTATCATAGCGAATCAAGTATATCGTCACAAGGCGCCATCTAAATCAATTTCAACGGGCGAAACTCATTTAGAATCAAGCCCCAGGGGTATTTTCGTCTGATATGATTAGACAAATATGTTACATTTGCGAATTGAGACCTAGCGATTCGCGTGTTGTAGCAGAAAGAGCACTTACAGAGGACCAGTAGCTCTCGATCCAGGCGAACCTGCAAGCGTACTTCTCGCAGGCTTTGCTAGTCTTCGGTCTTTGGAGGCCGTTGCCCAAACACAGTTGGTCCACAACTAAGCTTTCAGTGAGGGTGTCTTCGCAGTTCAGTTTCCTGGATCTTGTACCGCGACCACAAGACGTGGAACACTGTAGATGTGCAGCAGGTGTGCGAATGGTGTGCGAGAAAAAACGGTTTTTGTTGGTGATAAAGCTTGTGGTTAGGTGGGTGGGGCGCCAGGAAAAGTATAGTGGTGTAGCCAGATTGTTATACAATAACACAACTCAAGCATCATACGGAATATAGATAGCAACGTTGGCTATTTTTACCGCCTACCTGGCGACGATACTTGACGTGTAACTCTACCTCCCGCCTCCTTCTACCAAAGGACATATCGGTCTACTACCAGCCCTTAGTGAATGTTGATGTTTACGAGGATAGGGTCAAAAGTTCTCGATCTGACTATAAAATACTGCTTTTTTCAATTTAAACAGGATTTATTTTTTTACATAATCGTCTTAGACTCCGACACATTTAGTCCAATACAGAGTGTAAAGTTAGTAGTGGATCAACGGAAGTCAGGTGATAGAGGGCCTCAAATTTTATAGTTCAGGAGATATTTGCAATTTTGTGAAATTTCGAAAAAAACGGGATAATGAACTTTCAATCGCAATTACAACTAAAACCATTAGGCTTAGGGCTGTGATTTTTTTTTCTGAGATGAGCTAAATGGTTACTTTTAGCAATGGTTATGTCACTTTTTAACAGAGTAAAAAATCTTAAATTCATTTTCTTGTGAAAAATCTCTTTCATCACTCAACTTTGGAGGGCAGTAAAAAAATTGAGATTGTATTTCATTATTCATTTTATTGTAAAAACTATTTCAATCTATGTAGAATAAACCCTGAAAATTTCAGCTTGCTACGATGAGTGTAGCATGTCACATTCGTTGTTGTGATGCGATAAACGTAAGAAACGCAATAGAGTCCTTACCACCTACAAGTATAGAACATATTGTGTTTAGCCGCTCTTTATGGTGATTTACCGACAAATGTGGAAGATAATTTAATTTAACTAACTTTTGAAGAAAATGGCATTAATTTCTATACACCTTCTAATAAAATTGTCCTTTAGTTTTTGAAATGAATATGCGTTGTCCATAATTTTTATTTTTGCTTCATCAATTTTCTGGCGCAGTTGGTTGACATTTGTATATTCAAATGTATAGATTATCCCCTTATAAAACCCACATATAAAAAAAATCTAGAGGATTTAAATCGGGTGACCTTGGAGGCCATCGTATGTGTCCACCTCTACCTATGCAACGCCCAGGAAGGGCACTGTCTAAGTAATGCCGTGTATCCCGTGCAAAGTGGCATGGGGCACCATCGCATTGAAAATACATGCGGCTTCGAACGTCCAAAGGTACATCCTCTAGCAGCTCATGCAAACTGCTTTGTGAAAAAGCAAGATATGACTGATCATCCAACCTGGCGAGCAATTCATATGGTCCAATTAATTTTTTGTTGGGTACTCCAGCCCATAAATTAACGCCGAACTGACGTTGAAAGCTGTGTCGGCGAATATTCGTGTGGATTTTCCACTCTTCATGAATGGAAATTGGGCATGTTGAATTTACTTTTCGCTTGGAAGCAATTCTTGTACTTTTTGTACATTGTAAGGATGCATGTCCTCCGAGCGTAGTATTGTGTGCACTGAAGTATGAGATATGTTTCTGCTTCGGGCAATGATTCTGGTGCTTATAGAGGGATCTCACTCGGCTGCTTCTATTATATCTTCTGTTTTTTCTGGACGTATCCTCGGCGGCGCTCCTAGGTGACGATAAGTGCCTAGTATGGGGCCCTCCATATACGCATTATGGACGCGTACAAAAACGCGGTAGTCGGGATATACAGGCGGTTGTGGTCCACCTCTTCTAACCACATACTCCCAAAACATGCGTTTGTATTTCTGCAAAATCTCGCGGAGAATATGACATAATTCTACTCAGATGCCAAACGTTAGATACAAATTCCGCGCTGGACCATTGCCTGACTTAGTAATTTCGGTCGGACTGAAGATTGGACGCTCCCGCACCTGGAATGCCCAAGCTCATTAAGCTGATTTGGCTATATGCATAAAAAATCCGCCATTTTGATTTTACAGAATGTTAATATACACAGTATCGCTCGCACTGCTAGAACGAATCTAGCAGTACCTCATATGTCAAAATCCATCAAGTCGTTTGGACTGTAGCTCGTAAAATAGAATTTCTTGTTTACATGTATAGATACTCACCTGCGTCAAACATACAGATTTTTCAAGGTGAGTCACTTATCGTAGCAAGCTGAAGTTTTTAGCGTCTTTCTACAAGGATTGAAATACGTTTTACAATAAAATGAATAATGAAATACAATCTCAATTTTTTTGCCGCTCTTCAAAGTTGAGGGATGGAAGAGATTTTTCACAAAAAAAGAATTTAAGATTTTTTGCGTTGATATCTAATTAGCTCTGTTAAAAAATGACATAACCATTGCCAAAACTAACCATTTAGCTCATCTAAAAAAAAAACCCTAAACCTAATTGCGATTGAAAGTTCATTATCCCGTTTTTCTCGTATTTCGACAAAATTGCATACATCTCCTGAACTATAAAATTTCAGAACACACCTATTCGATATGTTTTGAGGCGCTCTATCACCTGAAATCCTTTGATCCACTACTAACTTCACGCCCTGTATATTCATCTACGGCCCCCTCAACTTTTTCATGAGATCCAAAGCGTTTTCAGAAAGGAATATCTTCAATTCTTGAGATGGAAGACTGAGGGTGCAAAGTCAAGAGAATACTTGTCATCTTGACATGCATCATCCAACACGATATCGCGGATCTTTTCGATGACTTCAGGTGTGGTTGCGGTTTTGGGCCGTCTTTCACGAGAGTCATCTTCAAGGAAACTACGACAACGTTCGAGTTTCGCTGTTTTATACTTTAAATCGAAGGAGCGTAACTTTTTTCAACTTCAGAAATTTTTTACTATCTTACATGAATAATTTACTAACAGCACCCTACTATATAAAACGATTATATCCACAGCGTAGTGTTTTAAATAGTAGCTTGAAAATTAAGTTATGTGATGCGCTTATAATATCTCGCCCATCTTACTGTGACAGCATATACGAGTACTATATGGCCCAGCTCTTTTAAAAAACGATTACTTAAAATTACAGCGAGTACAAAAATCGTGCCTGTGATTCTCTTTTGGTATAAGAAGGCTTGATCATATGAGCCATATGTTCAAACAATGCAACATTCTAAGTTTAGATAGATTGAGAAAATTGCATTTCCTATCACTAGTCCACAAGGTTCTCGTGAACAAAAATCCGGAATGCCTTTTAGATAAAATTCCAAAATTTGAAAATAGCAATTTATTACATACTAGAAATAGGCGAATGATCGTTATATCCCCTCACAAAACATCAACCTTGAAACGCAGCTTTTCATATAACGTAGCCAAAACACATACCTGTAATTCTGTCCCAAATGATTTCTATGACTTCTCTTTATTGAACTTTAAGAAAAAGGTAAATAATTTGTATCTGCCTGACGTGTGAAGGATCCTATAGATATGCTGACTCTGTTTACGCCCACTTCTTTTCTACTTGTCTCTCTTTCCCTTGTGTTCTACTAATTGTTGATACAAAATACTTTTTCGTTACCTTCCAAAATATATTATGATTTGCTGATAGGATGTAGATAGCTCCACCAGCAAGAAAAGACTTTTAATTCTACATTGTATTGTGAAAGTTATCGTTGTTAAATGGATGAGCTGAAACTCACTAGATTTTTTTTATTGTTAGTTCCTTTCTCTTAGGCACTTGGTACATCTTACAGAATAGTTCTTATGACTATCATTGATACTTATATTTATCTTTATTATTGGGTTTTCCCTTAGATATGTTCATGATATACGAGTAGATTCAATTTTTTTTTATTTAACACTCCACCTTGCCAATTTTGCACTTATGCGGTTTTCAAGATATTATTCTTTTGTTTTATTTTGTGTATGTAGAATTGAATATAGGCACATTATTATTATAATTATTATTATTATTATTATTATTATTATATTCGAGCTTATCTATTTTAATGAAAGGCAGCAGCGGTGGCCGCAGTGGTAGACTCTTCGGTCTCTTGATTAGCCTCCGTGCGCTGTGCGGGTTCGGATCCCGCCCCAAGCGAAATTTTTTTCTTGGCTATGGATGTTGTGATTGTCCGTAGGTGGTAGACGGTCTGTACTGTCGAGCGCGGAGGTACCACCCGGCGGATGTCGTAGGCGGGGCCAGAATGTGTGCATGCTGCCTGTATCCCCCTAGACCCCCACGGTACCCCAAGGGTGTTTAGGCCTTAAGCCTTCGTGGTTGTTTTAGTATAAAAAAAATCATCGTAAAATGTTGACTCAAAATTTGATGTACACAAATTACTCGAGAGAATAGGTTGAAACTTATGAAACACGCAAATGACATGTGCACCCATAGAGGAATTATAAATGTACGCTTATTGGAACGCCACGTTAGTGTCAGGACGAGAACTGTTCACCTTATCCTCGTATACTGATTTAAATTTTCTTTACATACCTGGTTGGCACAGTACTCATACGTATACTGTATAAACATGTGTCATCTTAAGTTTTATGTCCAAAGAAATTAATGTTTGATTTTTACTATAGTGTTTACGTTTTACGTTCCTTTAAACGCCTTTTAGACTGTCAGTTGACTAAAAATAGTTATGTATGTCAATCGAAACGTGGTAAAAGAAATCTTGTAAACAAATAAAATACAAATCTGCTTTAACATAAATTTTTTGTTAAAATTTCGGTTTTGGCTTGAGTCGAAAATATGCACTTGTGTCTGTTCGTAAAAATGGCAACGTCGCGAGCAATTGACAAAAGCTTGACCAATCGCCGAAGGGGGATTTGATCATTTGAGATGGAGAATTCTAGAAGCTACACCACTAAAGCAAAGAAAAAGTAAAATTTCTGAGAAATAATACCCTGCTCAGAAATATATGTGATAACTCAAACTACTACCGAAAGCAAATGCATCTCTCTAGTAACTACGTGGAAAACATTATCACTTGTGTGGTCATGAAGCATACCTGTTTCCAAGCTCCTACTCTCCACCTGTATCGTTGCTTAGCGACTTCGTTCGAGTATAATCTAGGAATATCGTTGCTAGAACGAACACTTGTACATTCCGTGAGATCACATTTTGTCGACTCGTCTGGTTTTCTTGATATATCGCATTGGTTCTCGTTGAGAATATTACCTACAAAATTAAATAAAAGTATACATATGAACCGAATGTGTAAATGCTGACTAAAACAATTATATGCTATGAACAAATTTGTTATACGGAATTCCACAAGGAATCGTGAATACGTCTTCATGTTTAGCTTATACAGGATACGGCAGCATAAATTCCTTTCCACAAAACTTAGTAAAACCCATAGTATGAATCTGAACATTTTTAGTAGATTTTTATAATGTTGGCACATGCCTAAAGTTTTGTTTTACAAAGTTTTGAAGATCAAATCGGATAGGTGAAGTTCCTCCAAACCGATTTCTGACGATTGTCATTATTTTTGTCAGCGTAGCAGGAGCTATGTAATTTCTTCCTGGATGTTGGTTTCCAAATCTTGTAGGTTTCTTGGACAGTTTACATAAACACGGGGTTTCTAAAAACCCTATAGAAAAAATTACAAGGTGCCAAATCAGGAGAGCGAACCGTCCACTCCAAATTGCCCTTCATTCAGATGAGGCGCTCTCTGACGTGTTTCCTAAAAACAGCCATCGATTTCTTGAAGTGAGAAAGACCACTAGCGCTCCGATATGCCATCAACTGACTTAATGGCTCGCGTTTTGAAAAAAGAAGTTATGCTGCCATACCGTATATTACTCTGATTTTTCATTCTAGTTTCATCAATAATTATTTTTTAATGGTTAATAACCACCAACTGGATCAGAAATCCTTAAAAATTGCTTGTCTCTGGAAACTTACGCGAGTTATCCATACATCTAACTTGTCTGTGTCTTTGACAACTAGAGTCGCAATTTGGACTCCAGTCTCCTGTAATCCAAGCCGGACAAGGGATATTGTTGCACTTCACGATGCTGTTCGGCTTATGAGCTGGGTCGCACAAATTTTCATCTTCAACTTCATTTTCGTTGATGCATTTGTATTTTTGCTGCATGACCCCTCCCCCACAACTTTTTGAACACTGGACAAAATAAAAATAACAAAAAGTCGTATCATCATATAATACTAGAGAATTTTTAAGCTTATATACAACTAAAAACTCGATAAAAACCTATATGAGTAGAGATGTTACGTTTGATTTGAAATTATTTATTCTAAGATTGACAGTTGTGATGTGACGTTATTTCAGAACATAATTTTGATGCTAAATTCAAATGTAGTCTGCATGATATCGTTGTTATAATCAAGTAGATACTATTTATAGTTTATAGATGACTTACCGAAGTCCATCTGTAAGGCGTCCATTGATAAACATGTCTGACGTAAGGTTGAATAGTGTTGTCAAAGTCATCCTTCTGCCCATATCGTCTTTCGTATGAAGTCAGAATCCGCTATAAAAATGGTTCAAATAAAGAATCTGAGTGGTCAAAGTTGGATCCATATTTGTGCATGGTTTTATTCACATGTCATATGGCTAGGTTATATCCGTACTGATACATAGAATTGACATAATGGGTCATTCACAATAATCTATTCTTGCAATTTAACGCGGATGTCACACGATTATTTACTGCGGTCCGTATCATGAGTATTTACTGATCATTCCGTCAGTGTCGGTAGATTTCTACGTAACCCCGTAAAAATACCATTCTTTAAATGGAAGGACTATTTATTTCCATTTTCAAATGCGGCCCAGTTCATATTTTTGTAAGGTCATTATTTTTTATGATGCAATGTTGACATGCTTAGATTGAAGTTCTAGTACCCCTTAAGTGTAACTCCTAAACTCACCTCGCATTTCTCCCTGTAACACACGCGACTCTCATTGGGCATAGGTTCATCGGCACAGTAACTTTCTTCCACCGTCTTCATATCATCATCATACTTGACACATCGGTATTTCCTCCTTTCTACGCCTTCTCCGCACGACACGGAACAATCAAAGTAGGCGTCGGTGGGTGCCCATCGTCCGCACGGTCGCCTGTTGCACGGTTCCCGCACCAGAGGGCGTCGCGATTTATCGCAGTGCGACTCTGGATGGATGCGGTCGTTCTGGACGCAGTATACGGTGCGGTTAAAGTAGCCTGAACGACCACAAGGAGCGGAACACTGATGGAAAGATAATGGGTTTAAATGTACAGAGCGTTCTAAAAAGATTTCGTAATAACACATATACCTCAAGTCTCAAGTTAACCGAGTTTAGTAAGAAAATGTATATGTCCGCCAACAGCATATTTAGGATCCTTATCTAGATCGACTTCCTTTCTTCCACTCGTAGCGGCACCAGCAGTCGGATGCTCTGCCTGGTAGTTGAACAACTTGTCGATATGGTTAGCTTACAGTGTGTGTCTTCAAGATGCTACCGATGCTTCGTGAGTAAAACCCGACCGTTTTACTGGACGTTTCCATCCTATGCCGCATAGGTTACTTATCTCGAACAGGAACGCCCTTGAGGGCACAGTAGAAGTAAGACAGTTCCAAATGTTTGCAGTTGAAGAAGAACGAACTTATTTCTTTGTATCGAATGACAACTTCAGACAGTACGAGTATTTATAAATATCTTGAGATAGGCGTCAGTGAAATTTCTTTTCAAATGGAGAGGAAGTACTTCTTTAGTTCTCTTTACGTTTTCACTGCTATTTGACTGAATATAGACTTTATTTCACTTGTAGTTGTTTCTAACAAGGACGGTCCAACCTTTTAGAAACAGTATTATAAAAAAATTCTTGAGAAAAAACGATAATGGAAGGAATGACTTCATTTTTGGGTAATTTTTGAGACTGAGTAAATACTTTTTAACGTAATGGTACCACTGTTTTAGTCCTTTCTTTTTACTTACAGGTGTTGTTTCCACTACGACCCAGTTGGGACAGCTTTCAGCGTTACATATCTGCTCCGTGACTAGCTCGGTGTTGTTACAATATGAGTCGTCGATGTGCGTATAACTGTCGTCTATGCACTTCGCAGTCCGTCTCTGGATTCCGCCACCGCATGATTTTGAACACTGCAACATATTTGTTTTGTACTAGTTGAAGATGTCAGAATTGTGCAAAAATTCAAGAGCTTTCTTATTCTTATGGAGAAGTGGTTGTACATAAGTTCATGAGGCGTATGAATCAATTTATTAGGAGATGACCATCTTCAAATAAGACAGCACAAAGCGCTATCTATTACCAGAATCGACCACAAACTAAAAATAAAGATTTCTAACGACCACAGTGGTGACCCAGCTCGATTCTGATGATAGCTGTCTTTTTGTGCTGTTTTATTTCGATAGACCATATATTTAGTATATACACTGGATAGAGGATCGTTGCTTAGCTTTCGTTTGTGGCTCTACCTGAGACGAAGCCTAGAGCATGCTGAGGAGTTGCCAAATAGCATAAAACAGCGTTTATAGTTGGCCGTGGGTGGACGGACGAACGAAAGCTATATTACTAGTTTATGATCATCTTGATTCCCTTAAAAGTAGACATGACGTAATGGAATCAAGAAGGTTGAATGTTTCAATATACAATGAATTTAAGGATTGGAAAAACTCTTTGAACTTTTGGCAAACGTAATCAATATATCAGATACAAACAATAAAAAATAAATTATAGAAGTAGGTGCTTTCATGTTTTTGCATTATGAACTACCTCATTTTAATGTCAGCTAGTATTTATCAGTATGTCATGAGAGCCACTGAGCGTCCTAAATACGAGTATATTCTAATTTGCCTAAAAAGTATTAATATGTGTTCTCTAATACATCCATAGCTAAACTGGATCGTGAACCAAACAGAATACATCAAGGTTATTCCCAAATCTTGAAACACATTCTTCAAAGAAACGAGTTATGAGAAAATATCAAATTCTTTAAATATCTTTGTGTAAAGTAAGAGCCAAAATCAGACAAATATCTTTTGGTGTGCAAGAAGGCTTTTGCACAACAAACTACATTTTTATAGTTATCTAGAATAAAAAAACCTACAGCTTGATCGTTCTCCAAATGCTGCTTTTTATATACAAATTAGAATACAGTTTGATATAATAAGACTCAACGAACTGTAACTTATATGTCTTTAAGTTCCTAATGATTGTTTTGCTATCTTTGCACTCTCTTGCAGAAACTATCGTTGCGACAGTTTTTTAAGTGTACCGCGGTATCAAAGGCAATTGACATGCATAATCCTAATTGTGCATACAAACAGTATATTAGGTTAGGATTGGACCAATTTTATTTAAATGGAATTTATTACGCTTAAATGAACAATGGATAACATCCTATATATTTAACGAAGATCCGTTTTGAATAAGTACAATAAATAGACTGATCTAAAACGAAAACACCAACATTTCTAGCTAAGGACCTAGTAGTAAGTTGATGTTGTGATTAAAATGTTGTTCTTTTCTAGATTTTATTTTGTGTTGGGTAATGATCTAGTCTGCAGCAATCAAGCAGACTGCATATTAAGTTGAAGTTCAATAGCTGACTACAGTGACTTCAAATAAAGGGTTTTTGAATAGGAGCTCTCAAATTTTGAGACAAAGTTATAGAATCAAAGATGAATTGAAAAATTTTCTATTTCTTGCTTTTTGGTATTAGCGTGAAGCTGAACAGTATATGCCACTCAGGTTTATTCTTTGGTGAGGATTTTGAAGATTTATACTATTTTATCGTCGTTATGTAATATTAGTTATTTTAACTCGGATGTTATACATATTAGAAGTCAAACATTACGCCAAGGAGTTACTGTATCGGAAAATTGAAGTATTATATCATTTGTAAAGATTATAATGTGTAAAATGCTACAACTGTAAACTGGAATACCAAGTACCAGAGCCACCAAATTAGCATACATATTTAAATAAAACTATAATTCGAACAGAAAAAGTGAGTTTCTCTATGGTCAGTATTTCAGATTCAGAACAAACTCTGGTTATATATGTTTACAGCTGTCGCACTTTACAAGGCATTTCAGTAGTGACATGTGACTTCCATATACTTGTATCTCATGTGGTAAATAAAAACTTGCAAATGCAGATCTCAGCTTATTTCAACTTACCTCGGACCATTGAGAGTAGTGCCATCTAGTGGAATTGCAGACAGTATTGCACATCTCTAGCTGTGGTGGTCTGGATAATACGTTACAGTGCTTTTCGTTTACGATTTCACTATGGTTGGGTTTGTTCTTGTACAGTTTGGTGCAGTTGTAATATACCCGACGTGTACTGTAATTAGAGCATCGAAGTTATCCAAAAAAACTATCCAACAGTTTTGCAATAATTTCATTGTTCATGTAGAGTATCTTACATTTACATACATACATACATATAACTTTTCCAAATTCAACCTAATAGCTCTTCTAGACGGATAATATTTTTACTGCATTATCTATCTGCAATACAGACTTCAATATAAAGATATCTTTGACAAAACGTAATGCATGCTCGTGAAAAAGGCTGAGCTATATAAGCTAGACATATTTGTCATATATTTTTTAATACGTCAAATCTGTCTTATTCCATCTACTTTTGACAGCCAATGCGTCAATCGTGCCTGATTGTGCCCGTCTGATGACAAATTTTGGCAAGTGTATGTTGAGTCCTACACATTGCGGTCAATATTCCCAAGATATTATGTCTGATTGCTGGCTTATAGTTGCCATAGCCATATATTGCAACAAAAATATTGCTCGTATAGAGGCATCATAACAGATAGAATACAACGAAACTGCGTCGCTGGTAAAGCTGGTATTTTCCCGACACACCGGATAGTCATCCAATATATTATTTTCAACCCATAAGCTTTTGTAATATTACAGCATGAGTGAGAAAATAAAATAAACAGATTTAGAGAATCAGGTGAAGCTGAAGAAGTTGAAGTGTAACCAAAGAGAAGTATCCGGGGAATTGTCTCTCCTGACTTCGTTCTAGATAACGTTAAGAAAGGAAATCTTGCAAGGAATATCTGAAGCTTATTATATAATTTACATGTCGAGAATACCCCATGCTTGTCTGGCCAATAAAACCACATGTATTGACAGAATATTCTTTACTGAAAACGTTTCAATCGTCTTCAGTACAAATCAAAGTTGGGGCTTTCCTTTACACGGCGTATATATCTTGAAAAAATAAGCAGCTTTACATTCACACCAAAGTCTTAAGATTGCCGAAACCGAAACAAAACCTAATCCGGTCCTGCACCTCGATCAGATCAAACGTAAAGACCTACGATGCGGATCACTACTCAATCTAGGCGCTGGCCGCGTTTGTACACATCGGTTCTAAAAAAAAGCACGCTCTTACAGCAATATCGGAGTTGTTCATATTATTTTAATTCACCGAGCCTTCGAAATGCTACCGAAGCTTCGCGAGTGCGTGCAGATCGTTTTTAAATATCCTTCGTAATTTTGTTTTTTCTGCTTGGGGCGAAATGAGATGCTTAGTGTATAAAACTAAGGTGAACACGGTTGACGAGCTACGTGTACGAATTTAGATGCTGCATTAACTCGGAAAAGGCAGACCATTCTTAAAGCATCCACCGATGCTTGGCACTTAAATGTGTGTGGGAAATCTTCGCAATACTTTCTTTTCGATTAAAGTTGAGTACTTTTTAATGTCTTCCTACTTTTTCGCTATCGTTTCACCACACATTAGCTTTGTTTTTACAAACGTAGTTGTTTCTGGAAAGAAAATTCCCATCTTTCAGGACTCCTTTTATATTGTCATTGTACTGAAGATCAGCGTGGTGATTGAAACGTTTACGGCGAATAAGGTTCTGTCAGTACATGTGATTTTATTGGCTTAGCAGGGAGGATTATCGAAACCTTGCATGTAGCATGGGTGACAAAAATGTAAGACTTTGATTTTTAAATGCATCATTGGAGAAAATGTTACAATTTTGACTCGATTCTTAGATCAATCCAGTGCGTAGATCATGAATCTGATATTTTTCGCTGAGAGAGACGCAAGCTCCCAAAGGTCCCAATTTTCTAATACTATACACAAAATCAGCTTTTACAAATTATCCCTAGGTACAAAGTTTCTCTTACTTCTAACAATTGAGAACGGGACATCAAAGTTTAAAAAAGATTTTAAATGAATCTCCTCGATTTACCCTATTTCCTAGGTAAATGCGCAGATCACAAATCTGATGTCTGTTTCTGCTGAGATTGACTGATGTCCTGAAAGTCTCATTGTCTTGCCTCAAATGTGACATTCGACTCTGAGATTTTCTGATGATCAGACGTTGAAATTTGTAAATTTTAAAGAATGATTGTGTATCTGCAATTTTGACCAAAACCTGTTTCTTTTATAAAGCGAGTGAGTAGATAATAAATGTGATTTTTCGTTGAGATTGACGGGAACCAAAATCTATTTTGCTATAGGGAACAAAGGCCTTCATTGTTCCCTTTGGTTACACTCACGCTCAGCAACTACGGGGACAAGGTGAACATTTCTCGGCCTAACACGGACATGACAAACTAATCAGCAAAAATTTAGAATTAGTAAGTAAGTAGTTTGTCTACTAAGGCAAATTTACAAATATTTACGGAGACTGCTCCTTGAATTTCAACTATTAAAAAGTAAACAGTTAAATTTAAACGTTGTTGCTGGTCCCTTGATGATGACCAACAGGAAATCGCTGAAAAGGTCCAAGACATCGTGTCAAACCAGTGGATGGAAGACGGTGATTCAGCGCTAAAGAAGAAAAGTTTTGGGTTGCAAAAGGGATTATTTTAATTGATTACCTTGAAAAGGGTTAGGTACGGGCGAATACTGTTTCAACCTCATTGGATGCCAAAAATCATGAGAAAAGGCATGGTTTGAAGAAGAAAAAGATCAAATAAACAGTGGGAAAACTGTTGGGCTCGGGGCATGGTTTGCTTGACGATCCCCGCTGTTCTGTTGATCTGTCCCAGATTTGAAGAAATTTATATTTGATACACGCTTTGGGTCCGATGAAGAAGTTGAGAGAGACATAGATGAATATTTTGACAGCTTTCCAGGCTGCCTCTTCCTAAAGGGAACCCCAATGCTTAAGAAATGTTGGACCAAGTGTGTTGGAGTCGAACGAAAAATGAAATCTTTTTTGAACTGTCATTGGCAGACCGAGAACTTTTCACCTTATCCTGGTATAAACACGTTTTCCAACCCACCCTTTTCCACACTGCTGGGAGCAAGCGCTCTTCATGGAGACGCTCCAGGTTAATTGACAATGAGTGTTGCAACTCCTCCGTTGGGTCTGGCTATCTTCCAGGCTGTTGCAGTTGTTGTTGGGCACTTCCGCGTTCGTCACCAGATCCACGCACACTGGGCGACGGTATTGAATACCATCGCATATCGAGGAGCATTTCGACCATTGCTGTTTCTGGTACAGCATCCAGCCGTAGCTATGGTGGCCATACATGGTCAGTGAGAAATGTTAGAGAAGCAGAAAAATAAGCAAACAACGTTGTACAGTGCGATCGCTTGAACTTTGATGCAAATTTTTATGTACAGGGTGTTCCAGGTTATCTCTGATTTCTATAGAATACTAAAAAACAATGTGACAAAGTTTTTGTGGATGGCAAAAAGCAGTCAAGCTTTTATCGATAAGTATTAATATATTATGGTCATTGGAGATACTTTCGATTAATTGGGTTAGTCTAAGGCTTGTTGACAAAATGTGATAGCATACACAACACTGAAAAATGCAAAATATTGGAGGCAATCCAGATGGGTACTGGAAACGGTCAACCGAAACTTCAACTTTAAATAGTAATGCTATGTTTTCTCATTTTAGTGTCACGAGATTCTGTTGAAAAAGCTCAGCGCGCGCTCCGAAAAGCTATCAAGTTATTTAAATCAGTTCCAAATCTTCTTGTTGGATCAATATAGTGTCAATGTGTTTGCTTTTAGCCAAGAATCTACCTGGATTAAAACAACTATTTAGGAAAAGCGAGTAGAGCTCAAAACCGTTGTCCCACAAGTGTTGGTCGAAAACAGTTTTTAGTATTACTCGCATTCCAAAATCACGAATTACGTGGAGTTGTTCGTTTTTTTTTTTCGGGCACGGCTCATTTGATAATTATCTTTAGGAGGTACATTGTACCAGTTAAAAATTCAGCTTTTTCAAAAATTCCGTGGATGAGCCGTTATTATTTTTACAGACGAGGTATAAAAAAATAGCGGCAGTAAATAAACGTAGGGCGTCATAATAATCAAACACCTTTTTGCAAATATTTTATCTGGGATCATTACACTATTGTCACACCCTGTATAATATTATATTGCTACTCATTTATTTGCACCATTTTTCAAGACTGATTGCTCGATTTATGTTATTATACAAAAATGCACCGTATTTATTTTTGCAAGAAAATCAATTCCGACTTTCTAAGTTTCGGAAGTATTCCTAGATATTATACATATATTAAAGATTCTCTGTAGGCTACTTCCATTCTGGATGAAATGTAGACACTATTAAATACTTCAATTATTTTCTAATAAATATTATAGGTGCATTTCGGATAATAACATTGCGACAATATTCTACAAGAATCATATCGACACTATCGAAGATTTTATGTCCCCAGTAAGCAACATCGACCAAGCGTATCTCGTCAGTATATTACCTATTTTGAAAAACCTACTTTTGATACGAAATATTGAAGAGAAAATAGATCAGGAGATTTTGAAATGCAAAACTGCATTGTTAGATAGCTATACTATTTATTGTCTTACGGCCGTATGTCCGTCGTCCCTACAATTGTAGGACGCCTTTATGGCCTTCTTGATTTTCATAATTCTCTACTATTCCGCGTCAGAGCTCTATTTTGAGGTTACAAATATCTATTTGCCTTAAATTGTTCATGCTTTTGATTTATGTCATTTGTTATATAGCCTGAAATTCCTCACAGTCCAGAAGAAAACGTAGCCTGACGATAGGAGAGCGCTGAGGCTGACACGGAAGCGTGCAAACCTAGAAATATCCCTGCTTTTCTGAAGGAGAGTAAATACTATGAAAATCAAAATTGTAGGAGGCCTTTATTGCCTTCTTGATTTTCACAGTTTTCTACTCTTCCGTCTCAGCGCTCGATTTTGATGCTATGTCACAAATATCTGTTTGCACCAAATTGTTCATGCTTTTGATTTACATCATCTGTAATAATTTCAATTCAAGAAGGAAACATCGCCTGACAATAGGAGAGTGCTGACGCTGAACGGAACAGTGCAAATCTAGAAATATCTTAGCCTTTCTGAAGGAGACGAAAGACTATGAAAATCAAGGAGGCCATAAAGGCGTCCTACAAAATTGTAGGAACAACTGAAGATACGGCCCTAATTCCTCTTTTCGTTATTTCGTATCAAAAACGGGTTCATCTATAATGTCTGCAACCAAGCATTGTGCCTGTATGCAAGTATGGCGCATTTTATACATAAAGCGTTGCAGTTTACTCCTACCCAAGAAGCAATTTCAAAAGAGCTACCGTATACTGCCAATTAGAAAATTATTTACTTGAAATGCACCATAGCAATGTTTTAGTAACCCTGCGCATAATTTTTGTTGAGGTTGATTTTCTACTAATTCGTCATTGATTTTTTTCTGTGTAGGTTACTTGATGCTTATGTTGGATGTTATCGAGGAATGAATTTCATTTTTGTTTACTTAGTACCCAAAAGGGAACCCGAGCTACATCAAAAATGAAGCTTAGCTTATTGAGAATATGCGTGTAGAACAAATCGCGACATCAAAAATTGTGGTGAAAACCTCGAATTCATGGGAGAAATCGTCCAAGTCGATTTTTTCATAATCATGATTGTTTATAACCCGGCGCAAATTTGTTTAAACGACTTTTTATCAGCTTTTTAAATTTTATTATAACTCTGAACAAAAAGGTCCTTAGAAACTTTCCGGGTTGTGTCTAAAAAACCCTAAAAACATCAATTTTCAATGTTTAGAAAAATTATTATTTGTGGGGTTCCAAGTATCGAAATCAAAGTTTAAAACTTCCCTTACAAGGCTTTGAAGAAGATTTTGAACCTTTTTTGGTTCCTTTATATATATATATATATATCTGTTTTTTTATTTAATTGTTACTGATGCTCTTAGGACACACATGAGCGTACGGAATATTCCGCATGCTAGAGCGATAAAAACAATTTTTGTAATTTGCTTACAAAAAAGAAAAGAAGTTTATACCTGTTTGCCACCCGGAATCATCTCAATTCGTGTTAAAGATACCCAACAACGTTATTATTATTATTGAAAAAATCGAGTTGGAAAGCTTCTTCCACAAATGCGAGGTTTTCGCCTCCTCTAGCTAGATGGTGGATTTTAACCTTTTTTTTTCAAAAATCAATGACGAATTCAAAAAGTGTAATAAGCCAATTATAGTTACAGCGTACTAAAATAACATTATTTGACATATAAAGCGACACGTAAATAACAAATACCTTGGAGCATCATTATAATATCCGAACCACTTGTTAGCCTCGCTATATTTTGGATACCTATTTCGCAAATTTCCAAAAAGAAACATTTCATTATTCACACAGTAATTCCATATTATATATAAAATGCAATCATAATAAAAAATACTCACCTAGGTGCTTTCTCTTTATCGATGACATATCTGTACTTGATGTTTGGGGGCGAAGAATTGTCTTCTGACAGAATGAAGACGTATAAGTCTTTGGGTAGCGTCTTGTTTTTGGGACTGGTGATCCATTCAGTCACGCTGTTGACACCACTGTACTTCAGGATTACATCGCCGAATCTGATGCTATAACTGTCCGTCATCACCTTGAAGTTCCCGTTCAAGATGTACTCGTTGGTTTCACCATCTTGAAGTACTGAAATAAAAAATTAAATAGAGAAGCACTCATAGATAATATTGTTTAGTTATTCAGAACAGGATACAAAAATTAACCAAAAAGCGACATCAAATAGCAGAAAGCACGTAGGAAGATAACACGAAACTACTACGATAGCACATATCTTAAAAATACTTATTTGCTATACAAAGCGTTATCGATAGCTACGCTACTATTGATACTGAACTGATAGTCTAATCATATTAGCAAATTTCCCCGAAATAATTGTAAAGTTTTGTTTTATTGGTGCAAGTTGTTCAATGGGTATTAAAAACATGGACGCATAAAATGGATACACCAATTTTTGTGGGAAAACTTTTTATTTGACAACAAATAATGAGAAAACGTGTTTTTTGGGATTCAATCGGTCATGACAAACACGTAAAAAGATCTGACTAATAGCAAAAATATTATGGCCGAAAAACGAGGCAAAATGCAGGTTTTGGCACTTGTTGGTAAACCGACAATAATTTCACGCAACTAGTTGAAATTCTTGAAATCCGTAGGATTTATACTTATAAATAACCACAACAAAATTGGAGTATATTGGTCAACTAATTTTTTGAGAATCTCTAATTGTTTATTCCAAAACACCTATTTTCCGGCCATCACTACTAGTTTATTGAGCAATATACAGGGGTCGTTTAAAGAGCATTTAATAGCAAAATATACGTGTTTACCTTGCCGATATGAATCACAAATCATTCCGTTATTCTTATGCGAAAAGCAAATGTTAGGTTTTTTTCTTCTAAACGAATTCAAACATTTCGTATTTGTGAGTGATTGAACAAATGCGATACCATATTCGAAAAATATACGTTACTATACACATTTTAAAACAAAGCGGATATGTTTGTCACCTTTTGTTGCGAATTACTCACAAATATGAGATGTTTTATTTTGTTTAGAAGAAAAAACGTAAGCATAAAAATAACATTTATTTTCCGGAATGGTTTGCGATTAATATCGGCAAGGTAAACTAGTGTATTTTGCTATAAAATTTCCTTTGAACTAACCCTGTATATTGCTCTATAAACTATCAATGATGACCGGAAAACAGGTGTTTTGGAATAAACAATTAGAAATTCTCAAAAACTACCTTAGAAGTACGAATATTACAAATTTGGAAAATTGCAAGTATCTGCGAGAAACCATCGTCGCATTAGCAACAGATGCCAAAACCTGCAGTTTGAATCAGTTTTCAGCCATAATTTTTTTACAGCACTTTCGATTGAATCCCAAAAAACACGCTGTCTCATTCTTTTTTGTCGAATAAAAAGTCTTCTGACAAAAAATGGTGTATCCATTTTCAGCGTCCATGTTTTGAATACCCCCTTGAACAACATACAGCAACAAAATGAAACTTTACAATTATTACGCAAACCAGAGGTATTTTCGTCTATGATTAATTAGACTATGACATTATATAACCTTTGATATCAAACTGCAGCGTGTCTCCAAAACAGAACTTCATCGAACACTACAGGACTGTATCTCAAACGTCTAACACAATTATTACTCTTGAATGATTTTACAAAAGTCTACCATGTAAAACTTGGTATAAAAAAATATTTTTCAAAAATGCAAAAGTATCTACAAAAAAATCTTTTGTATTAAAAATATGTAGTTTTCGTTACTCTTTTCTATACATCAAAGTGTCACGATTTCTACGCCTCTGCTTTAGTTTGGGCCATAAAGACTTATTAAGTGTATATATACTGTTATTCCAAAATTCTAAGTTAATACCTTCATCAGCTTTGTACATTTCGTACTTTTTTAATTTAATCAATGGAGTTTGTATCTCGGTAAGGGCAGAGACCAATATTTATATATATTTTCGAACGTTTTTTACCTTGGAGACTTTGCCACTGTTTGTTTGGTTAATTCAAACTACTAAGCACATCCACCATTTCTTAGACAGATTTAAATTTAAATGGAAAAAATTCAAAAACTTGACCAGATAGAACTTACCCAGATGGTTAGTATCAGCCTTGTTCACTAATGAAGAATACTGGCTAATATTGAGATTTGAGCTCCCTTTCGGTATCATAACAACTCTGGTATAGCCTGTAGTGTCTGATGTGGTATTGTAGATACCGGAAATTTCTTGGCATTGGCTATTATCTCCTCCACAGATACCGCAGTCGTCTAAAGAAAAAAAAAATAAATCACGTTTCTGAAAAACGGGACGACCGATGAAAAATGTCCGACCATTGTGTCACTTTTTTACATCTACCTTGCTAAGGTTCTCCGTACGTAACACAAGCCTGAAACATCTTTAGACTGATCTGCTTAAGTTCTAGGTTCAATTTTATATAATTTGAAACTACAACTATCAACCCTAATTTTGTTTCTTAGAATCGTGTAGTCGATTAGTAATAAAAATTTATGTAATGCAATAAAATTAATAGAACAACATCAATAGTTAATCTTGATGAGGTATTAGTAATATTGCTTACCTAGATCTAGATCAGAATTCAACTTGTTATCACATCCTCCCCGTTTGCAAACTCCATTGACACATATACCGTAGCCTGTTGGTCCGCACTTTGTACCATCAATTACTTTAGCTTTTAGGGAATGTGAACCTAAGCTTCTATCTTCTGTTTTGCAAAATAACTTACATTCATCCTCAGGTCCCTCTAAATAAAATGACAAATTATATGTTTGCATTATGCAAAAATAGAGAAATATAAGAGAAATTCTATGAAAGGAGTAATTAAACAATAAGAATCGTAGAATCCTGCATCAATATTCCCGTCAAACTTGTATCAGTTATTTAACCCTTGGTATATTAGTACAACTAATGCGGGCGACAGCTTGTACAGCTACTCGGTCTGTATACAGAGTGATTCACAAGCCGTGACCAAAAATGAAACATCATACACAGGACCGGCTTTTAAGGGCGGTCTCCTATGTAACATTTTTTCCTCGAGGGCTTCGTTAAAAAGATACGTGGTGTTGAAGTTTAAAAATAAAAAACATTTTTTTTAATTTCTTCAAATCCCTCAACCAAAATGAACTAAAATGTGGTATGTGGATTTACCTAAGTATTGTCCACATTCAAAAGTCTTTACTTAAAATTAACGTGCACCAGTGGCGGAGATACAGGGGATAAGTGGCATTATTTTTTCCAATAAAAATAGTACGCCACTGGTTTTTATTCGAAACGCGCGGTTTTTACGCGCTCATTTCTAGGACTTCGGCAATATGAATGGATGATGGATTGGCAGAAACGGATCCCCTAGATTTGTGGAGCGCTCTTAAATAACTAGTGCGTGCTGAACAAATTAATACTGTTGATCAGTTACAAGACAGAATAGATAAAACGCATTAGCATCAAATTCAAGCCACAACAAATTTTGTGGATATACGGTTTTCTTTATTAAACAAAATTGTCTTCTCAAACATTTATTGGAATAAATCTTTGATTATCTAATTTGTTTTTATTTTTATTTTTACGAAAACAATACATTCTAGGAAAAAACACAAGAGTAATTATTTGTAGCAAATTGAAGGTCAAATTCGAAAAATTGCGCGCTTCGAAAAAAAAAAACAGTGTCGTACTATATTTATTTGGGAAAAGAATACCACTAATTCCCAGTATCTCCGCCACTGGTGCACGTTAACTTTAAGTAAAGACTTTTGAATATGGACAATGCTAAGGTTAATCCTCATGCCAAATTTTAGTTCATTCCTGTTGACGGTTTTAAAGATATTAAAAAAATGTTTTTTATTTTTCAACTTCAACACCCCATATCTTTTTAATGAAGCCCTCGAGGAAAAAACGTTACCTAGAAGACTCCCCTATTTTTGGTCAGGACTTACGAATCACCCTGTATACTTAAACTTTGAGAATGTTCCAATAAATATATTTGAAATTCTTAAATACAGTACAAAAATATATTGAATACATAAATCTAAATAAAATACTGCTTGACGCTACCACATGTTACTGACCTTTGCTAAAATCTGCTGTCCATCTAATGTAAGTTGTGCTCGAATTAGAACCGAGCAGCTTTTGTGGATTACCGTTGAACTCTGAGCACTGTACATCCCTGTAAAAATAATTTAGAAAGAATCGTGTTGTTTACTTGAATCCTAATTCACAACAAATCACTTTTAAATTCACATGCCAATAATCTTCGTCTTATACGTTGTGATACATAATCTACAAGACCGACAGAGAATCATTGAGGTCCCGTGTTCAATGTGTACGAGCGAGATCGAGAAACAGATATGTGAGCGGGAGAGAGGGAGAGGAAAGATAGAGAGAGCGTCCATAGACTAGTGTTGTTTTTTCACTTCATTCTTGCTCTGGCACTAACCTAGATGTTTATTTCTCTCATACAATGATCCTGAATATTGATGTTATCTTATATAGGGCAGACAGGGGTGCCGAAACGTTAGCAACATAATGTGTTTTCAACTTTGAGATTTTTAACTACAGGGTGTCCGCAAGGTTGGGATTTTCGTTTACACGGCATGCAGATCTGGAGAAAATAAGCGGATTTTCTTAGTAGCATATACACCAATGTCTTAAGAGAACCGAGATATTGGGCTCCGCAAACTCAATTAGTCAAACCTGAACCAAACCGAAGCCAGTCCTGTCCTATTCCTCGATCACGTCCACAGCGCCTGCGCCAGCGTACACTTATAGTATTACGACGTACGACTGCGATGTAAAGACGGATTTTACGACAGAGCCGTACTTGGAATTTCAATTAAACTGAACACTGAGTACTTTTTCATTTTTTTGTGTCTGAAAAGGAAAACCCCAACTTTGCAGACACCCTGTATAGGACACGATTACATAGAGATGGATAAGCATGACGATTGCAAGATAAGAGTTTCGTTTTGGTATACAAATATAGTTACCTAAAGTCGGGAACTTTCGGATCACAATCGTGTGTATTGCATGATTCATATTTCTTATTAGGTCCAGTGCAGTAAGAACCCCCATTCATTGGTTTAGGAGAATCACAGAATCGTTCTGATACGGTTATTCCTCCTCCACAACTCCTACTACATGGTCCCCAACTAAGATAAAAGATATTTGTATCAATAAGGCATATTTCAAAAGTTATTTAAGTATCTAGAGCGTTAAGTTTAAGGCCCGCCGTCAAAGTGCAAAGCGAACACCGCAAGTGCCATAAATGCTTCCTACATCTGAGACACATACGTTTTTTTTGTCCACAACCGGCTTTTAGGCAAGCCCTTTAAGGAGATATAAAAGCAAATAAATCGATCGTACTATATCACTAGGCAGTGGTAATTGAAGCCACCCCTAAGCAAGAAATAGATTCGTACATTTTCGTAGTTGATAGACTGTTATCCCGAATAAACTTTACTCAGTTGGTAGATATGAGCCCCCCAGAGTGTACTTTGGTTTTTGGATGCAATGGTTGTTTGGGCACCTCCTAGTTTCAAAAACTAGAAAATGAAATAACAAGTATCACTGTTGGGATTCTGGCGCAAAAAAATAAAAAATAAAGAGGAGTCCCGGAGGACCGGCTAAAAAAATTATTTCGTATTAAAGAAAAAACCTTAGCTATCCCGAACGGCAATTGATGGCAGGATGTTCCAGATGGTACTGTATACCCGAAGGTATAACCCAAGGTAAAAGCGGATGGTAAAAATGGAGGGTAGAAATGGAGGGTAGAACTCTCTAACAATGAGGATTCTCCAAAAATGGCGTGAGACCCACTCAAACTCGCCTTGCACTAGCCCTGTAGGCGGTACCCCTCAGCTCGATGGTTGAGTGTAATTATCTGCACGGTTAAATCCCCAAAAGGGTGAGAAAAGGCTCCCACAATAAAAACCGCCAAGGGGGCTGATTTCTAATAAAAACCACCCCACCACTCTTTAAATCCGCCACTCAGCGTGAGAACTATTCACAGGATCGGGCAGTGGCCCGCAGAAAAATTCCTACACCAGAGCACCGGAAATAGCACCAAGTCACCTTCAGCTCTCGTATTTACGGTCGACATAAATTATAAACAATGACCTCCAACAAGATAGAGAGTAGAGTATGATTTTCTACCTTAAAATTATAAGACTGAGAGAAGTGGTTTGTTATAAAAGTGAAATTTGATGTTTTTAAGAATCTCTATAAAATTATTATGCTAAATAAGAGAAACGCTGCAATAATTCACTTTATCAATATGTCAATATCAATTTTTAGTCGACGATAAAAAGAAACTGTTACCTCACCACCCTAGGGCCTAAAGTAGACTGTGAACCTAAAATCTATTCATTCGATTTGAGGTATGAAGTGATATGTATTAATTATAAAAATACCCTACTTACCCTGTCCATTCTCCCCAACCTCCATTGATAGGTATTAATGAATCTGATCTTGTACAGTTTCCGTTGAAACATTTACTAAAACAAAATTTACTTTTAGCAACTGAGGTGAGCTTCGCGAGACAAAATTTTAGTTCGAAGTTTAGATTTTTTGTGCTTGTACATACAGTGGTGCATTCAAACTAAATGCATCGTCATAAGGAAAATGTTATTATAATTCTTCTTATTTACCTCTCTGGTCCACAGTAGGTGCCGTCTGCCCATGGTAAGTACAGCGATACGCATGAATTACCCGTCTGGTTTTGACAATATAGATGTTCACATGGTGGTATTTTTCCATGAGGCTGATAAAGCTGTAAAAATCATAAATATAAATCAAGAGTCTTTTCTCAAGCTCAAGGTTCCAATAAATGAGAAACAGATCGAAAGCTACTATTCAGCATTGTAGGAATTTCCATTCAACAGACAATACGAGCACCTTCCCACTTCAGTTGGCCCAACTATTGAAATCTTAGTTTTTTTCTTATCAAACACAAATGATAAAAATATAACAGGGTGTTATAGGTTTAAAATATTAACAATGAATATTTTGAGAAAACACCAACTTTATCACTCCCTAATCAAATTTGCAGCATAAAAATAACACATGTTGCAATTACAGCATATCAACCTATTTTCATTTGAATGCAAAATAAGTCTATAGCGCATAGGTGGCTGTGAAAAATAAAAGCCATGACAATTGTTTTCATTAATCACAGCTGTCGGAATACGTTTAAAATAGTTTTGGGTAGTTAAAGTTTTCAAAATGGGTAGAGGAAAGGTTATTAGTGAGATAATTCGGTTACTGATAATTAAATTTTTTAATTCTAGGAAATCAAACTCAGAAATTGCAACTTTGTTAGACTTATCGCGGTACAGTATGAGAAATATTGTTAGAAGATATAATGTAACTGTTTCAGTTAATATTAAGCCACGATATGTGAAAAAAAGTAATATCACAAATGCCGACCGAAGAGCATTAAGAAAAATAATCGTGAAAAACAGGCGTGCCAATTATTTACAATTAAGTGCTCTGTGGAGTGACGCTGTTGGAAGGAGAATTTCGAGGTCCACAACTCATTGAGAGGCCCACAAACTGGGATTTAGCACTTGCAAGGTAAGTTTTCTTATAAAAAAAAAGTGAAGTAAAAACCCTAAAGTTGCACAACTTGTTTATAGGCCAAAGAAAAGCCACTATTAACTCCACTGCAAAAGAAAAATCGGCTTAGATGGGCTAAAGAACATAGACAATGGACACCTCAACAATAGTGTGCAATACAATGGAGTGATGAGGCCCAATTCGAAGTTTGTGTTGGTGACAGTCGCAGTAAGGTTATTCGCAAAAAAAGTGAAGCATGCTGTGTTGACTGTCTGCAGAGAAAAACGAAAATTTCCAGCATCCATTATGGTCTGGGGCAGTACGTCATCGAAAGGAGTAGGAACACTTCATTTTATTGATGGAAATGTGGATACAAACAAATATTTGGCAATTTTAGAAGAATTGCTTTTACCAGTGATGGAAGAATGTTTGACATCCGGCCAAGATTTTGTGTTTCAGCAAAATGGTGCAGCGTGCCATACCTCAAAAAAGGCTATAAAATGGATGGAAGAAAATAATGTACCACTTTTGAAATGGGTTTCTAGCAGTCCAGATCTGTCACCTATTGAAACTTTGTGGCACGAGATGAAAAAGGTTCTACGACAACATCCTGCTCGTACAATCACCGAACTGAGACAAAAGCTTCAAGAAATATGGGATTGTTTTACACCAAATTTTTGCCAAAACTTGGATAAAACTATGCCCCAAAGAATATCAGCCGTAATAAAAAATAAAGGTGATGTTACCCAATGGCAATCTTTCAATTGTTGCTTTGTTAACTTCGCGCATTTATTCGCACATTGTTTATTTGTTCAGATGTTCTATGAGTTATAGGTCTAAGTGATTTCAAATATGTATTTTTTACGACTAGAGTGTATCTAAAATGTTTTTGAGAAAATAAATTGTTTTAGAAGCAAATAGTTTCGTCATGTTTAGTTTATAAAGATATATTTTGGTACAAATCTTGAAGTGGGCCAACTGAAGTGGGAGGGGGCACGTAGTAGGTACCTGAGTAGAAAGTAATAACAGCACATCGGAATATAATGTAGTCTCTGGTACAATATGCGTCTGATTTCTTTAATTGCGTACATATTTTACAACTTTGGAGTACAAAAAACTAAAGTATCTTACATATCTGCAATGCATGTATCCAGGAGAAAACTGAAGTTCACACTGCCTGTCCAGGTCGTATTCGATTCCTGGTAACTTGTCTATGTAGGTATCGAAGCCCTGGACGATGAAATTGCTCAAAGGTTGTCGCTTTAAACAACTAGAGCTAGCTGAACTGGAAAATAGGATAAAAGAGGTTATTTCAAAGCAATAACCACGAATTTGCGCTGCTGTCGAAGATAATGCATAAATCCAAATATACACAGGCGTACCAAAAAATATAGTTTCTGAATCATTAGATCAATTTGTGCAGAAAGTCGCTATGCATATACGGGGGTGTCCTAGAAGTCAACGTCAAGTCGAACACGGGGGATAGGCCAAGTCATAATAGTTATCAGAAAAATATAAAAAAATCCAAGTCGTGTACTTTTCAAATTATGGGCTTTAAAAGAAAATCGGAAAAATATATACCCTTTGATGATCTTTTACAAAAAAGTTTTATTATTGACTTCGTTCAAATTAAATTGCACCTCATTCAATACACTTATCTATCCGCCAAAACCAGCTTTGCCAAGTTTCACCCGGGAGTGCAGCACGCTCGTTGCCCCAACCCCTCAGAGGGTCCTCATCCCCAAAAAAACCGGTTTCCTTTTAGCTGTGTGTCCAAAACACCTTGAAAAATACAGCTATCATTTTTTTCTTAACAGATCGCGATTTTCTGACAGCTGCGGATGCGTCCTCATCATCAAAGACCCAAACTTTGTTCCAAGCCTTGGTCGGCACATCGCAATAATAGAGTAAAGTCTCTTCACCTGTCACAGTGCTGTTCACTTACTGAGAATGCCCCTTATCGAACATTTTGAGCATCTTTCGGCACTAAGTCGTACGACGAGCCTTCTGCTCTTCCGTCAGACTATGCGGTATCCAGAAAGAACAAAGTTTCCTTACGTGTAAATGGTCATTCAGAATTAAATAAATTGTTGGTGCATGAATGTGTAAGGTATCCTCTATCTGTTGGTATGTCACTTTTCGGTCTTCGTCAAGCATTTACCTCACAGCAGTAATGTTTTCCTCTGTTACTGACGTTCACGGCCTTTCTTCCTTCTCAGCGTTATTTCTTTAGTAGTTTCTATTAACAATGACAGAATCCCCATGGTTCAGGAGACAAAAAATCTAGGCATTATTTTTGATAGCTCGCTTGGCATCGGAAGTTATATAAAAAACAGAACAAATTTAGCTTACATGCGACTAAAAATATAAACAAATTAAAAAAACATTTAAGCCTACAATTTTGAAAGTTCAAGACTCAATTCTTTTATATTTTTCTGATAACTATTATGACTTGGTCTATCCCCCGTTTCCGGCTTGACGACAACTTCTGGGACACCGTGTATAGATATTTTAAATATGAGTCCTCTGCTTATCGACCTTTCGTAGCTTTCGTATAACCGTAACATTCAATTCAGTATAAACTGCAAACTGAACAAAAAATGTTACCAAAAATGGTTTCCGGATCACATATGAATGACAATTTGATTTCATAAGGCTTTCTGATTTCTCCTTTGTATTCAAGATCAGTTCCATATAAGCATAAGGAATGCAGAAAGTGAACTGCCATTTTTTTCCATCTGTGTTTAACCTGGATAAAATTCCAGCGGTGGACTCAAGTAGGATATCAGTTTAAACAAAGAAATGGAAGAACCGAGAAACGTTTAACCATTGCAAGTAATGAAAAAGCCTGATTGCATATGATGTGCCGTCAGTACGCCTCTGTCCACTAGTTTTCAGAATTCAATTGACATAGTTGCGTCCGATGATGATTGTAGAAATTGTCAGAAAAAAATGTGGGTCGGTGTACGTTTCCAATTTAGGATAACGCTACCATCAATACGACCATTGTCAGGCAATTATGGGGATAAATGCACATTACGCTTCTCAGGTGGGTATGTTAACAACACGCGTGCCGGACGAGAAGTTCCTACTTTTTCCTTTTTCTTTTTTGTGTCAGTGTCCTGCTATGCCAGTAACATCTGAATCATCGGATACAGACATGTTAATGGTTTGTATGACTTCCAACTCATGTAAGTGAAAATGGAGTCAAGCAAATGAATTCTATACTTCGCGTCCCGTTATTAGCTCTTCAAATATTGTTTCCAAATTTCAGAAAAAGAATGAAGACTTAAGTGGAATCGAAACTCGACGAAGTATGTTCACTTGAGTACGATATATCGTAACAGAAAATGATTCATATACAGGGTGAGTCACAAGTCGTGACCAAAAATGAAACATCATACGCAGGGCCGCATTTTAAGTGTGGTCTTCTATGTAACTTCTTTCCTAGAAGGCTTCATTTAAAAGATACAGGGTGTTGAAGTTTAAAAATAGAAGACTTTTTTTTTAATGTATTCAAAACCGTCAACTGGAATGAACTAAAATTTGGTATGTGGATATACCTAAGTATTGTACACATTCAAAAGTCTTTACATAAAATTATCGTGCACCAGTGGCGGAGATATAGGATATAGTGGCATTGTTTTTCTAAATCAAAATAGCACGCCACTGTTTTTTTTTTCGAAATGCGCAATTTTTCGAATTTTACCTTCAATTTGCTACAAATAACTACTCTTGTGTTTTTTCCTAGAGTGCGCTGTTTTCGTAAAAATAAAAATAAAATATATTAGGTCATTCATGCATAGCCGAGATACAATTAGTTTCAAAATAAAATAGGAGGCCTTGATACCAACTTGACGTTTCCGAAAAAAACAGTGGCGTGCTACTTTTTTTTGAAAATAATGCCACTAATCTCCTGTATCTCCGCGATTCGTACACGTTAATTTTAAGTAAAGGCTTTTGAATGTGGACAATAATGGTTAATCCGCATATCCAATTTTAGTTCATTCCAGTTGACGGTTTTGAAGATATCAAAAAATATTGTTTTTTATTTTTAAACTTCAACACCCCGTATCTTTTTAATGAAGCCTTCGAGAAAAAAATGTGAATGTGAATGTGAATGACCCTGTATATGTGTCAATGGTAAATAATGTCGATAATTTTGTGAATGAGCTTTTTTACTTTAAGATTTTGAGGTGTGTTCATCTCCTATCGTTCTCATTAAAACATACATATGAATTAACTCGATCGTTTCGCTCACGTTCACACAGCTCTACCCCCATTCCCATCTTTTTGAACCACTGCACCCCTTCTAAGCGGATTAGTCCACGTACGTCAATGTATACAACAATTTCAATGCGCTTTTCCGATCATTTCTCGCGACGAACCTGGAAATACTCTATCAGAAACTTCTTAATAATAAGACATCATTCACTGATATCAAAAGCGCAAAGCGCAGCATTTGCAACCCCCTATCTCTACAACCTCTAACCCCCAGTTTTCAACCTTAAAGTATTTTTTAGAAATGAGTATCAGCGATTTTCATTTTCTATTTTGTTTCGCCCGTATGGGACTATCAATTTTGAGATCACACATAGCTGTCATTCCTATCATGGTAGTAACTTTGCCTCAAAGTTTCGTTCAAATCCGAGCCGTACTTTTCAAGGTATAAGAGGGGCCAAGCTTTAACATACAGACAGACATACGGAAATCAGTGATTCATAAAGTACATGTCATGTAAATCGAAAAAGCAAAACATCTCATTTGTACGGGGTGTTTTCAAAGTTGTCTCATTTATTTTAACACCTTGTAGGACTCATCAAAAGAAGTTGATATACCAAAAATCACCTATATAAAAGTTGCATAATACGAAAGTTAGTTTATCCACGACTTTTTTCAAAGCATCGAAAATAAAATCCTGTTGTCCACGAATTAAATCGCAAGCATTTTTAGTACGCTGTTGAAGCTCTTCCAGTGTGTTTACTGCTCCATCATGATACACCATCTCTTTCAAATAGCCCCACAGAAAAAAAACGCAAGGCGTTCAATCCGGGGAGCGAGCAAGCCAAGAAGATTATTTGGACGTTCAAGAACTTCTCGTCTAAAATGTGGAGTAGCTCCATCATGCAGGAGCCACATATTCTGTCTCACATTTAGAGGAACATCTTCCAATAATTGTGGCAGATTGTGTCGAACAAAATCTATATTAATTTCACCGATAGAAAAAAGTGTGGTCCAATAAGCATGCGATTTACCTCGCCAGCCCGATCATTTAATGAAGATCTATGTTTAAAATGAGTTCTTTTTACAGCATGTGGGTTTTCTACTACCGAAACATGATTGTTGTGGAAATTGTGTACTCTATTCCGTGTAAATGTAGCCTCGTAGTAGACAAACTTAATTTCGTAAAATCTCCCTTTCTGACGAACTGGCCACTGGCAAAATGAGAAACTTCAACTTGAGCTACTGTGGCTCTAGTGCTCATTGTAAGGTCGTCTTCGACTGTTTCTAAAATATCTTCTCCAATTTGTAACATTCCAGGTTGACTTGGTCTTCCAGCGTGACCTCCTCGTTGTTCTTTTAAGTATCATGTGCCACACCTACATGCAGTGGCTGCATTTTGTTAGCACTCTTCGTATATTAGTATTATGTCCACTAGTTGATTGTTTTCGTAAACATGGTCCATTTTTCGCACAAAATAATCAGACAAGTGAAAGAATATACACTATTAAAAGACTGATACAACGAAGACTCGTACTGAAAACCATAGAATAACACAAAATGTTTGCCGAATTTAGATAGACGATAAGAGCAGTAAACAAAAAACGCTCAGATTTTACGCGGCAGTGGTCAAGAGTATCAAAAAATCTGTGTAATAACATTCTTGTTTTTTAAATTTTTAATCTTTTACTGTTTCTTTTATTATGCAACTTTTATATACCTGATTTAAATGACTCAACTTTAAAAACACCCTGTATATTTTTCACGATAGCAAAACTTCATCGCCAAATAGCATAGGAAGTAAAAACAACTCATGATGGATTCACGAGTGTATGCCGACATAGCATCAGATAGAATTACTCCATGTAAACAATACTTACTCGAGGAACTCTGTGATGTAGTGCTTTGAACAAGGTGACCATTTAAATGGTTTGTATCTTGAATGTACTGAATTGCTCATGATGTTTACTGAAGTTATGTCCTTGTTGAAATTAGCGCACTTTTTATCTTCATCATGTAGCATCCTAAAAATCATATAAGATTGAAGAGAAAGCAGAATTTGAACTTGAGTATACAAAAACTCATAAATTTCATTGGAAGAAGGCCATCCATGTATTGAAACTGACCAAAAACATCAACACTTATGAAGTTTCTTACCCAAAAACGTGTCCCAACTCATGGGCTATGGTATATGAGGTAGCAATTCCTTTATCTTGAACTATGGCACAACCTGGTTTACACATCGATCTGATTTTAGCGACCCCCAGATAATTGCAGGTGGCATTACTTATGTTTGACTCATTCTTACTGCAGATATTATCTCTGGAATCATATTAATTGTATCCCGATAAATTCGATTTTATGTACTTGTCTCTTACCTGGATAGCAAAATGCTAACGTCATGCTGTCCTTCTTTCACCTGATGTTTTTGCCACTGGCAAAATTTCTCCAACATATCTACAAAAATGAAGTGACATTAACCACTGATGTACCTTTAATATCATCTGTACCTGCTTACCATATGATTTTCCACCGGAAAAATGTCCATTTTCTATATCCACATTCACCAAAAATAGCGATATCGGGTTACCTATCGTAACGTGCTTGAACAAAAAAGTCACCTGAAAAGAGAATCTTGTTGATGTAGACTGAAATGGGCATTTACATCAGATTTGCAAAATAGATTGTCAACAACGTAGATTATATTCGATTACAATAAGAGCTCAACCGCCACTGTGACACATATGGATCTCCTGTTTTCCCCATATACACAGCCTGAACTACTGTATTCAGCTCTAATCCGCTAAAGAGGCACCATAGTCATGATTCAAGACTTTGAATGTACTGGGTGCGCCATCTATTACTTTTATTTTGCCTATAAGTTTATGTGTTACCATGTGAGTCAAATGTCATGTGGTATGCATAAATGAACTGTCAAAGGTATGCCATTTATAGACATAGACTCGTTTACAACACAACAACGCATTTTGGTTATCGAAACTTATTACGAAAACGGTCGAAATATAAAAAATACCTCGCACTAGTTTTGGCCGACATGGACGCCCTACAGAGCCTGGAATTCATTGGATTGTTAATCGTTTTGAGGAAACTGGTTCAGCTGAAGGTCGTAGGCCATACCAACATGCTCGTCCAGCTCGTACTCGTAAAAACATAGCCGCAGTGAATGAAAGTGTGCGAGAAGATCCCAGCACCTCGACTAGGCACCGTTCGCAAAAATTGGGAATTAGTGAGACCACTTTACGCCGGATTTTACACATTGATTTACACCTCCATCCATACAAAATCCAACTAACACAAGAATTGAAGTCGGCAGACCATCAACAGCGGCGTGTTTTTGTTAATTGTGTAAAAGTGCTCTTTTCTGATTAGGCTCATTGTCACCTCGTACGTAGTAAATATGCAAAATTGCAGATTCGAGGGGGGGGGGGGCTGAAAATCCACACCAATATCATGGAACAACCTCTCCATCCTGAAAAAGTGACTGCTTGGTGCGGATTATGGGCTGTTGGCATTGTTTAATCATTCATCTTTGAAGATGCCGAAGAAAAGGCTATTACCGTCAACGGGGAACGTAGACTTTTTGTGGTCACAATTGGATCGTTTTGGTGCCGAGGATGTTTGGTTTCATCAAGACGGAGCAATGGCTCACACATCTCGCCAAACAATCGCCTTGTTGCACACGAAATTTCAAGACCGCATAATTTCACGAAATTCAGATGATCGTGCGATTTAACACCGCTTGACTGTTTTCTTTGCGGATCTTTGAAAGGAAAAATTTATGCCAATGGTCCCCGGACAATTCATGACCTAAAGCACAATATTCGGACTGAAATTGCGGCCATAGACCCGATTATTCTGGGAAAAGTCATTGAAAATTTTGATGTTTGGATATTGGCCTGTAAACGAAGTCGCGGTGGTCACATGACTGACGTTATTTTTCTTACATAAATGGCATAAGCCAACCTTCGTTTATCAATAAAAAAAAATTGATTTCACGTCGTAAAAAGCGTGTTGATTTTTCAGAAAAAATAATAGATAACGTAGCTTTTCACTTTTGAATTTGTGATTAGGATATATAAATCCTTAGCCTTTCCAGGTCTTCGCAGTGACACCAAAGTTTTTTCTGCTAGGCCTAAGAGCCCCATGTGTCTACCTAGACGTCAGTGTTGGACACTGTCGTAGGAATTAAGAGTCCTCCAGGAGACACACCATGACCCTTATGACCCTTGTTTCAGATCTAAACAGGTTTTCTGTTAATATCTGGGTATCCGTTCTTTTACATGCATTTACCCCGACAGGTCCACCACTTTTTCTAGTATTCATCTTTGGTCTTGAATTTTGTTTTGTATCAGGAACTTTTTCCTGGAGAGCGCCCCATCGTGTCTTAGGCATAATCTTTATTATAGACATCAACTGTAATCTAAATTAACGCAATACCCATAAGCGTATATGTATGTTAAGTCGGATCACCAGATAGAAGATCGGCCTATCAACGCAATAAGATACACAACAGCAACCCAGGATTCAGGTTTGTTTCAACTGTTTTTAGAAATCGTGTTGAAATATCCTCACCTGGTGTCTTTAGACCTGACTTGCTACGTATCTCTCGGAAAAATGTCTTAAACGGTAGCGGAACTACTCTCAATGAACAGAAACCAACTTCTTATAGTCTTATAGGTCTTCTCACAGGGCAACACGGTGAAAAAGAACATCTGCTATATTAGCAGAAAACGCGGCAGACAAACAGGGTCAGCGAACACAAAAGGCACCATCTCTTTGGGAAACCAAAACTAGTACAGATGAACCAGAAGCAATACTACCAGGAAATTGTATCAACTGGTACAGAATTCCAGACAGCTGGATTAAGCGTTCTAAACTACAAGCAGAATGGTAGAGTAAATATTATAGTTCCCGAAAAAAAGTTTCTATACCATAAGGTACCTCAAAGAGTACTTACGTGAGCAATGAGGCCAATGACATGATGCAACAGCTCATCTCGATCTCGTTGGTAGTACTCCACCATACTTCTATCGGCTACTAGTCGTAGTTTTACAAATGACTCGTTACTGATCCTATACGAACTTGCATCTCTGACTCTTCTCGAGGAACCGTACCTCCTTCTGTCGGAATCGCTGTCTGCATCAATTTCTGATGTTGAAGTACCACAATACCCTACTATGTCCGAGTCTGCATCATCTGGAGATACGGACCGCTTTCTTATAACATGATCGCCCAGTTCTTCGGATTCTACGAAGTCTCCTATCCATGTTTGGTTATCTGAAACAGAAAAGTGAAACTGAGAACAATAGGCATCTAGTTTTTAGTACCAATCGTACTATTTTCCATTTTCTGTTTTATACCATCATGGTTTACTTAGGAGAGCTTTGCGCTTAGAAGTTTCATGATGCAGAGTAATGTAATCTTATACGTGGTGTCCTCGTAGTTGGGACTTTCGTTTACACGGAGTAAACAAGGGCAGTTTTTTCTAGTATATGTATATCTCAAAGTCTTAATATTTCCGAAATGTTAGGGCCTGCAAAATCAATCAAACCTAAATAAAACCTAAGCCGGTGTTTACGTCGCTCAGATCAAACGTGAACCCGTACGATGCACATCACCATTCATTCCAGGAACTGGCAGCGCTGGTAAACAAAAACTATACACATCAGTTCTAAAAGAACAAAACAAAAATGGCACGTTCATACAGCAATATCGGAGTTGTCTATATTACTTAAATACACGGGGAGTGTCTTCAAAATGCTACCGAGGCTTCGCGAGTGCTTGCAGATCGTTTTTCAAGATCCTTTTTTTATTTCGGGCGAAATGAAATGCTTATAAAATTGAGGTGAACACGGTTAATGACCTGCTGTGCGAATTTAACAATATACTGCATTCATTCGGGAAAGGCAGTCTTTTCAGTCCTACTCCGAAGCTTGGCTACGTCTAGCACATATGTGTATTTGAATATATGAAGACAACTTTAAACAATACGTACAAGTGAAAAAGTTGTACTTGAAATTTCCGTTCGAGAAACGGTGGGTATTTTTTAATTTATTTTTTTTAACTTTTTTAGCGACCAGAAAAACCTAAATTTCTTATATTCGGGCTCAACTGCTCGGCTTTTTTTCGAAACTGTCCTTGATAGGAACTTGCAGTACCTTCAAGATACAAACTAATTCCTGAAATCAGCGACCCAAAAGACTCTCAGCTCCACTGAATATCCTTTAGATGCTGTACAAATTGTATTTTTTGACAGCTTTTTGGTGCACTAGATCATTATGTGATGTCCTTTCAGACAGTTACCTTGCTTTTAAGTGATTTATAACTTTTTTATTGATCCAAACTATTAGATCAAATTACAGTAATTTTACTTACAATTTCACTAACAATTTCATAAACAGCAATTTTGCATCCTCCTTCCTATCAATTTTCCCAAAAGTATTGTATCTACTACAACAAGCATCGTTAACAAACGAGCCTTGTTTAAATCACATCTCATTAACTTTTTGACTGATACAATGATTTATTGCTCTTATTCAATGTCATTAGAGGCGAATGACTTACCGATCTCATTGTCACGACACGAGATCTCCGAGCATAGTGTCAATAAACAAAAAACAAATCCAGTTGGGTCATTCATAATAATAAAACACTATCTCGTGATGTATCTCAAGGTATATGTGAATGAAATATGATGCGTATTGTCTCTGATAAGAGCCTAAATGAGCGAACTGTTCGCAGGTGTTAGCCTTGAGGCTGTAGGCTTGCGTAATGGACATAGAATCAGGGTGTCGGATCTACCCTTTTGGTGGATACGAGGGCGCTTAAGAAGTTGCTTAACATCATCTTTGTATGTAATTTCAAACCCATAAGTTCATGTTATGCATAAACAACAAAATATATGCATAACTTCTTGTATATTTGTGGACTTTGCCAAGGACTTCGACACCTTATGGCCGAAAGCAGAGTTTCCTAATAAGAGGAACCAAAAGTAGATATTTTGAAACAAGCTATGGCGTGCCGCAGGGCTCGGTACTGAGACCGAAAATACCATTAGTTTCGGGGATGACACGGCAATATTATATAAACATAATTCGTGGCATAATCTAAAAGTTTTAGCAGAAACAGGTTTTATGAAAACTGATGATTTTTTAATAGCAAGAAGCTCTCAGTAAATTGGAACAAAACATATTTTTATCATTTACTTCTGATAACATGCCACAATATCAATAATTTGAGGATAGAATTTTAAAATAGCGTGAAGTATTTAGGTGTAGTACTAGACAGCCATCTTAGATGGTCAGAACATGTCAGGTGGTTAAAAGAATACGGAGATTAGTCCCCAAATTCAAATTATACTTTTCTAGGTGCAGCCAAGACGTTCTGAAATCTTTGTATTTTGCTTTGGGCCAATCTCATCTCACTTATGGTATTCTTGCATGGGGTGGCCTAGCAAGTATATATCTCAGTAAATTGGAAGTAATGCAGAAGTGCATACTTAAAATAATACTTGGCAAGCCACGTAGTTGTTCATCTGATGAGTGGGAGTATTTGACTTCAAACAATTATTTCCCAGCCATATTTTGGTGTTTACATAAAGGTAACAGTGATTACATTAAGCCTTGCCATAATGCACGACCACGGAACGTACAATTTAAACTCTCAAAAAAATCAAAACAGATGGCCTAGTGAGTCACATGTACTTATATCCCAAAGTTCTTGATGCCTTGCCGGGCGGATCATACAAACATTTCTGTTCAACTTGAGTTATATATGTGATTGCATAGGTCTCATAAATGTATTGACATTTTTTGGTCTTTCTCGCTTTTCATCGATATCGAATTTTAATAACACTATATGTATTAGATGAAGACGCCATTTTTTATGAAGAATGCTAACATTAACCGATTTCAACGAATTTATATACTTGTTTTTATCGTCATCGTTATGTGTGTGAAACTATTTCATTATATATATTTTACAGCGGAATACCTGAGTGACTGTTATTTTATTAAAATTACTAGTGGACTGGGAATTTTGAAAAATGCGCCATATCTATATGCATATATATATATATATATATATAATATCCGTAGCAGTTTAATGTTTTTGTAATTTGTATAATTCTACACACAAGCTTGCTTCTGTGGGTTTCTTGTCTGATTACCATTCTGAACTGTGTACGCTATAATATTAATTTTAGCATATTATCGTTATTTTTGGTAAATAAACCTTACTTTACTTTGGGTATTTGAGTGAGGTAAGATAAGCCTTGCTATAACGTAACAATAGTCTAGCTGAGTAATAGATGTGGTCTAGTAGCCACTGGACAAGCTAAACATGTTCTCGTCCATCAGACCAGCCATGTGCAGATGTCTCATGCTTTTTTACTACTCATCAACATGGTCTAGGCTTGGTCCACATCTACTACACAGCTAGAATCATGGCCATCTAGCGGCAGACATGCTGACTGGGCATCCGATCAGGACTCAGATCTTTACAGTCTCAACCGGTGGCTGCTATTTACTGTTCGCAGCGTTCGATTCTATTGGTAGACGGCGCTTCACGTTGTCATATTTCGATTTATCTCACACTTTTGATAGTGTATATGCATAATGCTTTTGTTCCCGAGACGAGGTAGTAAGCCTAGACGATGCTGATAAGTGGCTAAAAAGCACGAAACATCTGCCTGTCATTGGTCGTCTTTGGTCGGACGGACGAAAGCTGCATGTTTGGTTAGTTACTGTGATGTTGTTGATGTTCCAACCAGGAAGACAAAGCCGGATTTGGGTTTCTGATTATGAAGGTAAGATGTTTCAAGTCAAAAAGTCTATTGGAACAAGAGTGGTTGTGGCTTCTTGCAGAAAATCAAGTTTAGTGGCAAGCACTGTGCTAGGAAAACAGAAGACAGTCACACATAAATGGTACATAGAAGATTGTTTATCACAACGCACCGGCGCATCGCGCTCAGATAACTCAACAATTTTTGGAAGAATCTTTAATCTAGGTGTTGGATCATCCACTTTAAAACTCTGACTTGACGTCATACGGCTTCGTCCATTTTCTGTTCGTGAAGTCACGAGGAAAAGAGCGCAGGTTTACACCCAAAGGCGAGCTAGGAGACATTGTATGATTTTGTTCAGAACGAGCAATGGGAACGTTGTATGGCCCAGTACATTTGCTAAACTTCACTCAAATAAGAACGTTTATTATTATTAAATCCTTCAAAGTATCCCTTTCGCCCCTATTCTGAACAAGGTTTCGGATACCCATATACTAGATCTACTGGACTATCGGCCACAATTTCTTGGAATTGAGCAAACGCCATACTTCATCTTTAAGGCAAAAATGTTCGTTAAGGTCATGGTTACTGTCTAAATACTCATTACGGCACCACAAATGTTTATGTAGAATAATTGTAGGATTACCTATAAGTATAGATGAGTAAATCGTATATAGCAATTACTTCCATGCATTGTAGCTGGTGCAAAAGGTAAAATACGGATATAGCTGGTATCGAGAATTTGAAATCGTGACATGTGGAAATAGAAGTACTATTTAGCTGATTATTGGCCAATTTCAAGGTATGTATTTGATATAATTGTAATCAGTGAAGCATCTCGGATTAAGTATTTCTTAGAGTTGTATATCTTGTTATCAAATGCAGAATCAATAATAATATCTGACCTATTGGAAGCCTCTTCCACGAACTAATCTGTTTAATCGTTCGATACAATTCAATTTTATAACCTTATTCATCCGGTTTTCTCATAATAGTCTTATCACATCTTATGAACAATTAACAATCATTTCCTTCGTTTAGCCTTGTAATCTTTTTACTTTTTCTGGATATATATATATATATATATATATATATATATATATATTATAATTAAAGACCTGAGAACTGAGCCTTGGTTTCTTTGCATTATTTTGTACTTTCTTGTTAGTTCTTTAGCAAGAACTGAAAGGGCCGTATCGTCAGTCGTTCCTACAATTGTGGGCCTCCTTGATTTTCATAGTTTTCTACTGTTCCGTGTATGCGGTCTATCTTGAGGTTATATTACAAATGTCTATTTGCATCAAACTGTTCATGCTTTTGATTTATATCATCTGAAATTTCCTATAATTCGAGAAGAAAACACAGCCTGACAATATCAGAACGTTGACGCTGACACGGAATGGTAGAAATCTAGAAATATTCCAGCATTTCTGGAGGAGACAAAAGACTGAAAATCAAGAAGGCCATAAAGGCGTCCTACAATATCGTAGGAACGACTGACGATACGGCCCTAAATGCCCCCCTTGATTTTCATAGTATTTTATCTTGTTTACTTGAGAAAGGCTGGGGTATTTCTAGATTGCTGTATCAGCGACAGTGCTCTCCTATTGTGAGGCTATGTTTTCTTTTTGAATTGCCGATATAATAATTTGATGTAAATAGCCGTCCTACAATTGTAGAAACGACTGACGATATTGCGCTAACTCTTTTCCATCTGTGATCAACTGAGGCTTGGTGGTCCAAATATTTCTGCGTGACATCAAGTACGTAGCGCTGTCGTTGCCTACCCGGTCGTTGGAATGGCTACTTGTTCTATTTCGCTGATAATGGCCAATTTACTTTTTGCGTCCATTATATTTTCATCTCTAATAATTTATATTACGCTTAACTTTTACAAATTATAGCTCTTCCCAAGTTGTTCAGCTGTGTGCAAGAGCTTCAGCCTACAATCATTGCCCACGGCACAGTGATTATTCACAGTGATGGACTATTACAAAGAGGTGGTGCACATTGCGTTGTTTCTTTTTACCGTGCCTTATACAAGGCACTCGCAGAATAGACTGCATGGTTTCAGTGCTTTTTTATATGTGGTTGGAAGATTCTTCACCAGTGGTCGATCAATACTACAGTTGGGAGTGCAGTTGGTATTGTGAAATAGTAAATATTATTTAAGTTTATAGAGTAAAATTGACAAGGTGATAAGAAACTTCGCGTTGCTGAATACATAGTTGCGTCGTATATGTATAAAAGAACGGTGAATATTGAACATAAACCGTTTGGTACTATTTCCTTCACTGTCACTGAGAGACATTCGAACGATAATAATAAATAGTCAAAGGTAAGTTAGTTAGGTATGGTAGATTTTTTCGGGAGCACAATCCTTCCAGACTCTCATGGTAATTGGTGGGATAGTTGTTAAACAGTAGGTGACGCCGGGATCTCAAACGAACCGACAATAGCTGTCGTATCTGTATGTAATCTGTCCCCAACTGTTTTGCACGTTTCCTACCTGATTCCATGGGCGTCCGGAGAATTTTATCGCATCGGCACCTACTGTGCATTAGTCTGATGTCACGATTGTCACACGTCAAACTATGAAATCAAAAAACTTATCATTTATACTGAATATAACCACCAACAACCGTCGAAGTAAATTAAATATTCCTAAATGCCACATTACCACTTGACAGTAACAAAACTCCTAAAAAAGCGATAAGACTCAAGTTGGCATTGATAGAACTTGATTTTTACAGGATGTCTCATCTGATAGTACTCTGTCCATTACCTTATACATGGTACTTGTAGAACAGTTGGTTTGCTTTTAGTGTTTTTTTCCACGTGGTTTTAAGATGTTTCCCCAGCACCAGTGGTGGGATTGTAAAATGCTAG